AAAGGTATAATAGGTATAGTAAGAGAGAGTGAAAGACTATAAAAGGAAAAGTTATAATTATAATTATATTTATAAAGTATAACTTTATTCTATTTAATAATATAAAAGTAAATATAATATATTTTAACCTTTTTATTATAGTAAAGTTTAGTAAATAAGTAAATAAGGAAAGGATTAAATAGAGTTAGAAGTAGTATTTAGTATTTATTTATTTATTTAATAAAAGTAGTTTTATAAATTATATAAATTATACTTTCTATTTAAGGTATTATCTTAAATATAAAGGGATTATTAATAAAATATTATATATTTTAAGTTTTAATAAATAATTATAGTTTTATAAAGTATTTATTAAAAGTATAAATAAGGGTTTAATAATAAAAAGTAATCTTTAAGTTATTATTAATTTTAAAGATATTAAAAGGTTTTAAAATATAATAAAATATATAAATTATTAATAGAATATAAGGACTCTATTAATATATATTTAATTATATTATTATTAAATTAATAATTTTATAATAAATAAATATAAAGACTTTATTATATTTAATTATATTATTATTATTAAAGTATTAATATAATTATATTATAATAAGAATTTATAAAGAATTTAACTACTTTAAAGTAATTAACTATTTCTTTATATTTTATTATTTATAATTATTTAAAGTAATTATTAATTAATATTAATATAAATTATTATATATATATATATATAAAGAGTAATTAATTAAATTAAATTATATAAAAGGAAAGTTAAACCTAAAAGGTTAATAATAAATCCTTACTATAACTTATTAACTAAAGTTATATAATATAACTTAAACTATCTATTAATTATAATTACTTTTATTTTAATATTAATAATAAATAATATTATAAATATAATAAATAATAAAATTATTATAAAAGTTTTATATAATAAATTTAATTAAATTAATTTTAAAGATATATTATATTTTATTTTTAAAAATTTTAATTATTTATTTTTAATTTAATAATAAAATTAAAAGAATATAAATAATTTATATATTTATAAAAAGTTTAAAAATTTTAAATAATATAATATAATTAATAAATTATAAATAATAAATTTTTATAATTTAATTAAATAATGTTTTATAAATATTCTTTTATAATATAATTAAAAATAGAAATTTAATATTAAAAATATTAAATAAAATCTTTAAATATAAAAATTTAAATTTATATTTTAATTAAATTAATTATTATAAAAATATAATTATTAATTATATATTTTTAATATTTAATTAATTATTTAATAATATAAATAATTTATATTTTTTAATTTTATTATTAAATTAAAATAAATAATTAAAGTTTTAAAAAATAAAATATAATATATTTTTAAAATTAATTTAATTATATTTATTATAAATTATAAACTTTTAATTTTAATATTATTAAATATTATATATAAAATTATTATATAATTTAAACTTTTATATATAAATATAAATTAATTAAAATAAATAAAAATAAAATTATTATTTTTAAAAGTTTTAACTTTATTTATATAAATATAAATTTATTAATTATATAAATAAAATTATTTAAAATAAATAAATAATTTATTTATTAAATTAAAATATAATTAAATAAAGTAATTATATTTTATTATTATATATATTTAAATTTATAATTTTAATAATATATAAATAAAATATATAATTATTAATAATTAAATTTATAATTATAAAAAATAAACTTTTATTTTTTAAAAGTTATTATTATTTAAAATAATTAATATATTTTTAAAATAAATTAAAATAAATAAAATTTAAATTTAAATTTTAAAGTTTAAAATTTTAATTTTATTAAAAATATTAAATAAAATCTTTAAATATAAAAATTTTAAATTTATATTTTAATTAAATTAATTATTATAAAAAAATATAATTATTAATTATATATTTTTAATATTTAATTAATTATTTAATAATATAAATAATTTATATTTTTAATTTTATTATTAAATTAAAATAAATAATTAAAGTTTTAAAAATAAAATATAATATATTTTTAAAATTAATTTAATTATATTTATTATAAATTATAAACTTTTAATTTTAATATTATTAAATATTATATATAAAATTATTATATAATTTAAACTTTTATATATAAATATAAATTAATTAAAATAAATAAAAATAAAATTATTATTTTTTAAAGTTTTAACTTTATTTATATAAATATAAATTTATTAATTATATAAATAAAATTATTTAAAATAAATAAATAATTTATTTATTAAATTAAAATATAATTAAATAAAGTAATTATATTTTATTATTATATATATTTAAATTTATAATTTTAATAATATATAAATAAAATATATAATTATTAATAATTAAATTTATAATTATAAAAAATAAACTTTTATTTTTTAAAAGTTATTATTATTTAAAATAATTAATATATTTTTAAAATAAATTAAAATAAATAAAATTTTAAATTTAAATTTTAAAGTTTAAAATTTTAATTTTATTAAAAATATTAAATATATTTATAAAAAATTTAAATAAAATTAATTTAATTATAATATAATATAATAATTAAATAAAATTAAATAAAATTATAATTTTAAGTTTTTAATTAAATAATTAAAATAATTATTTAATAATATTTATTTTTAAATATAAAATTAAAAAATTATAATTATAATTTTTAATTTAATTTTATTTTAATTTTATTTTATTTTAAATTTATTTAATATTTATATTATTTTTAAAAACTTAAATATTTAAATTTTAAAAATTTAAATTTAAAATATTTATAATTATTTAATTATTTTAATTAATAAATATTTTATATTTTAATTTAATATTTATTAATATTAAAATAAATAATTTATAATTTATAATTAATTAATATATTAATATAAATAATTTATAATTTATAATAAATTAATATATTAATATAAAATATTTTATATAATAAATTTAATTTATTAATTATATAAATTATTTTTTAATTATATTATTAAATTAAAATTAAAAAAATAAAATTTTAAAAAATAAAATATAATATATTTTTAAAATTAATTTAATTAAATTTATTATATAAAATCTTTTATAATAATTTTATAATTATTTATAATATTATTTATTATTAACCTTTTTTATATTTAAATTATTAATTATATTTAATTTATTTAAATTAATATTATTAATTTATTAAAAATTAAAATTATTATTAATTATAAATTATTAAATTTTAATATTATTAAATATTATATATAAAATTATTATTTTTAAAAAAATTATTATTTTAAATAAATATTTATTTAATAAATTTAAAATTATAAATTTTATAAATAAAATTATATAAAAATAAATATTTAATTAAATTAAAATATAATTAAATAAAATAATTAAAGTTTTAAAAAATAAAATATAATATATTTTTAAAGATTAATTTAATTAAATTTATTATATAAAACTTTTATAATAATTTTATAATTATTTATAATATTATTTATTATTAAAAATACTTTTATATATTAATATATTAAATTATATTAATTTAAATTAATATTATTAATTTATTAAAATTAAAGTTATTATAAATTATAAATTAATTTTAATATTATTAAATATTTTATATAAAGTTATTATATAATTTAAATAAATTAATTAAATTAATTTAAATAAAATTATTATTTTTAAAATTTTAATTTTATTTTATAAATAAATATTTATTTAATAAATTTAAAAATAAATAAAATTATTTAAAAATAATTATTAAATTAAATTAAAAATTATTAAATAAAGTAATTATATTTTATTATTTAAATTTATAATTTTAATAATTTTATAAAAAATAATTATTAATAATTAAATTTATAATTATATAAAAATAAATTTTTATTTTAAAAAAATTATTAATATTTAAAATAATTAATATATTTTTAAAAATTAAAATTATAAATTTAATTTAAAATTTATTAAAATTTATAAAAACTTTAAATTTAAATTTTAAAGTTTTAATTTAAAGTTTATATTTATAAAAATAAAAACTTTTATAAAGTTTAAAAAAGTTTAAATAAAATTAAAAATTAAATTAAATTAATATTAAAAATTTATATTTTATTTTATTTTTTTAAAAGTATAATTATTAAATTTAATTTAATAATAAAATTATAAAAATATAAATAATTTATATATATATTAAACTTTAAATAAATAAAATTATAATTTTATTATTTTTTATTATTATTTTATAGATTTTTATATTTTTAAATTAATAATTATTTATTAATAATTTAAGCCTTTTTTCTATTAGTTATAAGGACCGTTTTAAGTATATTTAAGCTAGTGAACCTACCCTTACTATACTGGATATTGCGGGTATGGTATATGCCCAGCCGGCACCAAAAATGTCACCGCCGTGTTCGCAAATAGGTACGCAGTTGACCTTTGCACTGATAGTAGGCAGACAGATCATCAAATGCTCAAGGTCACAAGTTCGGAGTGGCTCGGATGGAGATCACGGTACCCAAGCCGCTGCACAAGCGCGCCAAGCCGGAGGTGCTGGAACGGTTTGCCCCGGGGTCTCGGCAGCTGACACAAGACTGGGCGGAGCCTGCAGAGGTCGCCTGGGCGGCCCAGCGGCAGGTGATGATTCGGCCGTCGCGGGAACCCATTTTGTGCTGCGCATGCGCTGGAGTCGACTAATGAATGGCAGTGTCATTGTCGCCAAGAGTGGCGTCGTATGGAAGGCTGACAACCTATTACTGATGGCACGACTCTCAGGCTTTTCTTCTTGCAGAATACAGCGGAAAAGGGCTTTATAAGAGTGCCAGTGCCCCAGGCTTTTTTTTTCAGGGCTGTCTATCGTTTGGTAGACATCAGCAGTGGAAGGACCATCCATCCAAAGCGTGCAACGACTTGTACACCAGTACGCCCGACAATCAACAAGCACCACAGCAGAATCCTTCAGAACGACACCCAAACATTGCAATCGCCAAGATGACCAACCCGGCCAAGACAGTCTGGTGGGAAACATATCAGTTATGGGATGAGGTGCTACACCAAGTTGGAAAGGCATACTACAAAGCGAGGCCGCCCAAGAAAGGATCGCGAAGCAGAACAGGGCCCAGGCCAGCCCTTCCAATATCGCAGCGCACGATGGGCAAGATCCCAGCAGCCGGCGGGTCCAAACTGCAGACCCGACCGCAACCTTTCCACATGCAGCTCGTCCGGCAGCGCTCATCCGTGTTAAACAGTTGAGGGCCAGCTAGGCGAAGCGCACCATTGTCGGCAACTACAGTTTACATGGCCAGGTAACTGGGGCAGTTGGCATACCGTGTACCCAATGCGACGGGCTTACGGGTGACCGAGTCCTCGTGACCCCGTGCAAGGCCAAGAACAACAGTTGCGTGGCGCTGCCGTGGTCGCGGGCGTACTGTACCAGCATTATTTCCACGGTCCCCGACAAAGAAATCATTGAGCATATTTAGCTTTGAGGTTATGAAGCTGTCTGATTGGAATGACGTGGCCAGCCTGCCTCCGTCACAAACTGAGGGCCAGACAGGCTGATAGGAAAGACCAAGGCTACTTCAGAATCTACCTAGGCAGGTAGAAGGGGCTGCCGAGCCGGGCCCGCATAGGGGCTGTGGGGGGCGTGGTGAGGCTGAGTGGGGCCTTGACACAATGCAGGTGGGAACGCCAGCGGCAGAACACGCACAGTAGGCGCACGAAGGTTGGAAATTGGCAGGACAGGCCGCAGATCAACGAATTTGATCGCCAGAGGCCCCTCGCAGCCATAGAGAGGATGATTGTTTGGAGGCTGTGAGGGTGGTGCCAATGTGGCCCATCCAGTTGTCAACGTGTAGATATTCTGCGTGATTAATAGCAACAAGATTTCGATACTTGTGCCTCTTTCAGATCCATCTGCCCCAGGGCCAAGACACAGTACCCGGCACTGGCATTGTCCGACGGGGCTAGCAGCTCCCACTGCCCTCCAAGGTGCCTGGGTCAGTCTTAATTCTCTAGGCGAAGGGGAAGATGGCAACATGACTTCCAACGGATTGGTTTCGATGATCCATACGGGTGATCGACAGGGAATGCTATAGCGGAAGGGCGGGTGGGATTACTGTGGTAGAGCGTTCGCAATGCAGCCAAGGATGAAACGAAAAGCTTCGTGGGGCGCCCAAGAGATTTGCAAGGCCCCGGAACGGGCACTGAGTCGCTCGCTGACGGTGGCAGGCTGGCTGGCTGGGACACGCAGCAAGGGGAGGGGGGCGGCACCGGCTGGGGGCCCGAACCGTGCTGCTTGGTGTGCTTGGCCTGCTTGGCCAGCCCTGTTTGCGGGCCAGCCATGAGATGCCACGAGATGCCAATCGTCTTGGCCGTCTTGGGATGGATTGCTTGAACTGAGCCGCATCAGTGACTTGGAGAACGACAACAGTCACTGATGTGGATCGACGATGGCGGGCGTGGCCAAATACATGGGATTGATGATGATGGACGGCCGAACACGACGGTGATGGTATTGTTGACTCGTGCCGGGCAGCTGCTGGGCCCTCGAAATCTGGCACTCGCGGCAGCCAGCCTGCCAGCCTGCCAGCACGGGGTGGCGGAGATTGAGATTGGCCCCTCTCGGACCACTGCATCAGCAGCTTGTAACCTACCTGCGACTGCAGGCAGATTGAACGAACCCACAAGGTGCGGCTTTTCAGTCCTCAGATCGCAGGCGTCCGGTCGATGGATAGTTGTGGACACTGTGTGGGTGTACCGCCGACGGCCCGATTGGGAACGACGAGATCAAGCTGTCAGGCCGTCAGGGCGAGGGCTGCGAGGGTGAGGGTGGTGGATGAGTGGTTGGAACGGTTTGGTTGACCCTCCTGCCCTCCTGGACGGATACGAGGGCGGAGGCCCATATGTACCTAGGTACCTATTCACCCAGATACCCAGGTACGACAGTCCTGTGTACGGAGTAGTCAGTCTCCTTGCCTTCCTTCCCATGCCTCTGGACTGCAGCTGTGCAATGTCCTGGGATGGGCTATCTCTGGTTTGGGGCCGGTCGAGCCGCTCCAGGCCCCGTCTCCAGGGATGGAGCCAGCCCAGTCCGCCCTCCATCCTGGCCAACTTGGAACTAGTGCCGAGCAGCACCGCCCAAAAGCCGATGCACCCCTGAGAATCCAGACCCAAATTTGCCATTCAGCCAGACAGCACCGTGGTTTTCCTCGGTACGTAGTGCACTCCCTGACTCCGTGGCTCCCCGACCCTCGACCCTGGCAGCTGCCTGGTCAGTCCCTGCTGCTCCCTGGGCACATCGAAATTATCATCGATGGTCCGTCTGCCTCTTGAGTGCCGCCTGTGGTAGGCACTGAGTACTGTGTGCTAAACTGCTAGTACGGTGTTGGCTCTGGTCAACTGGTACGGAGTACACCTCCTGCACATCCTCGTATTACCACCCAATTCCTGCTGGCGGCAACCAACAACCGTGTGACTACCCCCCTTTTTTCCCCAGTCGTACGTAGTACGTGCCTTACCTCGCCTTGCCTGTGCCTTGCTCGTGCCCACCTTTCGCCCATCCACGATTCGCTGTGCCCCATCGTTAATTCCTCGATCCTGATTTCTTCTGTCGCTTCCTCCCAGCTTCCTTGCCTCACCTCCTCCGACCCTTCTCTCTGTTTGTTCATCCTTTTTCCCACCTCTCCCCCAGCTGTGTGCAGATTGATCCAGGCCTCTCTTCTCTTGCCTCGTCAATTTGCCCTTCTGGTGTTTCTTTGCACCTGCGTCCATCTTGTTTGACTTGATCATTCATCACACTCTTTTACACCAGTGTACTTACTGATCCTTCTCTCGCTTGAAACCAAGAAATAGACTCTTTGCCAAAGGTATGTTCCTCTTGTCTCAAGTGTGGTGATGGGCCTGTGTGCCGTCGCCCGTGTTTCCCGTGCCCTCCCTGCTCTTGTTTCTCCATGCCGCCTTCCCACACACATGCACCTTCATGCGTCCGACCAAACGTCAATGCCAGCCATCCACGTCCTGTCAACGTCATCCCGTCCCGCCAGACAAGAACAAACGGTGAAGACATCGGACGAGCTTGTACCAGCTGGGGAACCAGTCAGCTATTTTTGTTTTGTTTACTACGCATGGGTCAATGTCACGTCACAGTGGGCATGAGATGAAGAAAGAAAGGGTCATCTTAACTATCGGGTTTCTCACTCGTTCATTCATTCATTCATTCATTCGTTCATTCATGCATACATTCACTCACCTTGCGCCGCTTCTCACCTGACACCTTCAAAACTCTTTGCTAACGCGGCTTTTGCCTTGCCCAGACCGTCTTACTTTTTATATAATATCACACCAACGCTCTCTTGAAACTCGGTTCATATACAAGCCACACATAACAACCATGTACTCAGCCAAGGGAGTTATTCTGGCTGCCCTCGTGGCCGGTGCCTCGGCCGCCGTCGAGCCCATCGTCGCAAAGGGTCAGCACTTCTTCTACAAGAACGGCACCCAGTTCTACATCAAGGGTGTTGCGTACCAGCAGGACACCGGCTCCTCCGAGGCTGCCAAGCGGTCCACGTCGAGCGGTCCCGATTACCTCGACCCCCTGTCCGACGAGGACCTCTGCAAGCGAGATGTTCCCATCTTGAAGGCTGCCGGTACCAACGTCATCCGCACTTACGCCATCAACCCCGCCGCCAACCACGACGCCTGCATGCAGCTGCTCGCCGACGCCGGCATCTACGTCATCTCCGACCTGTCGTCGCCCGACGAGGCCATCATCCGCAGCAACCCCCAGTGGGACACCGCCCTGTACAAGCGCTACACCTCCGTCGTCGACGCCCTCGGCAAGTACGACAACACCATCGGTTTCTTCGCCGGCAATGAGGTCTCCAACAACAAGAGCAATACCGATGCCTCGGCTTTCGTCAAGGCCGCGGTTCGTGACACCAAGGCCTACATCGCCGACAACATGGACCGCTGGATCGGTGTCGGCTACGCCGCCAACGACGACGCCGCCATCCGCAACAACATGGCCGAGTACTTCAACTGTGGTGAGGCCGAGGAGTCCATCGACTTCTGGGGCTACAACATCTACGAGTGGTGCGGTGACAGCAGCTTCCAGAAGTCCGGCTACTCCGAGGTTGTCTCGTTCTTCTCCAACTACTCCATCCCCGTTTTCTTCGCCGAGTACGGTTGCAACACCGTCGATGGCGGTGCGGGCCGTACTTTCCAGGAGACCAGCGCGCTGTACTCGAGCGACATGACTGAGGTCATTGCTGGCGGTATCGTCTACATGTACTTCGAGGAGGACAACGACTATGGTAGGCCTCCTTGACTATGCGCATTCAAGCTAAGCCCGAACTCTCAGGATTTGATGGCTAACGGTGTTTTTCTGCAGGCCTGGTCAGCGTCGTTGACAAGTCCAGCGTCAAGCCCTTCAAGGCTTACACCTCCCTGAGCTCCCGCATCGCCGCTGCCACTCCCAGCTCCGTCGCCATGGATGCCTACCAGCCCACCAACTCGGCCGCTGCTTGCCCTGTCATCGGTGCTTCTTGGGCCGCTGCCTCTTCCCTGCCCCCAACCCCCGACTCCGAGCTCTGCGAGTGCATGTTCAACTCCATCTCCTGCGCTCCTTCCTCCAGCCTGGACGAGGAGGATTACGGCGACATCTTTGGTTACATCTGTGGCGCTGACCCTGCAGCGTGCGCTGGTGTCAACGGCAACGCCTCCACCGGTGTCTTCGGTGCCTACTCCATGTGCAACTCGACCCAGAAGCTCGGCTACGTCCTCGACACTTACTACAAGGCCCAGAAGTCGGCCTCCGACGCCTGTGACTTTGACGGCAAGGCTGTTACCCAGTCCGGCAGCAGCTCCAGCGGAGACTGCAAGGCCAAGCTCGCCAGCGCCAGCTCCGCCAACGCGGTCGCCGCCACCGCCACCGCCGGCTCCGGCTCCTCCGGCTCTTCTTCTGGATCCTCCAGCAGCTCGTCTTCGAGCTCCCTGGCCACCCCCTTGCACATGAAGAGCTTCTTCAGCATTGGTGACATGGCTGTCGGTCTCTGGGCTGTCATGGCCATGGGAGCTGGTGCTGCTGTCTTTGCCCTGTAAGGATGACCAGCCAATGGTGCTGGTGAATGCCTGTTTTTCGGCAGAGGGGCCTCGGAGGCGTCGTGAGTCTGCATGGCGGCGTTGCGATGATATCCGACACCGTCCGGAGCAGTGACATTATCTGCATGTGGCGGTGTCAAAACACTTGCATTTTTTCTATGTAGGATAGAGACTTTCGTCTTGTCAGGAATCGATCAATTTTGTCATTCAGAGAAGGCGAGAGCACGGTGCGAAGACCGGGTATGAGCATCTGTTTTCGGTATGCCTAATATGTGTGTACGGCGTTTTAACATGCAGCTTCTACTCCTCATAGAAGGTAAATCGAATGGATCGCGCGGGTATTGGTAGGCCTCGTTCAATTCAAAGTTTAATGACTACAACTATCCTCACAAGCAAGCAGCATCACAACAAGATCCATCGCGGGCTCCTTAGGTCGATCTGATAGTTCCCAGCCTTCAACTCGTAGTCACGTCGCTGTTTGCGAGCCATAGGACTAGTTTGCTTGCTCACAGCGAGTGAAACCCTTAACCGTTCGCGATGCGTCTGGGCTTCCAACCAGGCCAAGTTCTGCCGCCGGCGCTGGTAGTACATGATGCTTCTCATCGATAATGGGCGTCTCAGCACAATACGCTTTCTCGTCCTGAGATGAGCCTTGCGTGCCATGCCGCGCCTGGTCCTTCCACGTCCGCCCGGCCTCTCGGCCAGTTGTCGATACCAATCCTGTGCGCGAACCCCGCCGCTGGCCGTATCGGTGCTTCGTTCCATGCAGGCTTGCGAATATGGGGCGTTTTGGTCACAAGCGTCGTCTCCGCTAGCTCTTGGGTCGAGAGGAGCAGTCTCCCCGGAGTCTTCGTTGTGGATTTCATGGATGTGTGGGCGAGCTGGACGTTGAGGATGTCGTGGAGGCGCCTGGTGTTGGGCCAACACCGTACCGGTGAGGCCCAGGAGGAGTAGAGTTGTCATATAAGGGAATCGCATCCTATTATCGTGCAGCGTTGGTGAATTTTGTCTTGAGAGGGGCTGAGAGACCGGAACTGGTAATGGTGGGCAGAGAATAGTTAAGTGACGAGACCCAGGGCATCATTTTCCCCCCGTGTCGTATGGGTGTCAGTCCAGCAAGGCCACCTACGTACTGGGCAAAAATCGGTCGATTTTTACTTTCGGGTTGGATGTTCGTGCCTACCGCCGAACATCTCGACTAAGGAACTTAGCTCAGACTGTCGTTGTCCTAGTAAACCGGTTCGTCTGCGACAATAGTAAGGTACCTAGGTACCCAGGTAGGTAGTGCCGGTAAAGGGCTCCTTCATACTCTGGACGAACCATGTCTACAATGGCCTGTTGCACTTTCAGATAACATTTCTGCTTCCGCGCGATGTGGATGAAACGTACCTAAGTAATGACCGGTGTCTCGCCCAACGCCCAATTCCCTGTCCACAGAGTGGCAACTGGAGCCTGCACAGCGAAGTCTGTTAGGACAACCCAGAAAGGGACCAAAGACTTCCTCCCTGTATACTGTCATGGGATCAGTGATACTCGTCAGCACCGCTGGCGGAACGAAATAGCCCGTTGGTCCTAGGCATAGCTCCCTCGGAGACGGCGGAGTCGACGAAGACCTTGATGCGTCCCTGTTGCTGCTTTGTGACTTGTGGGCCATGGTACGTGTCCTCATGGGAAGGGCTGCCCGATTTATTGGTTCTGGCGACCCTTTATGGACGAGGATACGGGAAGTCGCAGTGAAAATCTCCCCCTTCTTCGACGCAATGCCAACGTGAGACCACTTCACAGCCTGGTCAAGATCTGCGTCGTCAGATACCAGCAATGGAGACCCACTTTGGAACGACGCGGTTGACTTTTCTAATAATCCATTGACAAGTTTATTGCCAATGAAGAAATCCAAAGGCTGTGAGCAGGCGCGACCGTTTGGCGCAGTCACTATTGCAAAAAGGTAGTCCCCCCCCCCCCTCGTTCTTGGTTTGTTTTATAACGTGGTAAACCTGTGAAGACAAGAGATTGAACTGCACGAACTCCAGGCTGACATCATTCCGTCACCCATTCGGTGGACATAATACTGAGCACGTATTCAAAGAGAGAGCGAGCGGATACCGTGGGAGACGTAGGCGCATGTACCGTGTTGTTTCGACCTGTATGGTATGGTTGTCAGTCGGTGTACGTTGTAGTCATGGTGAATCCTCTCATCTCATTGGCCGTGGAGGCAGGCAGCTGGAGTGCGGGTTCCTGCATGAGAACCCCAGAGAGTCTGAGAGTGAGGCCAAGCGGGCTGGGGGGCTGGGGGGCACCCCTGTCCCAAGGGACCTCCCCCACTCCCGTCTGGGCGAGCAACCCCAAGCTCGGGCCTGATAATGAGCTAGCTCACTGCAACCTCACCTGCAGCTGCCGCCAATCCAACATTATCTGCCGCGTGCCATCTTTGAACACCGACATCGTCCACAGGACCACAGTATCCTCGACTCGAGGCCTGCTCAAATCTTATTTTGGGAGGCAGACCCCAAGCAGAACATGGCTATGTACAACTACGTCAGCGACACAATCGACCTGGCCCGTCGCCAGGCCGACCGCGTCGTCAGCCCTGACGACCGCCAGAAGGCCTACGACAGTGTCCTCGCCTTTGCCCAACAACAGCCACTCCTGTTTGTATGCCGCATGAGACCGCCCTTGCCCCAGGCTTCTGCTTCCCATGGTCCACCCTGCTGACCACATGATGACTCCGCACAGTCCTTCGTCGTCGCCCAGCTGCTGCTCTCCCTCATCCCCATCCTCCTGTTCGCGTCCTTCGTGCTGGGTACCGTTGCCCTCGCCATTTCCACCGCTGTTATCTTCTGTCTGTTCTGGGTCGGCGTGGCCAGTATCCTCCTCGGTTCCACCCTCTTTGTCACCTTCGGTCTTGCTGCTCTGGGCTGGCTGTGGCTTGTCGGCGCGTACCTTGCTGCCAGCTTTGTCTATGGGCTCCTGACCGGCAGCAGTGACGGGGCGGACCAAGCTGCCAGGTTCAAAATGGAGGACAACTGGGCAAAAGTCAGTACCAAGAGGATGGCCACAGACGATGCCCAGAACAGTGTGGTGAAAAAGGAACCAATAGACGATGGGGTCAAGCTTGGAGGCGAGCAGCTCGGGGAGATGGAGATCAGTGCTTCAAGTGGCTAGGGTATTGGAACGCTGGCTGGCCGTCATTCGAAGACCTTTACACGGTCAGAAAGCCTTTGGCCAGATTTTGATCTGGTGTCAAAATCTCAGTGCTGCTAGTAATTGTTGTGCCAGGCAAAATCATCATGACTCTGAACAGCGTGATGCCGCAGCGGGTCCCAACCAAGTGCTTCCAAGTCTTTCTTCCCGTCGGACGCTTTCCCACAATATCCATTATGAACAATACAGAATCTTGATCAGGCCTCTGCTACGCTGCATTGCTCAAGATTTTCACCAGGTCTGCCCTAATCAAGTCCTCAATAAGGATTGAGAGGTACTTGTCTGTGAATGTTAATCGCAGTACCCGTACCTGGTCACGGACTCGCACTGCTTCTTCTGAACAAGCTGCCTCTAGTTCACGGGAGTCTTGCCCACCCCGTCCACTCTCGTGGCTCTGTTGATATTCGAAAGCCTACCTAGGTACCTGTAACCGCTTTTGTTCCAGAACGACATCAGACTCTCCTTTGTCCCTTCTCCAGAGGACAGCAGCAGTGGCAGTGGCGGCACGCTGGAGTGGCAGTGAGGTAGCACCGGTATTGACGTGGTCGGGAGCCCAGTGGTCGCTTCCGAGGAGGTCTGCACCGTACTCGTTGGTTATCGTTGATCTGAGCTTGAGCTGCCAGGCCGACCCGTGGCCTGGCGGATAATCTTAGTACCTACTAGGTACCTACTAGGTAGGTACTTAGGTGGAGAACATGGGCGAGCTAGCACCGGGGCGGTCCTGTTCGGTTCCATGACGACTGGGTTGGCGGCGAGCCACGGTCAGGCGTGTCCACAACACTACTCGCGAGTCCTTTCAAGTGTGTTTAGTCGAATTTCTCAGTAACAGTGTTGTTGTTCACCCAGAGCCTGTCATGGACTCGGCAATCGTCTGGCACTGGGGCCGGGGCAGCCAAGAAACGTAATGGTTACCCGGATGTACATTTCGCAGTCGCATTTGCAAGCCGGATTTATTAATTTGCTGTAGTTGCAAGGAGAGATAGACACACCCACAAAATACAAAAAGAAAACAAAACAAAAGAGACCCTTCTAAGTTTCTGAGGCTCCATCCAACCCACATCAAATTCATTCTCGTTACCGTTACAACTAGTACCTAGGAACTTATCTTGACAGACATTGAAATTAGAATCTGGGATGCGCGGACAGTGACGACCTCCAAATTTTGCATTTTTCCCAAGTAATCATCTGCGTAAAATCCTGCCCGTGGTCAGTCGGAATTTTGATGTCCATATTATTGAAAGAACTCGCACCAGAAGCAGGTAATCAGCCGCGAGTGACTCGAGTCTTGAGAGATGCAATTGTCACCGCATATGTATGGCGGGACATTTTCAGAACAATCCCGATTCTGTGAGACTTCAAATCTTGGCATTCGCAAATCTCTCATGCTATGTGCTCTCTGCCTCCGCTTCACCCACGCCCCCGTCCATGCAAGGACTTCAGGATCAGTCCCCAGGTGATCTAGAAGCTCTTCAAAGATAAAAGGCAACAAAATTCTGAAATATCAGGCCCTTGGTATTATTGCGTTGTAAATTTGGTATCCTGGAAGTAGGCCAAGCCTCCATGACTACTTGGAACCTTGGAAACAGCAGCCTTGGGACTGCCCAGGTGGTCCCATGGTCAGGTACCTAGGTAGTCCTGACTCACCTGAGGTGATACTTTGCTTCACGCCCCAGGGTGGTATTTCATGCTTGCACCTGACTGAACCAATAGTTTCCATGAATACCTAGTTACAAGGGATATCCTATGCCGACCAACTTACATCAAATTGTCTATCTCTGCTTCCGCGAGCACCATATGATCACTGCCCGAGTCTTTACTTCGACGAATCGGCCACATCTGCTGAGAAGACCTCTATGTACACCTGAATGGACCCTCGTATCAGATTCAAACCACGCCGGTCACAACGAGTCGCATTCTGAGTTCCTTCTCGAGGTGTCACCATGCGTTCATCCACGGTACCCTGTATCTCTACAGCATAACAAGAGCACCGAGGACCGCCATTCCCAAGGAGCCGACAGAGCCCATCTTAGCCGCAGCAGCAGTGCTCGAGGCACTTGCGCTGGCACCCGTGGCAGTACCCGTGGCAGATGAGCCCGTAGTCACCGCGGTCCCGCTAGCCGACGACGACGACGACGACGACGACGACGAGCTCCCTGTCGTCGCGGTGGGTTCGGCGCCCGTTCCCGTCTGTGAAACAGACGTCGACTGAGTCGATTCCTGGGATGAAGTCGATCCAGAGGCAGAAGACGCCCCAGTGCTGGTTACTCCGGCGCTGGCTGAGGAACAGCTTGCGCCGGCATTGATGGCGGAGCAGAAGGCATCGGCTGCTGGTAGGACCTCATCTACATTGGCGGTGGGGTTAATACAGGGGGGCTTGTGCGACGTCACATATTATGATATGGTCCGACATGAGGGCACCTACTGATGGCGACCTGCTCACCACACGCGGCGAGCACGCACGTGGTGGCACTTGTTGTAATGTCCGTCTGATGTTGGCTCGTACACTGACATGCGTAGTCGGTCTCTCCGCACCCGACTGAGCCAGCCGCCACTACGAGGCAGTCCCGGGCACATTCTGGGATGGACGAGACACACTGGCTGGAAGCTAGGCCGGCGAGGGCAGATAGTGCAAGGAGAGAGGGCTTCATGTTGGCCTTGCGCCGTGTTCCAGCGGTGGACAGTTTATGGGAAGGAATGGAGGGATGAAGCCTTGAGTGTTTGGTGATATTCTCGAAGCAGGGCCGGCAGGTACTTATAAGTTAGGTAGGGATGGAACTTCTCAAGGAAGCTGGGGACGGCAACGGCGAACGAGATCAGAGATCAACAGAATGCGCGAAGCTGGGGAAGCCGGGACTTTAAACTGTCTGCGCCGATTTGCTCAGATCACAAGTGCTGCAGGCGTTCGAGGGCCGGCCCATTGTCGTCGCACTGCAGCAGTCATTACGAGCTTGGTTCGGCGCAGATCCAAGATAGATCGAGGGGCAGACCATGATGCATGCCCATTGGGGAATGGCAACACGAGCTGTTGGGTGCATCGTCGACAGCTTCTCCGCATTCCTGCCCCCCCTTCTACGACGTCGACCCCATGTGACCCCAGCAGTTGCCCGGTAGTTCAGCAGGGGTCGGCCAAGCGTACGCATCGTGTGCAGATGGGAGATGGTGAGCCAGGGGTTTCGCAGCGGACGTTGTTCGCGATGCGGGGACCTCTGCATATTGTTCACACCACCTCGTGCTCACTAACAAATCCACGGGCTTTTCAGGTGCTGGGTCTGGATGAATTTCGAATGGCTGGAATGCGACCTTGGACCCCCCGTCGGGAAGACTCAGGAGGAAAGGACCAAATTCGCTACTGCAAGCCACGTCCCAGTGCGGTAGTGTAGCGGGCTCCCGCCCAGTCAGAAGCAGAGACGCCCTGAGATGGGCCACAGGGATCTTTCAGCTTGGAGAGGGTCCAGATGTCGATGTGACACTGCTCCCCATCCTGAAGTCTCTTGACAAGAGCATGGCAGCAAAGCCTGTCTTGAGATGACAAGATGTGAAAAATGCGACCTAGACAAGCGCATTACAACATGCTTGTATTTGCTTTATTTAATGGACAGGCAGCGCCGAGGTAGGCACTGTGGGGCTGATTGATTCAATAGTTGCATATTACACATATATGCGTGCCAAGTACTCCGCAGTTCTCCAAGAAGATCCCGTGGACGGGCCTGGGTTGATCATGAAGATATTATCAAACACACATGTCTCGATACCCAAGGGTGGGCACGCGTGGAACGAGGTTACTCTGCCGTCGGATGGCACTTCGAGTTCTTGCTATCGCAGGCGCGAACCGGTTGATAGCAATAGAAACCGGTTTCAGGGCTTGGTTTATTGGAAAGGACCCTGGATGGCCGGCCTGTTTATGACGACATGACGGATGGCCGCTGCCGATGGTCAAGGTCGTCCGGGGCTTCGAGACTCGAGGGGATGTCGCCGCCTCACAGACCTGTAGACGACGTGTAAACACAGTCGGACATTTTACTCATGCATCCCATCCTATCGAACAAGGCTTCGTGTTCAGACTCTCACCACCTACAAGTCGTGCTAGCTCCTAGGATCACAACCAAAATCACACACTCCGACCCTTGGACCCTTGCTCTCGTACGCCGACGAGCATCCGAGCATCCCCAGATTGAAGCATCATGGTCAACTCGCTGGACTTCCAGCTCCAGAACCAGACCAACTCGGGCCAGGTCTGGGCCTACATCACTGGCATCGCTATCCAGAATGACTGGAAGCGCATGTTCCTCAAGGCCAACGGCCGGGACGTCTACTATCCGGAGCAGGTCTCGTCCATCGGGTCGCCCCTCGCAGCGGACTGCGCGATCCCCCTCGGCCCCCCGGGGAACACCGTCTCGGTCCACGTGCCCCAGATCGCCGGCGGCAGGATCTGGTTCGCCTGCGACAGCAAGCTCCAGTTCTTCCTGAACCCCGGCCCGGCTGTTGTCGAGCCCTCGGTGCTCAACCCCAGCGACCCAAACGCCAAGGTCAACTTCACCTTCGCCGAGTTCACCATGAACAGCGACCAGCTCTTCGCCAACATCAGCTACGTGGACTTCGCGTCCCGCATGCCCATCGCGCTGACGCTGCAGACAGCGGGCGGGGGGGTGCAGCACGTGTCGGGGATGGCGGCAGACGGCATCGACAAGCTGTGCGACGGCCTGCGGCAACAGGCGCAGAAGGACGGTCGGCCATGGGACAAACTCATCGTCCAGCCAAAGGGCCAGCCGGTCCTCCGGGTGCTGAACCCAACACACGGCGAGGCGGTGGGGGCCAGCTTTGCCGGCTACTTTGAGCCATACGTCGAGGAGGTGTGGCAGAGGCACAGCAAGAGCCCGATGCGTATCAACACTCAGGCCGCCGCTGGCATGGTGGCCGGCACCGTCAACGCCAAGGGCGAGCTCGTGTTTGGCAACGAGCCCTTCCGGAAGCCCAACAGCGCAGACATCTTTGGCTGCAACAGCGGGCCCTTCACCACGGGCCCATCGCCGTACCGCAACAGCATCATCCCCCGGCTGGCCGCTGCGTTCCAGCGCTCAGCCTTGCTGGGCGGCGACGACCATCCGTCCGACCCCTCGACCTTCTATCGGCGCGACCCGACCAACCACTACTGCAGGATCTTGCACGCCGTCAACCTCGACGGCAAGGGCTATGCCTTTGCCTACGACGACGTCCAGCCAGACGGGGGAGCCGACCAGTCGGGCAAGGTCAACGCCGGCGATCCCACGGCTTTTATCGTGGCAGTCGGCGGCAACAATGCGTACGCTGGAGATCGCATGCCGCCATCACCATCAGCCCCTCCTGTCCCTGCCCCTGCCCCTGCCGCTGGCCCTGCCCACGGCTCGCACGATGGTGCTGGCGATGATGCGCAAGCAGCCCCAGCCCAGGCCAGGCCTCACCCTGGCAGTGTATCACGTATCAAGCGGCTCTCGGCAAAGGCGCAGAAGTGGCTGAACAGGTGAGATGGGTCCCGCCGAGCAGGCTTGTTTTGCGCCGTTTTGCAACACTTGGGTGGTTTGACGTAACGTCGGTTTTGGTGCGCTTCCGCAGTATAGACAGCTTTGTGATACCCTTACTGTACAACAATCCTATGCAGAATCCTACCCAGACATTGAAGAGAGCTCCAAGTACATATGTAGTGGTCTTGACGTGAGCTGATGTGTACGCCCATCCGAGGTGGTACTTACTCAAGTACCTAGGTACTTGTCTGCCTGGTACCTGGGTAAGTAGGTCTCGCTAAGTTAGACTGCAATTGAACCATTGATGCGGGCCCAAAGCTGCCCGCGCCCGACCCCACCATGCCACTGCGCGCATCATGACTGGGAAGCCCCTCCACACTTCTTTCCTCCTCCGTGCCTAGAAACCAGCAATTCCCCCCTGGAACCCCAGCCTGGCCTCGTGGGAGCTTGTTGGAGCTCATCTGTTCTCGCAGGATGGAATACGACACCAAGACACGTATGTTCTGGCACTCCTTTGCCTCAGGCGACAACTCCTCGGTGCCAAGATTGACCAGCTTCCAACCCGTACAGCCGCCTACTCGACAGGGGACAAGACCTCGTTTGGGTGGACCACGGCAAGAGATAGGTGGCCTGTCATCATCGTCTGTCCCACCCCACCCTCCGTCTCTCTCTCCTGCCCTTTATATCCACGGATGAGCCACCGCAAGCTGACTCCTCTCGCCCCGAGCGGCAGACCCAAGCTATCGACGACGTGTACCGGACCACCTCCCAGAGCAAGGACCCAGCCACCACCCAAGAGGGGAAGAAGATCGTTGACGAGCTCGCCCGCCTGAAGTATGAGGTCCAGCACGACCGCAAGCTGACCCCCATACGGGACGATGGCTTCCCCGACGTCGACATCTACAACAAGGAGCTGGAGCAGCTGGGCAACCCGAGCTGGCTCAACGTCAACTGGCTATACTGCGAGTGCTACCTCTTCAGGCGCATAAGCACGTCCTTTGCCCTCTCCGAACACTGGAAGACCTACGACGTCTTCGCCCGCCAGAAGATTAGGACATTCCGCTCCTCCCGCCCCGCCGTCCTCGAGCTTGCCGCCCGCTACAAGAACCTGCTCAGGCAGGTCGAGGAGGGACGCGGGGAGCCGGCGGATGAGGAGGCAGAGAAGATCTTGTTCCTGGAAATGTGCGAGATCTGCCTATGGGGAAACGCCACCGATCTGTCACTCCTGACCAACCTCACCTACGAGGACATCCAGAAGCTGCAGGGATCCGAGGCCAGGAAGAACGCCGAAAAGAACATCCTCGTCAACGACCTGCCTGCTGTCTACGATTTGCTCAGGAAGGCCAAGGCCGAGGGCCAGAAGGAGCGAAGAGTAGACATCGTCCTGGACAATGCTGGATTCGAGCTTTTTGTCGACCTGATCCTTGCCGGGTATCTGCTGTCCTCGGGTCTGGCTACGCACGTGGTCCTGCACCCCAAAGACATCCCCTGGTTTGTATCCGACGTCCTGCCCAGCGACTTTGCCGAGCTGCTCAATGCCCTTGCAAGCCCCAGGAAGTTCTACGAGACACCGTCAGAGGACGAGGTGCTTCAGAACAAGACCCCAGAGCCGCTCGCGGATAAGGAAGCCGAGGACCTGTCTTTCTTGTTCCAGAACTGGAGCCAGCTCTATGCTGAAGGGCAGGTCATTCTGCGGCCAAATCGCTTCTGGACACACCCGGGCAGTTTCTGGAGGCTGCCGAACGTGGCCAAGGAACTTTACGAGGACCTCAAGACGAGCCATGTCATCATCTTCAAGGGCGACCTAAACTACAGGAAGCTCACCGGCGATGTGGGTTCCCCTTGCCTACCACGATTGCCTCGTGCTTCATTCACCCACTGGGTTTGCTGACTCTTTCTGTAGGCACAATGGGATGCCTCGACGCCCTTCACCGAGGCAATTGGTCCATTGGGGCCCGGATCGGGGCTCAACGTGCTGGCCCTGCGGACCTGCAAGGCGGACGTCGTTGTGGGTCTGCCTCCTGGCAAGGACGAGGAGCTGCGCGCGATGGACGGGGGAGGAGGTGATTCGGGCGCGCGGAAGTGGGCATGGAACGGCAAATGGGCCGTGGTTTCCTTCTCATCTGGAAAGTGAGACTGCCCATTAATGGGCCTCCCCCCCCCTTTATCCTGGGTCGCCCACAGCAGCCCAAGCTTAGATAGAGCTGGTACATGAAGACAAATAGAAAAAAGCCCATGCATTGGTCTTGAACGGGTGACGGAAGGGTCCTGGAGGGTCCCCCGTGAAGCTGAGGGCGCTGTTATCGTCCTTCAAATCACCATCCATATCACGTAAATGCAACAGTAGTGCCCAACAATGCAGATGGGTGAATCTGCATCCGGTTTCGCCTGAGCCGGCCAATGGAAATGCAAGGGGCAAAAAAAGGGGAGCATCGGCGCTTTTGTCTGGCGTCCCCAGCCAGCCCAGCAAGCCCAGCTAACATCACCCAAGCCGCTAGAAGGCCCCTGGCAAGGTCCAGAAGCTCGGCATATCTCCAATTTCAAGCACGTTATATTCTGTGGCGGTTAAGACGAGGGGTTATCTGGGCTCTCGGGTGATGCCGTTGACATAGAAATGCGGCTGATAAGTAGCAAGCTTAATACCTTTCTCTGCCTTGGCCGGAGGTACATGTATGGGCTTATTCCCAGTTCTCTCGATGTCCGTCTTGGTGCAGTGCTAGAGAGCATCTTCGATCCCGTCCTCACAGCCCAAGATGAGCTCCCCCGAGCAGCCGGACAAGAAGGAGGCGGCCGTCTTCGGAGACCCGGTTGCCGTCGACGGCACAACCATAAGCCATGACCCAGACGTCCTGGTCAACGCGTCAGGCCACGCCCAGGAGCTCTCGCGCCGTTTCAACCTGCTCTCGCTCGCCGGCGTGGGCATCACGGTGGGAAACGTGTGGCCGGCAATCGGCGGCACCATCCTGGTGGCGATATCCAACGGAGGCCCGCCCGGTGTGCTGTATGAGTTCATCGTCGTCTCCTTCTTCTACTTCATGGTCGCCGCCAGCCTGGCCGAGCTGGTCTCTGCGATCCCCAGCTCGAGCGGCGTTTACCACTGGGCATCCATCACGCCGGGGCCCAAGTACGGGCGCGCCGTGGGCTTCTTTGCGGGCTGGTGGAACTACCTTGCCTGGACGATGGGTGCAGCCAGCATGGCGGCTATCTTTGGCAACACCATCGTGCAGATGTACGCCGTCAACCATCCTGCATTCGTCGCGCAGCCGTGGCATGTGTTTGTGGTATACGTCATCTCCGCCTGGCTCGGGTGTGCTGCCGTGTGCCTGGCCAACTCGGCGATGCCGCACCTGAACAAGATCGGAATCTTCACCATCCTGGCCGGCTTCCTCATCACCGTCGTCGTCGTGGCGGCCATGCCCGGACACGACGGCCGCCCACCGCACGCCACCAGCGAGTTCGTCTGGAAGCAGTGGACCCAGGCTCTGGGCTACCCCGACGGCTTCGTGTTCGTCGCGGGCATGCTCAACGGCGCCTACAGCATCGGCGCCGTCGACGTCATCACGCACCTCGCCGAGGAGATCCCAAACCCGCAGAGGAACGTCCCCATAGGGATGGCCTTGCAGCTGAGCATCGGCTTCACCACCGGGTTCTGCTACCTCGTCGCCATCATGTATGCGATCAGCGACCTTAGCCTGGTGGCAGAGTCGGCCTACCCCATAGCAAAGATCTACGAGCAAGCCACGGGGAGCGCGGCGGGGGCAAGTGGGATGCTGGCACTGATCATGATAAACATTGGGCTGTGCGTTGTCGGCCTGTTCATCACGACCGGGCGCACACTTTGGACCTTGGCCCGGGACGGCGCCGCCCCCTTTCCCGGTTTCCTCGGCAAGGTGGATCACAGGTTGGACATGCCCCGGAACTCGACCTTGACAACGGCTGTGCTCGTCACGATCCTCGGCTGTATCTACGTCGGCAGCACCACGGCGTTCAATGCGCTGATTGGGTCGACGAGCCTATTCTTCTCCAGCTCATACATCGCCGTTCTTCTTCCGCACCTCATCACGCGCAGGAAGGGGATCACGTACGGCCCCTTCAGGATGAGAGGGTGGGTTGGCTTCCTGGTGAACGGCCTGGCTTGTGCGTATTTGATGGTGTGGTTTGTGATATACTCTTTTCCGTACTTCCTGCCCGTCGACGCGCAGAGCATGAACTATGCGTGCCTCATTTGGGGAGGGCTGACAACTATTGTCGGACTGTGGTGGTTATTTGGCGCCAGGAAGGGATACGAAGGCCCTCAGACGACTGGCGGTCTGCTCGAGGCGGAGAAGGTTTCTGGTAGCTAGGAGCATTTAACCTGCAGAGTTCCCAATGGTCAGCAAATATGATGGATAGTTATGTAGAAAGCGACACATGAATACACTTCGAATATATAAATCGGCATGCTTTCCGCAAAACGCGGCTATTTGTCCTTGGGCTACTTGTGTCGACGATCAGCGGCGCCGTTGTGAGCGACGCCTCCTACCTACGTAGGCTCCACACGTTGTTTGTGCGGCACGAGGCTGAGGCCACGTGCTCACGTATTGTATTCTATGTGCACTGTTATTGGCATTGGGCCTTTTTAAACCCTGGATCTTGAGCGTTTACTGCTGTATGAAGGCGCCATGTACAGTGTCTTCGGACATCTACGGAATAGAAGCGAAAAAAGTGTAAAGGGAAAATATAGTGTGGCTGAAGCTTATTGATATTTTTTTATTTTTGATGCTGGGTCTTGAGCGTTTACCACTGTATGAAGGCGCCACATACATTTTATTTGTATGGTGATCAAAACATTTGAAACGAAACCACCCATCAAGGTATCCCGTAGGCTTTTTGGTTGCGTCTTTAACGTCAAATGATATTATGACATGAAAACCAATTCCCTCTTAGGACCCAAGCCCTTCCAGTCGTGTTCGCTAATGAATCGGCCCTGTGCAGTGACATTGACTCTCTCGGCTCTGCTCCCTTCGATGTCCATGAGCATCAATCGGAACGATTGCCTGTCCGGATTGTGGCCAACAACAATGAACGGGAGATGAGTGCCCTTTCGAGCTACATAAGCGACATTGAGGCATATACTTGTAAGTTGTCGATTCGTGTAAGGATGAATAACCCGATACTCCCGCGACGGACCCACAAAGTCGCCCGGCGGCGCTCGAAGTCTTAGATACGCAAGACTGGTATAGAATGCAATCAGGTTGCTTGACCCGCTTTCCTGACTCTGGAGTAACTCTTGCTTGGACCTGATGGATTCCTCATCGGGAACGAAGTGGCTGCGAAGGTCGGAGTCCATGCTTGCAAGATGCTCACCGCATGAATATGCAGCCAGTCCCTCTTGCCCAAGAAGACTTATGCCCGCAGTGCCGACTTTGTAAAATGCCAGGAGTTTGCTCGTGTTCGCACCGATGCTCAAGGGCTGGATCCCTACATCGGCTTGTTCTCGGCGGTAAATCCAGCCTGTCCATGACCACGAGGGAAAACCTGCCCGGCGCTGAAGGCTAGCATCCCAAAACCAGCATCCGTAGATCACCTCCGGGAACGATTTCTCGGGGACCCCGTGATAAGCATGGCCGATTAAAGGTTCCAGCATGCCGGCGACGCCGGCAAAAGCGTTCTCCATGTCGTCGGTTCTGCTGAGTGTGCGCTGCATGTATTTCTTCACCAATGCTCTGAAGAGTGAGACCGAATCCTCGTCATCTACAGGGGCCCTACCATTAAGCATGGAGGTCAGTGATATCAGCCCCTCTTCCGACCTCGGGCAAGTTTCCTCGGCTTCTAATTGAATGTCCTCTCTCCAGACGGCTGAAGCACATGAGAAGAAGATGACTTCCGGCAATAGGACTAATGTTCTGCGCGAACAAAGCTCTTCCTGAAATGTCCATCCGCGTGTCCTCCACGGTGACATCTCTATTCCGTGCTTGGTGCTCGACGGAAGCCGCATCAAGGACAGCGAGCCAGGCAATTCGTATCGATGATGCTTGTATACCCTGTCCTTCCCAAGTGTGACTCCAGGTAGCCCTTCCGAACAATTATCTCCATCAGCAGCCACGATGGTCATATCGGCATGTCGGTAAATCTCGTGCATCCGGGATATTTGTGCATGACGAGACGCTGCATCGTCTTGCACAATGCACAGTGCGTCGACCCAGATGTAACGGTAGCCAATGTTCTGCACCAAATGTATCGCGTCTCGAATAGTATTAGGTACGTTTACATTTCTCAACTGGCCATCGGACATCCACGTTTCTAGCACTGCTTTCGTTAATGTTGGCTGGGAAACATAGCCCCAAACATAGCTCAGAGCTATGTACGGCACGGGCTTGTTCGAGGCGACTGGAACAAGGCACATCTGATCAGCATCTATGAGAATCAATCCGGGCGGGTATGAGTCCTCGTTCCGCCTAGTGCAGAGGTTGTGCTTGTCTTCGCAACGACGAAGCCAGAGCTTGATTATGTCGACGTCCACACGTTCTGCCACCTCCCTGGCGAAGCCTGGCTTTCCCTTCTGCAACGGAATAAGGACGCAAACATCTTTGGAGTGCTGTCTGTATTCCTTCCTGAGGGACGTGTCTGGGACTAGCTCATAGCTCTGCTCGAAGTCTAACAAGGCTGACGGATCCGATCGAGACTGGCCGCTAGGCTCCTCAGTCAATGGTTGAGACGCTCGTGACGTGGCTGAAAGATATAGATCCGTGCTGAGGAGGCGTCTCCTAGGTCCAACGCTCAAGGCTTTCTCGTCACGCCGGAACTCCTGCAGCCTGATTGCTGACCAACTGTCACGCTTCTCCAGGACGAAGTCGACTTTCTCAATTGAGGTCCACCCAAGCCTGGGCTGCTTGCGCTGGTCAGGGGGCGGCACGTGGTTCTTGACTGCTATCTCCTTCTCAGACTGCGTCGCAACCTCAAAATTGTAATAGAGTCGACCTAGGTCAAGCTCTCCAGATGCCGAGAGGTCCTTCATTGAGCTGCACACCACGCAATTCTGCGACCCTTCGTGTTGGGAAAAGATCTGTTTCATCAAAGCCACCGTCTGGGCAAGACTGTCCTGGTCGACGATGGCTTTGGAATCATCCTCTGGAGGTATCAGGTTCCTGCCTTGGTCCCATAGACTTACTCCCGGTGAGTCAGTAGATTTAGTCTCAACAAGGGCAGTAAAGTCCTCGGCTGTACGGCCTGGGCCATCCTTGCCAGAACTGGAGGGCTGCGGTGCTGAGACTGGTACCGAGGGCGGTTGAGAGACAACTGCGTCGTCCTGTGTGATATCTGAGATGGGGAGTCCTTGTCCAAGTATACCATGTGGTTTCGCAATAGAGGGGGCATGTTCTATTTGGCGGTATAGACTGAGGTATAGTCGAGTGAATCGCCTAGTCTGTCGGTCAGTCACATGCAGTATTTCCAAAAGAATGTCTACAGCGTGAAATACAAACATGAGTGTAGATACTTCCTGTTCAAATTGGCCTACGACTCGAACCTCATTTTCTACAAGTTGGCAAAGCGGACATTCGGGTGAAGATTGTGTTTTTCTCCAGGAGTGAACAACTTTCGGCTCCTCTCCGATCGGTTGTAGCTTCTCCCATCGGGTCCGAAGGAGAGCACTGTTGGAGCATGCAGCACATAGCGACATTGTTCAACGCCTGGGTGTTGCAGAGAATCGTCTGGTGTTTTGCATACGAAATGAAAGAGGGAACGTCAGGAGAGGGCCGAACAGTGGATGCCCAGGTGGCCGGGTACCTACTTAAGTAGGTAGTTGTGTGGGGAGTCTCCAGGGCTAATGGTTCAGCCGCACCTGGGCAGCTTGATTCTGGTTAAGGACTGACTGCGCTTGTTGCAGGTACTTAAGTAGGCTTGACGGCTCAGCTGTCCAGTCTGCTCATGGGCAAGCTCAATGCCACGTGACCACTTCCTGACTACCTAGGTACCTACTTAAGTAGGTATGTATTTACAGCTCGCCGGGAATGCACATTTGCAGTTGAGGTTTTGCTTTCAAGTGCTGGTGTAAATCGTTCCAAGTTTCCGTAGCTTGAGAACGAATAATGTCAATATTACCGTTGTATCAATAGCATTTAAATTAGGTTTGATCAAATTGAATTCACGTCAGTACTACTTTGTAGTACAGATCTCGCCACAGAAGACAAATTTCCCAGGTGATTTGTTTCGACACAGCCGGCCAGACTGTATATGAATCACTTTAAGCTGATTGCTTTATGGCACTGATTGACTTGAGAATTCTTGCGACCTCTCAATAGCTGACCATCAGGTGTGCTCCAAATGCCACAGGGTGTAAGTGGTTTCGTTCTTAGGTGGTTTTGTTCTTAATTTGTCCGTGCACATGTCGAAGGCATACGGTTTCTTTACACAGTGGTAAACTCAAGGGCCCAGCGTTTGAAAAGAAACACAGTGTGAGTCACGGGGTATAAACACTTTCCAAATATCATCCTACAAACCAAAGTAATGAGAAGTGACCTGTCCTCAAAACGAAGTGACGAGAGGCAAGCCGTGACCAGAGACATGGACAAGAATCAGTCAAAATTTTATGCCAACAAAAAAAGTGGCCGGAAGCGTCCGAATTCTTATACCTGCAAAATATTCCTTCAGCATCTCAGTGAAACTGCACTTAAAAAACTTGATGTTACATGGAGCATTATTGTGCAAGAGCATTGAACAGGAATAAGACCCCACAAAGGTGTGGGATTCGGACGTTGGCAAGGACTTGTGCAGCAGCTGGTGAATACATTCATAGGTAATTTCCCTATTCCATCAATGATACTACCCATTCCTGACTGATACGAAGGATACCCTAGGGTAGCCTGATACATCGACGCACAAGGTCGGCTCGACTAGGGGTTCCGTTCAGGACAGTAGCAACCCGACAAGTTCCCATACACTTCATCGAAAGCTTCAAGCACGAGCTTGAAGTGGCACGAAGCATAGCAGCTACGAGTATAAATGGACAATTACCATGTTGATATTCTCGTCCTCGCCTCCAATTTTGCAGGGTGCTTCACCGACAACTGGGATAACCACACCCTGAGAGCACAGACGTGGAAAGATGGGGCTGAAATCACCATTGAGTGGTGCTTCACTAATTGTGCATGGCTTGGTTATCCGTATTACGGCCTCCTGGAATACGGAAAACTATGTGAGAGCACTCTCCCTTCATCACATTTCGAACGCACTTGGCGAGCGCTGACATGGTCAGGCTTCTGTGAATACGAAGTTCCGGGAGCTGCCACTAATTGTTCCAGTCCCTTAAGCTGTACATCATGCTTGGGAGAAGCATCACAGTGCTGTAGCAGCTCGGAACCAATATCCGTCTACCGCGTATCGACAAGCACGACCACAGTCACCATCGCGACAGGGCCCTCGCCTACCCAGTCAAACGCGGCTCCTGCGAATCAGTCACCGAGCCCTAGCTTCTCCGAAACCGAGGCTTCCTCACCACTCACCTCTGATACCAGTGTAGCAACAGTAACGACGCCATCAGTGGGACTATCACAAACAAACACAATATTTCCAGGACCGACAACGTCCATTTCCCCTGCTCCACCGTGGAGCTCGGTGTCACCCTCGATGCCCAGTCACTCGTCTCCATGGCCTGAAATGTCTAATTCTTCAGCCATCGGCTCCACTACAAATTACGGCAATGGTACAGCCGGGTCATCTCAGACAAATATGACACTGCCTACCAGCTCCACCGATATTTCGAGTATCTTCATGTCTTCGTCAGCGATGCCTGGCAGTACGCCACTTGTGTCGGTGTCCACAACTCAGCCAATCTCTGCCACCGTCTCGGGCGAGCATAGCTCACAGACCTACGGTCCAAGTCCGTCCACGATACTCTCTGATCCTGATGCATCTTCATCTTGGACGCAGCCGAACACCCCATTACCTTCCAGCAGCGAGGTCACGAACACCACCAGCTCAGATACCTTGGATGGCCGACTGAACACGGTCATTATTGTTGGGGCTGCGGCAGGAGGCGCTGCGTTGCTTGGATTTATCGTGTTTGGGATTTGGTTTCTGAGGAAGATCAAGAAGAAGCCGGATGACGATGATGATGATAGCTCGATGGTGGGGATGCCTCTGGATGATGAGCTACCCGCAGGCATGGGGAATGGTATACGGCGCGTGAGAGGCAATGACGACTGGAATTGAGAGTTACCTAAGTTCATTGATGTTTTTTTTTTGGGAGGGGGGCCCGGGGGGGGGGGGGGCGGGTTTGGGCGGAGAAGGGAAGAAGGCATCAAATGACTGACAACCTTAGAACTTCCACCTCGGATTTTGGTGATACAAATAGAAGAGACCCCACTCGTGACTAATACATGTACCTGGCCGACGAGGCTCTTGCCCGCAGCGTTTAACTTCCAAGGTTGTCAGTGGTTGGTACCTAGGTACATCAAATCAGCAGGGCAGCGCCACAAAACGGCGACGAGCCCCGCATCGATAACAAGTTCATGTCATGCAACCTTCTCGCCGAGTCAAGTTCGTGATCCCCTCACCTCGATTAGCCTTGAGTTCCGATCGACGTCCCGGCCCGGCCCGCAGCTTTGAAGTGGAAAAAACAGGCCCCACAGGCCGCAGCCACAGACCTCAGCACTCCGCAACGTCCATCATAAAATCCCTACAGCACACTTGGGCAAGCATGGCGGCACCGGTAGCACGCTACAGGCTCATCTTCCACGCGCCGCTCACTGCGGTGGCGGCGTGCAAGCAGGCCATCTTCGCAGCGGGTGCTGGTAGGTACCCGAACTACAGTGAGTGCTCCTTCACGGTGGTGGGCACTGGCCAGTTCAGACCGGGCGACGCTGCGAATCCACACATCGGCAAGGTGGGCGCGCTCGAGGAGGTGCAGGAGGCCAAGGTGGAGACGCTCTGTGTCGGGGAGGAGACGACCAGGAAGGCCGTAGAGGCTTTGAAGAAGTGAGTAGTCTATATCCTATCAATTGATCCTGCTGCAGCTCACCATCCTGGGCCGGCAGGGCACATCCTTACGAAGAGCCATCATATCACGTGTACAAGCTGGAGGACTTCTGAGGACTTCTGAGGACTTTGGATGACTTTGGAGGAGCGACAGGCGAGCCGATTGTGAGCTCCGGACCCAGGTGGGAATTAGCACTCGCATGAGAAAGCACGAGTATGGCATCGTTGGAGCTGGACCTTGACCTAGATAAAATAAGTGTTTCGCATCTACGACAGGGTATCGAATCTATGAAATCCTTGATCACTACAAGCCGTTTTCCAAATCCCAGGCCAATGCTAACGCCGCCGCTAAATAATCAATCGATGAGCCCACCTTCCCCCGGCATCTTATAATGGGTCAACAATGGCTATTGTCGCTGCGTCCGCCAGCTTGTCTACGACCCCGCCAGCGGCCGGTTGCTTGTTGGATGGCCTCTGCTTCGTGGTCTTCCTGGGCTGCTTGTTGCCGGCTGTGGCCTTGGCCGTGGCTGTCTTGCCGGTGCCCTCCCCCTCTGCCCTCCAGGCCTCCTCGATCTCGGCGAGCGCGGCCACAAGCCCAGGACCTGACTTGTCCCAGAGAACATGCTCCTCGTGCTTGGTCCACGGCCTGAGCACAAAGTTGGAGACGGTGGTGGCGTCCCTGGCCTCAGGGCGCCCGATACCGACCGCGATCCGAGACCATCTGGAGTCGCTGTATTGCTCAGGGTTGGTGACGGACTTGATGCTCCTCATGCCGTTGTGGCCGCGGTGGCTCCTCTCCCACTTCTGGACCTTGATGGCGCCCAGGTCCTCCTCCAGGTCGTCGTTGACGATGACCAAGCCCAGCGGCCTCGAGGGGTGCTGCTCGTGGTGGGTGGCTAGGACCTCCTTCCACGCCTTTGCGACCCAGGGCCCGGACACGTTCATGTAGGTCGGACACTGCACGAGGGTGTACTTGTCGCCGGCGGAGGCCTTGGCGGCCTTCTTGCCTATACGCTCGGATGAGAAGGCTGGCTGGCCGTGTGCAAGGTGCAGCTGCTGCTGGACCGCCTGCAGGGCAAGGTGGCCTGCCGAGTGGAGCGTCTTTGTGTGGGGGGCCGGATTCCCGAGGCTGACGACGAGAAAGCGAGGGTTGAAATGTGGCGGTGCGTCCTGTGTCGCCATTGTGGTGTATGTGTGGGAGGGGATTGATAATGAGCCAAGCAGCTGGCGGGCACGAACGACGAGGCCGTGGCAGCTCGAGGCCGGCATTATGTACCTTGGTAGGGACATTCTTCTGGTCGGGGCTGGCGACGGCCGTCTTACTTGTTCAAGTTGTATATTTAGCCCTATTTTGGATGACTCCTTGCCGTGTCTTTTGGCGCGCAGAGAAAGAACAGGCCGGTAGTCCCGGGCTTTGCTAGTGCAATTAGGAGGATGCAGTAAGCAAACCGAGTCGAGTCACCACTTGGCTCTGAGTGCTTGCAGCCACTGGCAAGTGGCTCCTCCTAGTGAGGCTGTGCCCGGTGACGTAGGCGCCTGCCTCTGACTGCCACGGTGCCGTAGTAGTGCGTGCACCCGAGCACAGCCACGGGTTGGGCTCTTGGCTGCCCGCAGCTGCTCCCGACGGACCATCAACACTCTGTCTGGCTCTCTGGGCTGCTTCGGCTGGCGACGACATTCCATTGCGAACACGCCCATATCACCACTCCAACAGCAACATTCGACGCGCGTTATACATCACCTCGGCCCTGAGAATCTCTTAGTCGACTCTAGGAAACAGACACCCCCTCCCCCCTCCCGCCTGACTCCCTGCTCGACCCCTATCCGACTGCTTCAGTTGCTCCCTCCACAACATCGCCCAACATGTCGTGGGCAGGTACGACGCCTCTCCCTCGCCGCCGGCTACGACCCCCGGGCGGGTCCGGGCAGGGGAACAAAGAGCTTACTGACGTGGGCTAAATGGTAGGCTTCAAGAAGAATGTCAACCGCGCGACGACGCAGGTTATGATGAAGACTGGTCCGTCCCATCAACCCACATGCACCCCTCAAACCCCGCCACTCTGGCGCTGATCATTGACGGTGCTATCAACAACAGGCCATGTCGAAAAGACGAATGACCGCGATTACGAAGTGGAGGAACGGTACGAAGCACCCGCCTGTGCACCCATGAGATCATGAATTGCATCTGACACTTCAATGTTGTACCCCAGCCGGTTCCGCACCATGGAGGCTGCATCATTACGGCTGCAGAAGGAAGCCAAGGGATATCTCGACTCTCTCCGAGGTTTGCCCTCCCGCCATCCTCTCCCTCCCAGCCCGGGGAAAAGACACCCGACCCTCTGACCACGCCCACAGCAATGACCGCATCACAAATGCGCATCGCCGAGACCATCGACGCCTTCTACGGGGACGCCGGTGCCAAGGACGGCGTCAGCAGGAGCTACAAGCAGGCCGTGGAAGATCTCGACGCAGAGACAATAAAAGCGCTTGACGGCCCATACCGGTACGACCGCCTGGGTGGAAACAAACACGGCCCGGGAAACAAAAGCTGGCAACGGGCCGCGGCTGACTACAAGGCAGGACAACGGTGCTGGAGCCCATCACGAGATTCTGTGCATACTTCCCCGACGTGAACGAATGTATGACAACCGGGCGCTATCTGCTGGGGGCCTAGCGAGGACTTGCTAACGCTGGCAACAGGTATCAAGAAGCGCAGCCACAAGCTGCTCGACTACGACGCCCTCCGAGCCAAGGTCAAGCGGCTCGTCGACAAGCCCGACAAGGATGTCACCAAGCTGCCCCGGGCCGAGAAGGAGCAGGAGATGGCCCGTGCCGCCTACGAGCAGCTCAACGAGCAGCTCTCCACCGAGCTGCCCCAGCTCATCGACCTTCGCGTCCCTTACCTCGACCCCTCCTTCGAAGCCCTCGTCAAGATCCAGCTGCGCTTCTGCGCAGAGGCATACAGCCGCATGGCTCAGGTCCAGCAATACCTCGACGCCGAGACTAGGGATCAATACGCACAGGGCCAGCTCGACGCCCGCGTCGAGCAGGTTCTGCAGGAGATCAGGGAGTTGAGCATCAGTGGCACAGTCTAGGCCCCTCCGCCGGCGAGCGAATCCTTGGGGGTCTTGTCTGTTGGCGAATGGGCGGCGTACTCGGTTCAATTCTTTTTTTGGGGTTTCTGGTCTCGTCCAACGTGGTGACACCGCGACGGCCATGGAGGCCGGCTGTGTTCTTGGGTTATGGGGCCGCCGTCGCGCCGAAGTAGACCGGCCCGATGGTCTGGCCCGGATGGCTCCCAACCCGTGGGTCTGTACAACGGGTAGCACCACTACACAATGGCATTAGCATCTTCAAACCTTACAAGTAATGTATTCCCAATCACCGGGCTTGTCTCACGCCCGCCAATCGCCTTTGCGTGCTCAACAGATAACAATCCAGCCTCGGGCATAGCACTCGCTCAGCCCCTTCAGGAGAGCAGGCATGGCCAGGCCATTTTGCTGGGCACTAGATTGGTCCCAGGCGCGAAGCCGAGGAACTCAAACCTCGCATGTGGGAGTACAGTACAGCTCTCGTCTTCATCGCTTGCACCCTAGGGCTACCCCGGGGTTTGCCTCCCGGCGGGGATGATGGTGCTCGTGGAACAGGAGCATGCCTGGATCGTTCTGTGGGGCCGCAGGAGCGAGAAGCCATCGCGGTTATCAAGCCCAGCTGCTCGTCACATTCCGTACCCATCCAAGCCAGAAGAGGGGCCCAGGTGCGCCTACGGGATGTTTTCTGGCCAACGGTTCTGGACCGACGTGGTCTCGAGCTTCGGGATGATGCCCTGGCAGGGTAAAAGCCTCGAGCTGCCCATGCACGTTTGTTCACCACGCCCAGTGATGCGCAGATAGGCTCCCTGGCTCCCAGGGCTCGGCGTGAGGCTTATTTACCCCCCCGGGGCTGCGCTTTGACTGCTGGGTTGCATGGCCCCCTTCTCGATCGCAGCCCTTATTTGGACGTGTAGATCCTCGCGTGGCTGGCCGACTGGTGCTTGTGGGTTGGGTATCAAGTGATTAGCGAGAGAGGTGTGTGTGTGTGTGTGTGTGCCGGGGATTGGCACAGATGCGGCATTGTAGCGCGAGCATGGGGAGGCTGAATCATGCAAACTGGCGTTAGCTGTTTCCCCGAGGCGTTTTGCCCGTGTGATTCTTGTTTGGAGTGTTGGTGGTGTAGGTCATTAGGAAAGGGGAACACAGTTTGTTCTACGCAGGCCGGCCCGAGGCTCAAACAGGGAGCAATTGACTGCCTCGGCCTCGAGGCTATTTGTATTACATGGAGCACTTCGCGTGAGCGCATGCGTTGTTGATTCTCGACAAGGCTCCCCCCTCCCCGATATAAGACCTGGCCTATGCAGGCCTCAGGGGTCAAGCCTACGTACGTACTGGCGAGGGCAGCGTGCCGCCGATCTGTTTTATTCCGATCGTCCAAGTCACCGCCCAAACACCACGAAAAAAGACAACGACTGCTGCCGTAGAGACACTATTGATACTTGATGGACCATCAGTATCCACATCCCGCTGTAACCAGTCGACGATGCTGCGTGCCGGCAGGCCGGACACCAAGACACCCGCTTGCTGTCAGTTTTAAGTTCTGCACCGTGATTCTGCAGTCTTGTCACTAAGCCTTGGTACTGTCAGTGATCCGCTGCCGGTTTCCGGTCCGGGTCTTTGACTTTCGGGAGCAGTCCCCGGCTTGAGCATTCAATGATGAGCCATCTCCACATGTTTCTTGCCAACAGGTCGCCCTGTCTCTGGGATGTGATGTGGTTTCGAAGGTAACTCGACAACAGCCCGTGTACCATCCGCGGCACCAGGGATCGTGGGGAGCCCGGGTTCGACGTCAGGAGACTCACAGCAGCAGGCCGCTCGCTGGGCATCCTTCCCCCAGGCAGCGAGCCCAGTGCACAGACGCCAGTGTAGGCCGACTCAGGTCGACAGGAAGGGCCGTTCAGATGTCGGGGCCGACGGCCTTGACCAGCACACGCCTCGCACGGCCCAGACGTGGGCGAAATACTGACAGGCTGACAGACAGACTGACAGCGGTGAGCCGTCCTTGTGCCTGGATGACGCTCGGACTCTTGACGGTTTTCTGTGACTGTTCATTGAGCACTAGTCTCGCTCACCTTTCCACGACTGTGCTAGACCAACCGTTCGTGTGTGCTGCGGCTGCAACGCTTGCGCCCAAGAGGCTAGTTCGTGAAGTAGGTACGGAGCACTTGATAAGTGGGCAGTTAAGTAGACAGTTAAGTAGGTAGGGATGGAGTAGGTAGGGATGGCAAGACATGCAAGACATGGAGAGAGAGACGACCCCCTCCGAGGACCGAGACTGAGCCCCTGACCGGCCGCTGGGCGTCCCTGGCAAGCCTGGCAAGCCTGGCTTCGGTCAAGTGATCGGATTTTGGGGAGGCCTACTCCGTAGACTACATCCTTTTCCACCTAGTCGACGTTTGCCGGGTGCGTCCCGCCCGTCCCGACAAATTGGAACTCTGGCGACACCAAGTCGTCAACCGCCACAGCTCCGCTAGAGGATTCCGGCCCCCGGCTTACTATACAGGCTATACAGGGTCTTCCTATCTCGATAGATGCTCACTATCCCATAGTCAAGATCCGTCTTGGGCCTAGAGGCGCTGCTCACAGATGATGGCGCCTTCAGACTCGAGATTGGGATCTTCTGGGGCGCTGCTTGAAATGCCGCAGACAGCCTGAGGTCAAAACAGTGCTTGCGTGTTCAGCAGCGACGTGTGAGAGGATGGAACGGTACATCCCATTCGCGCATTAAATTTCGATCGCAGCGACTTGGGTATCGGAGAGTTTCTCGGCGGGTCCTGGACGAAATCCCAGTCGAGGTGGAGCAGCTCTGGCGGACGGGCACAGGCAAACAGGGGCATAGCCCCATTAAAGAAAGAATCGCGACACGAGGATCTGCCGGCCCTTGTTCGCCGGGCGGCCGTCCAGCCGTCTTTCTATTCGACGTCCAGACAGCGTAGCACTCGCCCTGGGGACCTATGCAGCGTTCTGTGCAGTAGCACCATGAGACCATGGACGTCTACTGTAATACCTCCGTGGACAGTGAACACGCACTCATGGACGTCCCGAGTGTCCCCGGATCGTCTTGCAGCCCGCGTCTCATTTCCTGCAAGGTAGTTCCATCGTGCCGGAACGAGGGAAGACTTGCCCAGGGGCCGTCGCCCGCAGCTCCAAATCCCCGACGACACAAGTGCGCAGGCCAAGAAAAATGGTTTCCGCTACCACGACACATGGGATTGTGGCTATACCCCCCTCCCTCCCCCCTCCCCACAGAGGGAAAAGCCAGAGAAGGCGGGCACACGAGACAAGCCGCGTCAGACTGCCCATGGGACGACGGATTCCGCGGTACCGAGGGGCTGCCATCTTGATAGTCGTCGTTGTGTTGTGCTGTGGCCGCCTCCCGTCTGTGCCTCTCCTGACAGCTCCGCTACCTACATAGTCAAGGATAGTGTACTGCACTTAAGTAGGCACCAAGATCTGCGCCATGTTGCTTCCCGCTAGGCAAGCCCACAGAGAGACTCGAGCGAATCTTAAAACCTGGGACTATGGACAAGGGCCAACAAGCCAGCGAGCATGGAGCTTCCTTGTAGGGTTTCATGACCGGTGGAAGCCACACAATTTGCGTATAGCACCACCACCTGGGCACCTCCATCACCACCAGTTGACCAGTTGACCAGTCGACCGAGGGGAGTGGCCTTCCGATTGCATTTTACCGGGAAATCCATTCCATTTCAGGTACAGTACTGCGGTGCGTGTACTGTGCAAAGCCCCTACCCCCCCCCCTGCCCTACGCTTCATCGTACCGGATGCTACCCTGGTGTGCTAGCACCACGCGTACTTGTAGTAGCCCTGGTGTCTGCACCGGACCCTTCCATTCATGAGCCAATGGAACTTCTAGGCCACATGCATCATTTCCCTGTGATAAACCCTGGGCTCCAATTCCTCCTCTTTCTTCGTTCGACATTCCCCGTAGCAGCAGAAGCCGCCACTGTTGAGCATCTCACTAGGGTATGGCTGGCTGGGCACCGGTCCGTCAGTGCGATCGATGTCTGCAATAATCCTGCGGGCTAAATCCCCGTCCGGGGGGACTGCCAGGTCTCAACTCTGTTTCGTAGATCTGGTACTCGGGACGAGTGTACTTTGCAAGGGGCCCGGTGGACAATGCCTACCTGGACAGGGTTCAGAAAGAATGGTTGAGAGATGCTTCCCCTGAGTGACCTCGGTACCTCGACATGCCCCCAGCCATTTGTTTGGGCCGCCGCCGCCGGGATGATTTGCGCTTCTAGAGAGAGACTAGCATCGAGGGCTTGTAGGCGTCCTGCATGCAGATGAAATATATCAGCGGGACCCCATCTGGACGTCGTCTGCTTCGGTACTGACCTTTTCCTCGACCATGATCGGACCACCTTCGGGCGAACAACTTTATATTGACCTCGAGTTGCAACCCATCGCAGGGCTGTCCGACTTTTGCCAGACAGACCACCCATCACTTTTATGTGACCTGATATATCTCTGGGGACCATCTACGCTCGGCCGTCGTAGACTTCCGACTCGCGTCAGCAGCTAGCCAGTCGGACGGGTGGACATACGAGAGACAAGGAAACAAACATATTCGGAACTGCGTCACAGCAGCCCACCATGTCGAATATCGGAGGGTCAGGACCCACGAACGTCGACCACTCCCTCGATGGGCAGTCCCAGGTCACCTTCATCGTCTCTATCCTGAGCTTGGCGACCGTCATCTCCACAGCAGTAGTCGTCCTGCGCATTTTCACACGTTCCTGCATCCTACGAACGTTCGGGCCGGACGATGCGGTCATGGGCATAGCGCAGCTTCTCACTATCGGCGCAGCTGTAGCAATCGGGCTCGGTACGTGTTCATCTTTCTATCTAGAGTACTCCAGTGTATCCTACTCCAGACGACAAGATCCACGAAGGATCCTGTCTCGGCCCTGTGTTCCCATTCCGTCACCATGAACGCGTCTTCTGATATCTTTGTCGAACCAGAAGCACAGTGGGGTCTGGGTCGTCACGTCTGGATCATGCTCCCAGAAAATTACACGCCGTACATGAAGGCGTTCTACGCCTCTGTTGTCGTGTACAATGTCGCAACGTGTGTCGTCAAGATGTCAATCCTCCTGCAATACCGCCGCATCTTCACCGGGAGCGTCATGCAGAAGTTGACATTGGCTGCCCTCATCTTTGAGGGCGCCTGGGCAGTCACACTCTCAATTCTGCTGCCGCTGGTTTGCAATCCTGTTGCAAGCTTCTGGGACCCTAAGACCCCGGGGACATGTCTCAACCAGCTAGCCATCTGGTATGTCATGGCATCAATCAACTTGGTCTCGGACTTCGTCATATTCAGCATGCCACTTCCGGTGATCAAAAATTTGCAGCTTCCCAAGAAGCAGAAGATCATGTTGATGGGCGTATTTTGCCTCGGTTTCCTGTAAGTGGCTCGCACCTTGTGGCACGGCTAGCAATCTGGAGGTTTACTGAACATTTCTGCAGAACATGCATTATTTCCATCTATCGAATGAAGACTCTCAAGGTCGCAGGAGAATCGACTGATCCGACCTGGGACAACACCGACGCCGCCGTCTGGTCATTCATCGAGTTATCGATTGGCGTGCTTGCTGCTTGTCTGCCGACACTTCGCCCGCTATTCGCGCTCATCTTGCCACGTTTCTTCAAGTCAACCGTGTCAGGAAGGACAGGACAGTACAACGGGCTCTCTGGAAAGAGCACAGGGAATATGTACAACAGGTCCCGGACTGGTAACACGGCCGTCAAGAGCGTCAATGGGCCATACGTTTACCCATCGGATGGCGACAGCGACACAGACGTGCTGAGGGGGAACGGGAGCCGAGGGTCTGGTGGCGGTCTCGAGCTCCCAATCATGTATAATGTGACGGTGACTGGAGGGAAAAAAGGAATTCGGGAATCTGAGCTGCCAGTTGCACGGAGTGACTCGTTGGCCGGAATCCAGACGACCACTGTCGTCACCCAGAGGGTGGATTCTCTCTAGTTCTTTCTAATGTTTTATCAGATACCACAAAGCAATTTACCACGTTAATCTGACGGCTCTCATGTGCATTGTACAGCGATGTCATGGCGGTGAGGAGAAAAATCAATATGGTTACGCAAGTCTGTTACAAAGGGTGAATCAAAATCAAGACATGCCGGATCAATGTGCGGGAAAAAGGAGCTTCAAGTGCGAGTATTGTTCCTTGAGCCGCCTTGCGCCGCCTTGTTGCTTTTGTCGCTCTTGGCTGGTGTGATCAACACGGTGAGCAATTGGTGGATGGCAACCCTGGGAAATCGTCCGGCCCACTGCAACGGAACGACAAATTGTTCATGTTGCACAGGAAGGCACTGCTCATCAGCCCTGACAGCTCGAAGCCGGGGAGGTCTATGAACGTTAAATGCGCCGAGGCTTTGTATTGGTGGTGCTCTTAACCGAACGTCCGTGGCCGGTTCAAGCTTTTTGGAGGCGTTTTGTGGGTGCCACCCCAGCGCGTTAATAAGTCGCAACAATAGAGCTCAAGTTGGCGGCCACGTGGAACAGTGATACAGTCCGTCAGCCAGCCGGAACTGGGCTTCCAATTGTTCCTCCCTGAGACAAGGAAACTCTGAAAAGTCATGGAGTAGCCCCGGAAGACTTTGACGCCGATACCTACCCAAGTACTTAAGTACGTAATCTCAACCACGCGTAAGGAACTCGGCATCCAAAAAGCACATCCGCTGTCGGATGACGAGTACACGTGTACAAGGAAATGTCACAAACACGGCATGTTTTGGATTCACAGCAAACTTTAACGAGCTAGTTCCTCTCAACATTTTTGCCCCGGCTCAAGAGGTGACAGCGTGCTTAACTTGCACCTTACAGACATGCATTGGGGGTGGCAGTATCAGCCATTATTGGTGGTACCGACAGATCGGCAGACTAGAACTGGCAGCCGATGGGACCCAAAAGAAGAACACCACAGGGCTTGTGAAAACAGCCACAACATGCCAATCCGCGGTTTGTTGCAACCATTGACGGTGGAAACTCTTCTTTCCCTCGCGATTCTTCAAATGAAACCGCACATTACACCCCATTCGGATTTCTCTTACTCTCCGATGCGACGCCATGTACTTACTAGCTGAGACCCGGCATGTGGTGATACATTGTACTGCGGAGAAACACCACTAGACCCAATCCTTCGCCGAAGTAGTCAATGCTTACAGGTCAAGCGCTCGATACCTACTGACCCTGTCAGTTACTACACCACGGGACATACAGGAAGTCGAATAAAGCTTCGAGCTAGTGTCTAAGACTACTGCACGAAGTCCAGGCTTGACCTCGGGTACCATCTTTCCAGATGCTACACGACATTCTCTGGAGTTCAGGGGTTAACTGCGAGTCCTCGGGATAACCGAGGAACCAAAATGGGTCGACATATCTTCCCGTGCATGTGCACTCACTAACGCTCGACCTCAGCTCAGGGTTCGCAAATCTGATGGTTCATAGTTGATCCATCTTCAAATGTCCCCACGCTGTCGGGTCAAATGGTGCATGGGGCGGGCTGCCAGACCTTTATGCCAACCAAAGAAAACATAAAAACATGCCTGTGGTAACATGCACGAGCATTTCCAGGTTTGGCGGGTTTCGACGGCGGCGTGGTCATGGTCCCAGATCGCTCTCCAGTCGCCTTTCACTTGGCTTTGCAATTTCTCAGCCTGAGTGTCGACGCTGCAATACTACTGCCGTGTACACAATTCGGCAATGGATTAATAGTTAAGTGCAGAAGTCTTGCTGAGACGCCACATGCAGTGCGAGAGTGCGTTCTTAGTGAGAAGCCCTGGAGTTCACCGCTTCCTCGTCGCAGGCCAATGAACTATGTACTTGAGTAGCCGAATCCGAGACTGCCGTGATCACCCAGGTGGAATGGGACAGGCCATGAGTCCTTGTGATACTTGCAATCTTCAAGCGATGAATGTAATCCTGAAAGAGGGGGGTTGAAGTCTAACTCGAGGCAACTTTGATCCGCCGATGGCCGATCTCTGAAGCCGAGCAACGTGAAGATCTGTCTCAAGAGAGCGGTGTGTTCACTCTGCCACGCTCAAAGCAATGTAATGCTAGCCGCAGAATACCAAGGTATATACCCTAGGGTAGTCTGTGCCATAGGCATGCACGGTCCAAAAGACAAAAGATTGTTAAAGTCCAATCCATCATTCTATCATCTGCATCAGTCCACGTGAGACTCTCATGACCAAAAATACGACCAAATGTCCACTCCTCCAAAATCGTCCTTATAAGCTCCCGCCTTCTCATCGCCGCCTGCCCCAGCACAAACAAGCAGCGGCATGAAATGCTCGGCACCGTACCTCGGGTGTATGTCATATGCTCTTGGGAACTTTCTCCACTCAGCTAACTTCCTTGCCCTCTCTTGCGAGTCCTTCTCCTGCACAACGTCCGTCAAGACCTTGTTGAACTCGCTGGTCACGGTCTTGATGTGGCCCACGGCCGAAGCGTCGCCGCTCATCAGCGGTCTCATGAGCGCGAAGTCGTGCAAGGACGCGAAGCCGGAACCCACGATTGCCACGTTGGAGTCGCGCAGGGTGGACAGCGCCCGGCCCATGCGGATATGCTCCTCGGGATCCTCGCTCTGGAGCACAGACAGCTGCACTATGGGGACATCCGCAGCCGGATTGATGAGCATGAAGGGGATGAAAACGCCGTGGTCCCAGCCACGCTTCTCGTTGAGCACGGGCTTGAGACCAACATTCTCGAGCGCCTTCTTGACCTCGCCTGCTACCTCGGGCGATCCTGGCGCGGGATATTTCAGTTGATAAGCCTCCCTCGGAAAACCGCCATAGTCATAGTAAAGTGAGTGTGAGCGGCCAGAAGATATGGTTGGTTGAGCTTCCGACCAGTGTGCTGTCACGACCACGATGGCCCGAGGAGCCTCCGGTGTCCCCAACCGGAGGATCTCGGGGACTCTTTTCTTGAGCGACTTGACGATGCTGGCATGGCCTGGGTCTCCTAAGACGGGCATGGGACCTGTGACATACTAGTATCAGACCTCGTACGCGCTAGTGTTCGTTCCCCAAGCAAGGCAAGAATCTGTTGTACAACGTACCTCCGCCATGAGAAACACTGACAACAGCTGCGCGCGTCATTTGTGCTTTTTGTGCTCCAAAAACTGTTTTGGCAAGGGTTGAAATGAACATTAGCTGCTTGGTTTTGGAAACTGATCAAAGCTGAAGTCCAGGCAGCCTTGCGTGGTTCCCACCGTGGACACTTTAATACTCTTGTGTGCTTGAAGGTGAGAGAGTGCTAGTGAATCGTCGCTTTGAATGGAACACTGTCAGACGCCCGATTGGTGAGCGTTTGTCATCAAGAGTTTCACGGGCCGCCTACTGTGCCGCGCTTATACTTGTACTGTGCAGAACACTTTCGTTGGGGGGAGATGAACAGTGCTGTCTCTCTAGCACCTGACTCACTCTCGTGACGGATTAGTACTTTGCAACGATGCCTTGCCTACTTAAGTACAGTAGGCCTAAAAAGTCTCCCCACCTTCAGCCTCAGCATGAAAAGCGACGCCGCCACTTGCCATAGGCGTTGACGTAGTTCTTGTACATAGTAACGTGACACCATGGTATGAGTCGTATGACCGAGTCCGCCGCAAGAAGGCCCGAACGCAATCTTAATTGTAATCACTGCACTTTTTTTTTATATGCGCTCATTGTGTGAGTTCTTTTGATTTTTCAGTCAAAAGCTGACAACGCCTAGTCCTCGAGTCCGCTGTGTCATCCTGGAACGATGACAAAGTCCCACAGGCCTCGAGGTCGGCTTGTTGCACTCAAATGTCTTGAATACACTGTCCACTGCCCACGACATTTCCTGCCCCTGGTCTCAGGCCTCAAAGTGTGCAATTGCAAAATCCTCGAAGGAGAAGAGTCCCTGAGCCGGGCCCGGGAAAGACAGGGATATCTTCGTACTTTCTCACGGCTCCAAAAACACCGAGCCACTCCCGCCAACATATCTGTACCCCAGTCGCGAGACAGAGGCTGGGGTGTTAACGCTCACGCTAACTATTCTGTCCAATCCCGGCACTACATCGAAGCCGTTGTCGCTCAGGCTCATGCCCTCGACCTCATCAAAGACGAACCCTTTGACCGGATTCTCCGCAGACACCACCACTTTGGTACCGTCGAATGTTACCGACACTCGCCGGTCCGAGAGGTCCAAGTACTTGATCGGCTGCGGCCAGGCTATGTCGTCTGCCAATATCTGACCGTCTACTCGGAGGGTAGCCAGAACCACATATGGGTCGCATTCGTCGACTTCAGGCGGCGATTTTGTCACCGGTAGCCGATGGGTGCCGCAGTCAGTGACAGTGTTGCGTTGGACTAGATGAATCCAGGCAGAAGTCTGTGTTGGACTCCCACTGCAATCTTTGCCTGTGCGAATAGATATCAGACGGATGTCCACTTCTGCGTTGACATTCACGGTCTTGCAGCTCGAGATCCAGACATCCATCTTTCCACCATCGAATCTGTCCGCGGTGGGATCAATGTGCCCAACGTCCAACGTAGGATTGATGGTGGTATGCGTCCAGTCATTGTATGATCTGGAAATAGATATATCCAACGATCGTAGTGCCCGAGAGATGGCATAGTATGCTGGCTTCTTGACAAGGTGGTAATCCACGACAGCCCAGGAAACACCTGGCCAGCAGTCATTGAGTTGCCAAACGAGGATGCCACCGCACTCTCTCGCCTCGTTCCACTTCCTCCGCCATGACTTGTATGCCGAGCGCATGGCCTCGGCCTGCATGATTTGAGTCAGGTGCGCAAATGCCGCTAAGTCATTGGAGTCTGGAAGCCTGAAGTTTTCGTGCAAGTACCGCGCCATCCGCCATGAATGCCCAATAGCCTTGTTATGGAACTCCATAACTCTGGAGCCAACAACAAGCTCCTTAGGTTGGGATATCGCGCGTCGCAATGTTTCCATGTGGGGGTAGCTTTGCATGCCAAACTCAGAAACAAACTTGCCACCTATCTGATCAATGTCTTGAATCTTGACCATGGACCCGTGCCAGAGATTCCACTCGTGAGCATCGCCGACCGTCCTGTCCTTGACGGACTCCCCATTCCCACTCCAAGGGCTGCTTGGCAGATATATCATGCCAGGATGTTCCTCCTCCACGGCCTTTGGTAGCAGGCTTTCGTAGATGTACCGAGCTGGAAACGTCGATTTCAGCCATGACTGAGGGTCCTTATCATCTGGATTATAATCGAGCTTGTACCGTTCTTGCACTGTTTCGTAGTCCTCATTGTTCCCAGCCCATATGACAAGCGACGGGTGATCTCGCAACCGACGTAGGTTGCATCGCGCCTCAGCATCAACGCTGCTTAGGAAGGAGTCGTGTGTGGGGTAATTGCCACATGCGAACTGGAAATCGTGCCAGACCAGGAGGCCCAGCTCGTCACAAGCATCGAAGAATGAATCATCTTCGTATATGCCCCCGCCCCATATTCTGACCATGGTCTGATTGCCTTGAACCATCAAATGGACCCAATCCCGGTATCGCTGTGGTGAAATTCGCGGGAGAAAGTTGTCTGCTGGTATCCAGCAGGAGCCGCCTGCAAATATGTCGATATCGTTGACCCGGAAGTAGAATGAGGAGCCAACGCCGGACTGACAGGGTTCTTGTATGAGCTCGCAGCGGCGGAACCCTATATGCCTGCATTTCTTTTGGTCAGCTGCGATCCACAGTCGAATTATTGTACTAGTCTCTGGCTGGAAACCTGAGTCCCAAGTCTCCAGGTTCACACAAGCCGATACTAGTACGATTGGATACTGACTTTGTCTGTAAATCCACCATTTCGCCGTTAGAGAAGAGCGTCACTTTGAGTGTATATTGGTCCGGCCTCCCATAAGTGTTCGGAAACCACAATTGCGGATTGTCCAGTTCGAATGTGATATGGCCTTCAACACCCTGTGCCGTCTCGCTACCTTGCTCTCGAGAGATGCGCACGTCTTTCTGGAACACCGGGTTCTCGCCCCCTGGTCCATATAGAACTGAACGAACTTGCAGGTTCTCGGAAAACACCGTAGACGCAGCCGCCACAATGAAGCAGACCTTTCCGGATACCTTTTGCAGCCCCTCGTCCAGGTCGTACCGGCAGGAGACGTCATCGAGTCTTGCGGTGTAGTAATCCAGATATACTGGTCGCCAGATGCCAGCAGTCGTAAGTATCGGGCCCCAGTCCCATCCAAAATGATACTGCGCCTTTCTGATTGGCAGACGAGCAGCTTCCGTCTGCCTGACGAGGAAGTTGTGTTCCGGGTGGTCCTTTACTAATTGACGCCCGCGTACCAAGGCGGACTCGAACAATATCTTAAGTTCGACGTCGCCCGCACAGTCTCTGAGGAGATTCGTAACATCGACTCGGTGGCTTGTGAACATGTTATCCGTCACAAGGACTTTGTCATTGTTGAGGTAGACCGTGGCAAAGGTATCTAGGCCCTCAAATACTAGTTCCACGCGGCCTTGGCTCGCACCAGGGCCGTCTCTCGGGCAGAGCTCGTCTGGCGAGAAGGTTGTTCGGTACCACCAGTCGCGTTCGGCGACCCAGCGGACGGCCAGCTCGTTGAGATCGACGAATGGGTCCGTAATCTGGCCGTTATGGAGGAGATCGGTGTGTATGGAGCCAGGTACTTTGCATGCAGGCTGCCAAGTCTCTCTTCCTTCTTCCTTGTACTGCCAGCCTCGGGTAAGATGCACTCGTTCTCGCATTTTGATGAATAGGTGGCTGATTTGAGGTAGACTGTCTAAGCAATGGCCATGTCCGTAGCAGCAGTGCTAGGGTCGTTTTCCCGGAGGGGTATCCTTCAATGAATCTAAATAGCAGGCTTGCAGAATCCCGCTGACGAAGTTTTGAACAGCAAGGCAGGCTCTTGCGTGGGCGGGCAGCTGGGGACGTTGACCCCTGTATGCGTGTCCGATTCTAGGAGCGTCCCCGAGTGACGCGGGGTTATGTGCTCCGTAGTGGAGTGGTTGGAAGGGGCATTCTGAACCCGTGGGGAACCCCAGTAGACAGTCCACAATCACAATGTAAGTGCCTGCTCCGATCCCAGAGCTAGCCCCCACGTGTCAGTCACACTCGTTGCATGACACCATCACCACCAACAAGTGCGACGGGCATGATGAGTGCCCAGCCAGGGAACTTGGCTGGCCCGCGTAGGTCAGCAGCCAGCTGACGTGAAGGCCTGCAGTCAGACTGTAATCGACCCGCCATTCGTCAGAAACTGGACTATTGGAACAACGCCCTAGCAATGAATGATATGCCTCATGCCTATGCCAGTGAGGGGGTCACCCCTCGCCCTTCATATTGACCAGGACACCCGGGCATGTCCCGCACATTCCAAGCAGTACACTGGGCCTGATTACCAAGGGACTCACTCCACCCCTTCTTGAGATCGGCAAACCTTGTCACCTTGTCACCAAGGAAGCACTCCACGGGATCTCCACCTGCATTCTGTAAATCAGCTGTCGCGATGATTGCCTTCCGGCCTACATTACTTGCTCTGGCAGTGGGTGTCTGCACCTGTGTCTCATCTGAGTCCGCCCTTGTTCCTCGTTACAATCCGGGCAAAATATGGGTCACGGTCGACACCAACGGGGATGCGCAAACAATCACACCGTCCATGTCCGGCACCAGGACGATATCTGGAGCCCCGGAATACGTAACGCAGACTTCGGTTTACGCCTTGACAACTGCAGAAGGAATGGTGCAGACGTCGACCGGAATGGCGCCAGTGGCCACCGCGACGGCGCCATCCGGTGCAGGTGCTTTCTTCCAGTGCCGCAACTTGCTGGGTCTGGATGCCCCATTCTGCCAGCCTCGGCGAGGCAGTTTGCTAAGACCAGGAAATACATATTATGGTGGGTCCGGAGCGTCGTGAACACTGGAAATATAAAATTAGACCCTGACTAATACGAAGCAGTGACCTGGAATGTCGTGGGATTTGCAAGCGAAGACTCACTTGTTGCTGTTCAGGTTCGGTATTCAGACAACACTGGTTTTGTGGCAGACAAGAACGTCACAGTGAGCACTGGCTTTTACATTTGGAACATTGACCAAGACATACTTTCACAAGGCGGCCGTGATGGAGGGGACCTCGTTGCGACTCTATCACTCATTGAGGTGCAGACCTCAGGAAATGGCTCAGAGAGCTCATTGGCATATTCTGAGGGACCCAGTGTCACCATCAGTCGGTCAGCATCGCCATACTCATCTCCAGAGAATAGCCCCAAGAACCATGGGGGGACCGTGGCGATTGCAGTATCAGTCACAATTTTAGCTGTATTATTTATATTTGCGTCATTCGTAGTCTGGAGTTGGAAACGACACGGGCGTATTTTTGGGATCGGCGGGCGAAGGAACAGACCGGATTCTCAGAGGACGAATTCACTGCCAAATTTTGGACGGCCGGAGGATAAGAGCCGTCAGGTGGAGCTGACTGATCGTGGGAGCTGGGTTCCTGCATCAAACAAGAATGTGTTCAGGGCCGAGATTCAAAGACAAGAGATGGAGCGTGGATATTAGGGACATCGACAGGATAGGCATCTGTGCATCTCCGTGGCTGTCTGCCAGTGACTATGGTTTGAGCGGTATTTCGGTTCAACAGCACACTTGCAGACAGCCATGAACGGTCATCGTTTGGAAGGGCCTGGTCTAAGTCACCACCGTCTCGGCACTCCTTGTTTTCTGGTGGATCATGTCCGCTCGCGCATTCACGATACACCTGTCTGTCATGTCTAAGAAGGACGGGGCAGGGTCGTGTGGAGATTTAATTCTTCGAGGCTGGGCGTAGATCTATATGGCTCTATATTTAACATGTTACAATACCAATGAGCCACTCACCAATAGCACTACGATAGCGTTCAAACGGACTGAGTATAAGGGCTCGGTAGAAACTGCGGAGGGAAAGGAGTTGCCAGCGGGGCTCTTGTCGTTCACGCTTGTGATAGGTATGAATCGAAACGAAGACAGGAATACTGGCAGAGTCGCATGGGCTGCGAGGCGACTCGGTCCCCTCTTGACGAAGGACTTCAATGGGCAAGCCGCGAGTAAACGAGCCAAATTGAACTGGCAGGCAACGGCGAGAGACGGGGTCCGTACCAGCAAAGTCTTTCCCAGTGGAACAAGCGGAAGCTTTCAATCCTACAAAGGCGGTCCGAAAGGATCCTCAGCAACCTTTCGTCTCTTAGCGTCGCGGTCTGCGTCACCCTTGCCTGTGCCGTTGCTGCCACTGAAGACGGCGCCGTCGTCCTCGACTGCCCCCTTGGCCGGCTTCTTCTCGCCCTCCTTGAACTCGAGCCTCTTTTTGTGCAGCCCGACGAGGTCAAACCTGTCCGGGTCTCGGCATTTCTTAAGCTTCCGGATGAAGGGCTTCATGAAGGGGTTGACCTCCTCGGGCTAGTGGCGAATATCAGCTGTGAGATCCTGGAAGCGCAGCTGTGGCCATGGGAGCTTACCTTGTCCCAGAAGGTGGCCATCCGCTCGGGCGGCTCCTGGCTGAGCATATCCTTGCATGCCATTACTGCAGAGACGGTTTTCTCCTTGGCTGCCTGGCTCAGGACCTGGGCTTTTTGTGAATTTGAGTCACCACTGGGGCGGTGCGCGAACATGGCCTGCATCAAACGCTCGAAAAGGTCGTGGTCGGCCATAGATAGTGCCGCAAGCATAATCTGACTGGGGGTGTAGTGGAAATAAGCGTCGGTGACCAGAGGACTGAATTTGAGGATATCACGCCCACGACCCTGTGCGCGGGAGATTTTGCTTTCCTGTACGGGTGTCAGCATGACCCCCGCCCCCGGCCATTTGATCATAGAGGGGCCAAAAAGGACCAACAACGCACATCTATGTCTCCAAAGGACCGCAGCTGCATGATGGCACCCTCCAGTGCTCGGTAGGGATGCCTAACATCGAAGGCAAACCTGAGCCCCTGACACAACAGGAACTCGCCGGCCAGGATTTCCTCTCCAGTGGTGTTGGGAAACCTCTCCGCAAAACTGTTGACACGGGGGTACGAGTTCTCGGCCTTTGAGCCAAAGAAGAGGCAGGTCTTGAGCATCTTTTGCGGGGGGTATGTCATGATGCTGTGTGTAACGAAGAAGCGGCGCAGGAAGATGGCCGACGTGGCGCGAATCTCGGTTGGCAAGTTGCAAAACTCGGCAGCGCGCAGGCACTCGACAGTGAAGCAGCGCAGGAGTTGCTCCTCCTCGGCGGGCGTGAGGAACTCGGGCAGCGGGGCCTTGTTGATGGAAGAGGTGGACTCGGTCGGCACATCTGCAGGCGCTGGGGCTGGAGCCGCGCCGACTTGTGTCGGGTCGGTAGCAGGAGTAGCGCCGGGCACTGGGGTGTTGGAGCCGGAGGGGTTCGCAGAGGCGACGGTCGAGGACGAGGCTGTGGACGAGGCGAGGCGGTCCGAGATGTTTTGCCTGGCGAGACTGTTCGTTTTGGCGCGTAGCTCGGCTAGCTGGGTAGGTGAGAAGGACCACAGTCGGAACTGGGTGGATTGGCGATAGCGATCGTCCTCGGTCGCCATGTCGACGGGCCTCGAGGGCTCTGGTTCGAGGTGTGTGCCGCAAGAGGTCGTCGTCGAGTGCTGGCCGCCAAGTGCTGGTCGTCAAGTGGAGCTCGGCGGCTCGAGCAGGCACTCTAGGTGCTCGGTTGTTGTCGTGTTTAAGGAGAATCTGCTGCTTGCGGGAGATATGTTCCCCTGCTAAGATGGCAGGATGTTTGGTTGAATCGCGACGTCCAAGTTGCGTCCTCGCAGCCTCGTTGCCTTGGAGCTGTAGTCTACAAGAGGTACGTAGTGGAAGCTCCCCTGCAGGTCAGTGCCAGGGTCCTGTGCAGGGGTCTGGGCAGTGGCAGGATATCATCGGACGGGAGACCCCACAAACCGAGCCCCAGCCCGTCCTATATGGCCCAGCTAAGCAGTTGATGGACTCAACGCCCTCCCAAGCCCTCGCTCCTCAAGCCACGCAGTAACAGAAGCAACATAGCATGCTTGATCGTGGCCTTGCACAGGGTGTTCCATCTGAGGAACTCAACGTCCCCAACCGTCAATTGTGAGCTCAACCACTTGGGCCAGATCCTAAACACTGGGCCACCAAAGGTCTGCCGAATGCTGTGGCCCATAGCTGGGGCGAGTTCCCACACGGACTTGCAACTATCCATTCATACGAATTGTCAATCAAACAACCTGTTCTTTGTGGAGCGAAAGGAGCTGTTCGATGGTACCAGACGTCTACGTTACAATGCACGGGACAAGGCTTCCCAATAGTTCAAGGTATCAAGACCACTCACACTCATGGAACTAATGCTGGACATGATAATTCTAGATTCCCTAAACATGTCTCGCATCCTTTCAATCCTGTTATCACGCAGTCACCGCCCAACGCCAGCCGGCCCTCTCTAATCATTCGTGCCTCCGTCCCTCCGTTCTCCCACAAACACGATAGCTTTGCCCTCAACGCAATTGCTGTCCCCTGGAGCGAATAATGATCCCAGCTCTTCTCGCTAGTCAGGCCTAGTATCCGACCTCCCGACGCACAGGAGGAGGCGGGGCGGGCTTCTTGGCCCTGCTAGGCGGTGGCGGCGGGGGAGCCTTCTTCCCGATGGCGACGCTGGGGGCGGTGTTCGTTCTGCTGAGGCTGCCGTAACTCGTGGCGGGACTTGTGCTCCTATCCGCTGTGTCGCTGCTGCCAGTGTCGTCGCCGTCATGGTCCGCAAAGACGTCCATCGCGGACGCCCTGCTGCTCCCAGTGGGACGCAGCTGACCACGGAGGGACCCAACGTTCATCTGGGGAGGCGGTGCCTCCCTGAGTGGTGTGGAGGTTCCCGAAGTCGTGCGGGACAAGTTGGCGCCCAGATTCCGTTCGTTCTGGTAAGTATTGCTCCTAGAAATACCTGGCCGGATTGGCACATCTGGCCGGTCGGACGCTTGGCTGGTTGTGCTGACGCGCGACTGCGAGCGAATGGGAGCACGTGCGCTGTGGGACGGGAAGTCGTCGCTCTCTTCTTCCTCATAGACGTTGCTGTTCGTCCTGCTGAGCGCGAGCCGTGAGCCGCCGTAAGACGACTGCTCCGCAGTATTGGACCTGCTGCGCCCAGAAGGTCGGCGCGAGTGAGGTGAACCACCCCCGGCCGAGCCAGCCGCCCAGGACTGTCGCACGCGACGGAGTTCCTCAGCACATCGCTCGTGGTAGTCTAGCTCCGCGTCGAGGAACCGCGTAAGGTCGCGGATGCTGTCGGCCTCTGCGTCCTTGATATCCTGCATTCGCCGATATACGTCCTCAGAGGACTCCTCGTACTTGGCCTTGGCGCTACGAAGCTCGTCCTCGATGCGGAAGTCATCGCGCTTGGCCTTCTGCATCTTGGTTGTGGAAGCATCCAGGGCCAACCGGCGGGACTCGAGCTTCTTGCGAGCAGCCTGCCAGGACAAAATGGTCAATGGTTTCATCTCATGTCATGGGTTGGGGGCTATGTTGGGGGCATACCTGATACTCCTTCATCATAGCCAGTGATCTCTCGAGTGACTCGAGCCAGAAAGAACTGGCGTCGGCGGCAAATTGTTCCTGAATATTGGCTACGCGGTCGTTTCCCCTGCCCATGGCTTTCGATGCTGTCAGCCGCCATCATTGTACGTGGGGATCCTCCGAACTCGACATACCAATCAAGCAATTTCCGAAGTCAGAGTCGTTGTCGAAGTCCTCGCCATGTGCTATCATGGACCGTCCCAGAATGGCAGCGGGCACGCCCTTCTCGCGGTCCATGCCCTCGGCACGACGGGAAAGCCATTTGACGTATTCGTTCATGGAAGATTGGAGCTTCACCATTCCTGTCAAGAGGTATATTTTGTGAGCACAGTGGCCCAGTCGCTCGCACAAAGCCTTGCGACTGGTGACGAGTCACGCGAGCTGCTCTGTCAAGGGTTCATACCGTCGAAGCGGAGGGCCATCTCGGTCTCAAGAGCCTTGAAGTCGTCAGACATGTTTGTCCGGGCTTCTGAGCCCATCTTCTCACCGGCCCACTGGAAGGCGCGGTCGAATTTCTTTGTGATGTTCATCTTGAGTGTGTTGCCTGGTATACGTGGATGGTCTGTGGAGGGGCAAGGGCGTGCTGGTGCTAGTTGCAAGCTCGTGGTTCACGACGAGGAGCAGGCCTAGGTGGAAGGTGATGGTGCCAGCTACAATGCCAAGGATTTGACTCCGGTCTCGCAGGCAAGAGGAATTGGGCCGCTGGATGTATGGGGAGCCCCGCGGGTGGGGGGTCTCTGTCGAGAGGACGTGAAGCTGAAGAGCGAGCGGGTGGGAGTTTCGAGGCAGGGCCGTGGGGAGCGAGCGAGCTGGGAGAGGTTGGAAAAGTCCAGGGAATTAGGGGAGAAGTAGACAGGTAGAAAAGAGGGAATAGGTGGCAATAAAGCAGGCGCATACAATGCCCAAACGAACAACAAGCAAGACAAGAGAGGTGTTGCCGTCCAGCAGCAACCTTGAACTTTGAAGGTTATAATGTGTCCGGGATACTTCAGAGACAAGGGTGTTGTCCTCAGGGATTGGAGGGGAGGGCACTCAAGAAGGCGCAGACTGCAGAGCAGTGTGGAGGGGGGAAGTTGCTGCGTGGGTACACGGGCACACGGGTACATGGGTACATGGGTACATGGTCAAGTGCAGTCTCGTCTCGTCTCGGGCCTGGCTGGCCAAAACGGTTGAATTGGCCGTGCTTGCCCTGGGGTGATTAGCGTTTGCGGTACGGAGTAGTGCTGCAGCTTGATGAAGATGGAGGGTGGTCCCCTGCCCCTGGGTCCAATCTCTCCCATTCAACCCCCTGATTTCTGGGCTTTGCCTTCCCCAGGTCGAGCCTCCGAGGGGAGAAGGACCACTGGCCACTATCTACTGTTAGCCTGAGTCTTATTAGTGCATGGAAATCTGGGCTGGCTGGCAGGGCAGCAGGGCTGGCAGGCTGGTCGTGGCTGCAGTTGCGTCTAAGCTGTACGGAGTACAGTATAGTGTGGTGGTTCCTGCTCACGCGGGCAATAAGGGAGAAGGACCCCTCTGCCCCTTCTGCCCCTCTGCCCCCTTCCTTTCGTCCACGGGTGTACGTACCTGCACGCCTGCACGCCCACCCATCATGCATGCGTAGTGCGAAAACAAGTGTAGGTGGCGGGTGCCACTCCAAGCCAACCTGCTGGATCTGGACCCAGGAGCAGCAACCGCCGGTCTTGGACTGCTGCCCCAGCTCGTCGAAGAGTTCTAGACTCCAAGCCGCAAACTGCCAGGACTGCCAGGACTGCCAGGACTGCCAGGACAATACCTGTTACCTAACTAAAATGCCTCAAGACCTGGCGGCTCTTGCAAGTGGCAGCAGATATGCAGCATCGTCAATCTGTCGCGATGCCCCTCGCTGGTACGAATCAACACCTCCCGATAAGAAAATACCTCAACGCCGCGAGGTTGCAGCATTGCAGGACCTGCAGACCTGCCGCTGGAATTCTGATCAACGATTCCCTGATGATCTCTGCTCGAAGATATCAGATGGATGACGGCGCATGGGTGGTGCAGTCTGGCAGTGTAAGGATAGACGCGGACTGAGACCAGATGACATGACAGTCATTGCAGTACCGCCTGTGTTGATCAGCAGCATCACGTCACTGGTCATAGGGGGCTGCAGAGTCGCACAAAGGCGAGGGCGGGAGCAGGCTGAATCTCGTGGGGCCCGTCTCACCTGCCACGAAACAACCGACCCGGAAACCAGACCCGCGAAGCGCCCATACGAGATCCACGTTTCAGCCCCAAAATAGCAGTTCCCAGTCAATCAACGCCAGCCTGCCAGCCTGCCAGCCTGCCACCCGTGGGTTGGTTGCCTTGGTTGCCACCATGACCGTGTCGTTGATATGCAAATCGTCATCACCACATGGCTGAGCCACTCGTCTCAACTCAAACAGCGTGCTCAAGTGGACGTGTGGGCCCTGGCAGATGTTGCTCGACAGAGGGTTACGAAAAGAACCGTGTCCTGTCAACCTGTGTGCCTGTCTCGCCCGCACAAAAGATGACGGCCCGGCACAATATGTTGTTTGGGCCAAGGTCTTGGCCGAAGAGCGGCCGTTTTGCAGCCCAAAAGAATCCGACTTCTCAAACAGAGAGGGCGACGCTCTGCTCGACCAAACCCGCAGGCCAGCCGGTTCGCATCTGGTCGGCTGGTCCAGGTGCATCTGCGGCACCCTCCAGGCCCGTGGGCCCTACAACGCAGGCGACAGAACTCAAATTAAGACTCCGGGCCAATACACACAGCACAGCCCCAACGTCCCACGGCAGCCCGTGTTCGAACCATCGTGAGTCGGTGCCGCGGTCGTCTAGCTGTGTCTGCGTATCCTCATCTCCAGTACGGCCCCATCAAAGGGCCAACGCCAGTGCCCTGTCTCCGCCCTTACGCGCGGGTGCCGTGGCCCCTCCCAGCCTCCTTGGGCCCCTAAAATGGATATCATTAATTACTCTTATTCCTGGGTAGGGACTTTTTCGCCACGTCTCTAGGGGACCAAGGACCCGATCTTGTACACGACCGCTGGCCATCTAATTGCGGTGACTCGAACGTCCAGTCCTTATTACATAGTATCAGCGGCCATTGCCTATCCCCGAGGGTGCATGAACGCGTTCGACAGATGCAGCAAGTCAGCACCGCCGGGCTGCCGTCGCTCGGTCTTCCCGGCGACGGGAAAACCTTATTGTCGCATCTGGCTGCGGTGAACCGTCCGGCGTCTTGCTTGTGGGGTCTGGACAACGTAGACGACTCATCTGTCAGGCGAGGTATCTGCTTGGGGCGGCTTGAACATTATCGCTCCAGCTTCTCGCCCTGCGTACACATTGAACTCACCACGCTTGGTCGGGGTCTCCCATCGATCTTTCTGAGCTGTCCTTCGGCCTTGACTCAGGGGTCCGGCGGCTCGACTATAATCCGGATATGGAGCACTTGAGCTCGGTATGCCCCGCCCCCTCACCTTCATGGATCTCCTCGCCCGCCGCTGCCCCTCGTGAATCGTCATAGCCATAGTGTTCGCGTGTTTGGCGCGGCTGCTGCCAGGCGCAAACTGCCGCTCCTGGGCCACATCTCATCCGCCTCGGACTGCGAAGTGTGCCCCTGGTTCGCTAGATTGCGAAGCTGGCCTGTTTCCCGATCCCCACGCTCACGCTGGGGGGAAAAAATAACCTGGTAGGTCCCTGCTCCGCGGCATCGGCCTTAAATGTATTTCCTCGCTATAAGTCGCCCAGTCCGGAGGCGATCTCGCACTTCGCAGTGATTGTTGTTTCTCCCTCCGTGCTAGATCCTAAGCTTGCAACGTCCTTGGTCCTTCAGCATCGTTGCCCGTCTCTCGGCCTCTCAGCGTACACCCACCCTGCCGGCGAGCGCATATACCTGGAAAATCCGGCTGGACTAGACTGTGGCGCGCTACAATCTTCGGCAGACCCCCATATCACACAGTAGCTAAAGACCATGCCTCTTCCTCAAGGCGTCTACCGCGCAGACCAGGTTGGGTCCTTCCTGCGTCCCAAGGTTGTCTTGTCTGCGCGCAATGAAGCCTCGGCCGGCAAGATCACCACCGAGGAGCTCCGCCAGGTCGAGGATGAGCACGTTGCTGCTGTCGTCAAGAGCCAGGTTGAGAATGGCATCCGTGCCGTGACCGACGGCGAATTCCGCCGCGCCTACTTCCACATCGACTTCTGCGTCCACCTCGACGGTGTTGAGGCTCAGGGCTACATCTCGTCGACCAACGTTACGCCCCACGGCCTGCCCACCCCCCCTCGGCTGATTGTCACCGGAAAGCTCGGGCACCCCAAGCCGATCCAGGTTGACGACTTCAAGTTCCTCGACACTCAACTGGAAAAGCTGGGCGTGAAGGATTCGGTCTCCGCCAAGGTCTGCATCCCCTCGCCTACCATGGTGCACTTCCGCGCCGGGAGGGAGGCGATAGACAAGGACGCCTACCCAACCCTTGAGCCGTTCTTCGATGACCTCGTCAGGGTCTACCAAGAGGAGATCGCGGACCTGTACGCCGCTGGCTGCCGCTTCGTCCAGCTCGACGACACCAACCTCGCCTACCTCTGCGATGAGGGCATGCGCAAGGAGGCCGCCGCCCGCCACGGGGTCCAGCCCGAGGAGCTCGCCGACAACTACGCCAAGCTGATCAATGCTGCCATCTCGAAGCGGCCCAGCGACATGACTATCGGCATCCACCTGTGCCGCGGCAACTACAGGTCTCAATGGTTCGCCCAGGGCGGATACGAGCCGGTCGCCGAGACCCTGTTCAAGAAGCTCGACGTCGACGTCTACTTCCTCGAGTACGACGATGCGCGGTCTGGCGACTTCTCACCGCTGCGCCACCTCCCCGAGAACAAGATCGTCGTCCTGGGCGTGCTGAGCAGCAAGAAGGCCGAGCTCGACGACAAGGAGGCCATCATCAGCCGCCTGAACGAGGCCGCCAAGTACTGCCCCAGGGGCCTGGATCAGCTGTGCCTCTCGCATCAGTGCGGGTTCAGCTCCACCATGGAGGGCAACGACCTGAGCCAGGAGGAGCAGTGGGCAAAGATCAGGCTGGAGACGGAGATTGCTAAGGAGGTCTGGGGTGATGACCTGTCGAAATAGGCGGCATGACGGGTTTTTGCACGAGCGATGAATTGAGGAGCATTTAGCATATGGTTGCTTCAACAGCGACCCGTAATCTGGATTTTACTAATCAGGCATTGTATGAAATCACAATCGTGTGATACGATGCGAATTGCACTGACCAAGAAATTGCTCCCAGGATTGTGTCGTAATAATACCCAGACCCAGAAGTGGTCGTGTCTGCGGTGCAGCTCGTCCACAGGTCGTATGCTGCATTCCCACTCTCGTGTTGCGCCCTGGCCGGTATCTGGGCAAGACACTTCAGTTGAAGAATTGTCTGAAGTCTCTATGCCCGTGATGCCGCGCCGGGCACAAGCCTAGATCTAACCACCCTACACATCCAAATGTTCCATACGATTTAGCATACTCCGCTCCTGATGTCGATACGCTCCAGGGTTTCCAAGCCCTTCATCTCGATAGTTCTTCCAGATGAACTTGAACGATTCCAGGTGGCTGAAAATGTGTGATTACCTAGGTACTAACTAGATGGATATCAAAGGTGGAAAACAGGATCAATTTGGAAATCTGCAATCTGGGTAGACCGCGGGCTTATCTATGGATGCGCAACTTTAATGTAACCTGTGACGGTGCCCCTTAGCCTTGTCTATGCGTCGCAAGGCTAAGATCACAGGCACCTATCATATTAAAACTAAAGTTATCGACATCATATCCTTTTCAAGCGCTAGGTCGTAAGCGCTTACCACCATATAAAGGCGCCATATATATCCTCAGATGTATACGGAATAGAAGTGAAACTACTTAATGTGACCTGTAAACACAGCCGAGTTGAGCATCCAGTTCTGCGTCGTCCGTGATCGATCCAATCCAGCATCAAAAAATGCAGCACTGGAACTTTTACTACTTATACTATTATAACCACCGTATAAAGGCGCCATGTATGTCCTCGGATGTATACGGAATAGAAGCGAAACCACATACTATTATAACAGATGTCCTCGTCAGCCCAGGACAACCTCGCTATAAGCATCTCAGGTCCAAGACTACAAGCTGGGGGTCAAGCCACAAGTTCCTATTGTGGCTGCCCATGGGCTAGAGAGATATCATTTGAGTCCAAAGCTCAAAGTCTTGCTTGTGAAACTCTTGACAAAGTCCACAATATTTGTGATTGGATGAACTGGCAGTGGTCTATGGTTTTGAAGGGATATGTATGAAACAGATGATCCCACCACCCATGACCACATCATCCTATTATCTCAAATCACTGGCACTCAGGTAGTTAGTAGTGATGTTCGTGTGCCATGTATTATAGTTAGCACATCCAGTTTGCCGATTTCTTGGGCGTCACTGCGGAATTAGTTTTGCAGATCCCGCTCGAGTGGAAGATGATTTGTCTCATCCTGATAATGACGTGATAGTAAAAGGCAACAGTATCATGGGACATGTGCTTGCTACCTAGGTATCGGTTGGTGTATGAGTAGACATCTCGCAGGCAATGGTGATTTTCGTCGTCAAATTTGAAAATAATTGAGCAATGTTTGGCCCCGTCAGTGCTGAAGTGCTCAAGTGTTTGCAAAAAGAAATCCAAAGATGCCATATCAGGGTGAGCATAGAATCTTTGTCATAACCCCCAGCGCCTCGGCTCGTAAAGTGCCTGGCCGCCTACCACAACAAGCTACATGCCAGAGGCCTTTCTGAGATTTCGCTTGTGCATAAATTCCCAACAGTTATATCGAAATGGTCTTTTAGCATCTCACACGCGCCCAATCTGCGAGTATACCGTAGCTAGGTGTGCATGCTCTGAGCCTAATTCAACGTGAGTCCGAAGAAAGGAATTGGTCTGCTTTGCAATCCATGGATACTGGTTGGTTGAAGTGCAATTCAGGCAAAAGTGGAAAGACCATCTGCCATGCCAGTACCAGCTTGTAAACATTCAGACTTCGGATTGCTTATTAGAATACCTCCCATGTGCACTGTCGATGGTGCTCCAAAGCAAAATGCCCAAAGTTGAACTTGAAAAAAAATACAATTCCTTATATTAATTGTTTTGCAAAGAGGTATGTACGCTAATGTACACTTGTCGGTACCAAAAGTACGTTGACTATTATCATTATTACCTCACCTAGGTAGTACAATATTTCCCTTGCCACTTATAAGGACAGAAGGATAAGCCCCTGCAGAACAAGCTCCTAAAGGATAGCCTTCTGAGGGACAACCTCCTATGGGGCTGGATTCTATGGATGGCCTCTAATTGGATCACCTTCTATAGTCGAAGATCCCATAGGACAACTACCTATAACATACCTAGGCCACATTCTAACCATCCCTTAATTCCAACCACCCCCACACCTATATTTATATATATATATATATATATCTATCCCTACTCTATCTATACCCCTTTATAACTTTATAAGGATTTTTCTTTTAATTATTAAACTTTTTTAAAATATTATTTTAATTATTATAAAAAAATATAAAAAAGATTTATAATATATTTATAATAATTAAAAAGGAAATATTTATATAAAAAGCTTTTAAAATTTAATATATTTTATATATTATATTTTATAATTATTTTTAATATATAAAATAAATCTACTACTTATAAATTTTATTAACCTTTTTTAATATTTAAAAGATTAATTAATATTATTTTAATTAATTAAACTAATTTAAAATATATTTTAATTTATTAGAAAATATAAACTTTAATAAATTAAATAGTTTCCTTTTTTAATATTTCTTTATTAAAAGAAAATAGTTAAAAACTTTTTTAATTTATTACTTTATTTTTAAAAGTTATAAATATTAATAAATTAAAATAAAATAATTAAAAATAATAATAAAAAGAATATATTTATATAGTTTAATTTAATATGACTTTTATTATAAAATTATTAAATTAATTGATTATTAAAATATTAATAAAAAAAATTAATAAAAACTTAAAATAATATTTATAATTAATTATTTTAAAAATAATAAGTTGTTTTAAAAATATTAATTTATATATATAAACCTTCTTTATAAAATATATATTTATTATAAATAAATTTTTAAACTTTTTTATTATTTTTAAAAAACTAAATATATAATAATAATAATTCTTTATAGTTTTTAAAAATTATAAAAGTTAATAATTTATAATAATAAAAAAGGGTTAAATAAAAGAGTTTATTATAATTAAATAGTTAAAAAAGTCTTTCTTTTTTAAATTATATTAAATAAAACAATCCTTATAACCTATAGTAAAAGAAGGCTTAAATTGTCTATAAAGAATTGTTAATTTAAAACTAGAGTTGCCTAAGGAATAGTATAGGGGAAGTAGTGAAGCTGTAATCTTGCGTTGCGAGAGGTATAAAGGCTACTTAGGCTAATAAGATAAGCAGAGTGTACAGACCCACTAGTTGGTCCTATAGGCGTTCAGCCTATAGCCCTAACATTAAAAAACTTATTAAAATAATACCTTTTTATAATTAATAAATATTATATATATATTATAATTAACTTTATATAAAAATATTTTTAAATAATATATATATTATATTCTTATTAATTATTAATTTATATATATTTTAATTATTTAATATATTAATTTTTAATTTATTTAAAATTATTTTTAAAAAATATTTATAATATTAAAGTAATTATAATTCTTTATTAATAATTATAAAAATTTTTCTTTATTATTATTATAAAGTATATATTAAAACTTTTATAAAATTAAATATTTAATTTAAATAATAAATAATTAAAATAAATAAAATAAAAGTTATTATTAAATAAAGTAATATATATTTCTATATTAAATAATATTTTTATTAACTTTAAGAAATTATTTTATAACCTTTAAATAATTATAAGAATTATATAATATAATAATTAAATATATTTATAATAAATACTTAAACTTTATATAATAACTTTTTTATAAAATTTTAAAAATTAAAATTAAAAAATATTAATTTAATAATATTTATAAAAAAGTTTAAAAACTAAAATATTAATTAAAAATTAATAAACTAACTTAAAAAAAAATTAACTTAACTTTAATAAGTTATTTATAAATATTAAAATAATTTAATAAATTTAAATTAAAGTTAAATAAATATTTAAAGAAAATAATAAAAATAATTAATTAAAAACTTTAACTATTAAAGAGGATAAAATAATAATAATAATATAAATAGAGTTAAAATAAAGGGGTAGTTAAAGGAGGAGGTAGTTGGAATTAGGGAACGGTTGGAATATAGGCTGGGTATGTTATAGTTATCTCCTACTACTCCAGCTGTAGATAATCGTTTTGGTGCCAGCCTGAGGACTTTGATGTCTGGGTTGCCAGTATAAATGTGCCCTCTGTCTTTACGGATATGCATTTCCTTGAGGACACCTGAGCATGACCCATGCGCCGTCTCTGCAATCGACGAATGGTAGCTACACCACAAAGGACGGGACCACACCCCACTCACACCTTGCTATCAGTGACAGCCACCTCTAATCAAGTCGTCACAAACTTGGCAGATCCAGAGGGCAGAATGCCAAGCCAGATGGCCTGGTGCCCAGGTGCTTGATTGCTCTTGGCGAATGCTGGGCATGCAGATGGTGGGTGGTAAGGCGCAGAGCCTCATAAGCAGATGAGGCATGACGGACGCTCGAGATTTTAACGACGGGCGACGTGATACGAACAGGTGATATTGGGTCTTTATTAGGGTCTTTAGGGGGCACCTACTTATGTAGGCAGGCAGGATGGGTGGGCAGAGTTGGAGGATGCAACACTTCGAGGTCTGCATTTGCGGGCGCATCGAGGCCCATTGGCCATGCTGATTGTATCTGGCTTGCATGTGATGCAGGCCGGGCTGTTGTCATACTGGAGCGTAATGATATCTTGGCCCGTGTCACTGCTGTCCCCACCCGGCGGAGTGAGCCTGCTGGCAGAGTCAGGCAAGTCAGGCCAGACGAAGGCAGCTTGAAGAGGCGGCAGCTGAGCCAGGACAGGAGAGGAAAGTAAACAGGCCGTGACATGGGACGAAGGGCCCGAGGGTGGAACTGGCCTCGGCTGTAGCCTGCCAGAATAGGCAGCTCTCGCACGAGTGAGTGCCAATGCCATGCAAGAATGCGGAGTAGACTGCTGGAGAATCCCCTGCCTTCCAAGGTCATTTCTCGGATGATCCTGAGATGAGGCAGCGGTTCCTATCAGCCCATTTGAAGTGAGCGCATCGGATTGATTGACTTTGCAAGCTTTGGTCGTGGTCACCCTTGTGTGCAGGACTGAGTGAGTACCTGGGCAGCTGGGCAGGGACCAGCTCTCGACCAGGGCTGCCAGGCAGGGCTGGCAGGGACGCGACTGCAGACCTGCAGACCAAGCAGCAGCAGTTTGGACCAATTTCGCCCCTTGCCCCCATCCTGGCCAACCGCCAAGATCAGGCAGATCGGGTGGCGGAAAGTCGCCGCAATTGGCCGGGACTTTAAATTAGGTTTTATGCTTATCTGGGGGCAAACTTTCAACCTCTACCACCAAGAGCAGCAGAGCAGCAGAGCAGTTGAGCAGTACTTGATATTCGGCCGCATACACGGACCCAATCAGCCAATTTCGACCCCTCCCCAACCGCCAATAACATGCCACCCGCTCCAGATTCCTGTTCTGGAAGGTGGCTTCTGGACGGGTCCCCTTCTGTGCTCTCAGCCTTGGCAACTATCTAGGTACCTAGGTACCTAGGTACACCCCAAGGTTCCAGGTTTTCCCAGGTTCGGTCCTGTGAACCAGATCTTGACTGGCTGCCAGCCAGCCAGCTGGAAATGAACGGGGGTTGACGACAATGAGAGGCTCGTTGAGGTCGACAGAGCACGAAATACGGGCTAGACCTGATCCAGAAGGTCCTCTGGGGCATCTGTCAATACATACCTAGGTACCTTGGTACACACCTCCGCAACCTCGCACAAGCTGCCTCGCACTCGACTCGAGAGCCTCCTCCCGTGCACTCCCCTCCTGCCCTCTTGGCCCCCCTGGCCCCGCCAGCTGCCCGCCTCCCCTCCAAGTCTGCTAGTCAGCTAGTGCAGCACAGCGTCGATCCCAGATCTGCAAACGCCGGCTCGAGCTCTGTCTGGCTGTCTGGCTGTCTGGCTGGGCGGCTGGGCGGCTAGGTGGATGTGTCTATCGATTTCCCCCAACTACCGGTCAGGAAGCTCCAGATCAACAGAGGGTCTCCGGGAGTGTGTGGGGGGTGGGGGGAGGGGGGAGGCCCATCCCCTCATGCACCGACCCCCCCTTGACGCCTGTCATCTGGTTTTTGATTTGGTCGTGATGCCTGCATTCTGCCAATCTGCCTGTCTGCCTCCTCAATGATCGTCGTCCACGGATCGGCTCATCATTGGAGGGGCCCCATTACGCCCTCGCCCTCGGCCGGCCGACCAAGTGGGTCATCCTGTGCCTCCTCCTGCCTGCCTTCTCAGACGTGCGCCTTCTTGGCCTGCAGGGCCTGGTTACCTGGTTACCTGGGGTCCTGGTGCCGGCGTGCAGGCTGAGAGGCTGGCTGGCTGGCAGGCTGGCTGGACGGACAAGGCCCTATCGTGGCAGGTAGGCAGCATGTGTTTGGTTGCACTGCCGAGGACTAGCTATATCACGAGATATGGCAACATCGCCAAGGCCTTATCGCCCCTGGCCTGGCGAGAAGAGAGGTTGCAACACAACATGGAGGAGTCCCGACTTGGCATAGCAGCCTCCACCCCCCGGTCCGACATGGCAGGCCAGCCGGTTGTGTGTACGGACTACGTGCCGTGCGGTGTCGTATGGTGTTGTGTTGTTGAGTGGCCAAAGTGGTCCAGGAGGGGAAGCAGACACCACTCCCACAGATATAAAGATGCAGGCCAAGCCGGCTGATCTCTTGGAAGCCAGCCTTGAACTCCAGCCCTCTGCATCTGCTCCTTGGCCCTCACCATCGTTGGTCCTAGTCTCTTGGCCTCAGTGCTTGTCTTGTCTTGGTATTGTCTTGTCCCGCCTTGGTTGTGACCCTCCTGCCTCTTGACATCCCCCACTTGACACCCCACCGCCGTCTTCTCAACACCACAATGGCACCCAGCGTCAAGACAGCCCTGGTGGCAGCAGCTCTCGCCAGCTCTGCCGTGAGCGCCCCCTCCGGCCTTCACATCGGAACCCCGTCCAACACCCCGGACAACCTGGGCCCGGGCAAGGCCTCCTTCAAGCAGGTCCCCAACCCCAACTACAAGTTCAATGGCGCTCTGTCGGTCAAGAAGACGTACCTGAAGTATGGCAAGCCCGTGCCTGACTGGCTCGAGGCTGCTGTTGCCAACATCACCGCCGAGCTTGGTCTCGAGGGTCGTGCCACCGGCTCTGCCAGCGCCACGCCCATCGACTCGTTTGACGATGCCTACGTGACCCCCGTGCAGATCGGCACGCCGCCTCAGACCCTGAACCTGGACTTCGATACTGGCTCCTCTGATCTGTGGGTTTTCTCTACCTCTACGCCTTCCAGCCAGGTCAAGGGCCAGGCCGTCTACGACCCCTCCAAGAGCAGCACCGCCAAGTCCCTGAGCGGCGCCAGCTGGAGCATCACGTATGGCGATGGCTCATCCTCGAGCGGGAAGGTTTACACTGACACGGTCGCCGTTGGTGGCCTGTCGGTGGCCAACCAGGCCGTCGAGGTCGCAACCACTGTGTCGAGTTCGTTCACTTCCGAGGCCGAGATTGATGGTCTCCTCGGTCTCGCCTTCAGCAGTCTGAACACTGTCTCCCCAACCCAGCAGAAGACCTTCTTCGACAACGCCAAGGCGAGCCTGGACTCCCCAGTCTTCACCGCCGATCTGAAGTACCATGCTGGTAAGTGGTCTACCTTTTTTCACCTCCAAACTCAAAGAAATATAAGCCCAAAAGCACGAACAATTTGACGCCTAACATGTCATTATAGCCGGTACATACAACTTCGGCTTCATTGACGACAGCGCGCACACCGGGTCCATCACCTACACCTCGGTCAGCACGCGTCAGGGCTTCTGGGAGTTTGTCTCCACCGGATACTCCGTGGGCTCAGCCTCCTTCGTGTCGACCTCGATCGACGGCATCGCTGACACCGGCACGACCCTGCTGTACCTGCCCACCTCCATCGTGAGCGCCTACTACAAGCAGATCTCCGGCTCCCAGAACAGCAACACGTACGGCGGCTACGTGTTCCCCTGCAGCGCCACCCCGCCTTCCTTCACCTTTGGCGTCGGCTCTGCCCGCATCACCATTCCCGGCAAGGTCATCAACTACGGCGCCGTCTCCACCGGTAGCTCCACCTGCTTCGGCGGCATCCAGAGCAGCTCCGGAATCGGCATCAACATCTTTGGTGACGTCGCCCTCAAGGCTGCCCTGGTGGTCTTTGACGGCTCCTCCACCCCCCGCCTGGGCTTTGCACCCAAGACCGTTTAAATAGTCATAATATCCAAGTAGGATGGGGGTACTTCCGGCAATGCAGCTGATTCGCCTCGACTGTGAGAGCTGAGTAGGCGGTAAAACACGACGTGGGCATTTGAGATATGGGATAATATTCGTATGTAGATATCCAGAATACATATTTCCAAGGTTCATTTGTACCTATAGGCACGACATTTGAGATTCGCATATTATGTGGATTACAGCGATAGTAGTAAGACCTGCTTATGCTGACTCTCAGGAAGACCTCTTAAGACTGACAAATAGCGAGCCTGTGTAACTTCACAATCGACCAAGAGAGTTTACCATGTGAGGTTTGCCGCTAGGCGAGCATACCTACATATGTAGGTATCTACGTAGCTGAATCAGCTCGAAAGCGAGAAACAAAGCAATTGATTCAAAGCTTTCTGAGTCATGCATGGCCTGAACAGTCTCTTTGTTAATACCAAGCCAATCACAGTGTCCTTCCTAGGTATCCTCTTGACGTTAAGCCGTCCGTTCATGCATATGACCGTTGATCAAGACCCTGATAATATTTAATAGGCTGGTCCCGATGAGACATAAACGATCGACGGCGGCACAAAATGTACTGGTAGGTAGGTGCCTTTGCTAGCTCGTTTAAGAAGGTTGAGTAACGCAACATAATCACCCGTCGGTTTCTTGGAAAGCCCAGTAGTGTCTGAGTCGCCCGTGACAAGTATTAAAGAAAAACGCGGGGGGGGGGGGGAGTTGTTTCAGAATACTCCCTTTGTGACAGTGTGACTTTGAAGATTTCAGGGACGTACTACTTGTCCCAAAACCTACGATTCACGGCCTGACAAGATGTGTCGGTTCTGGGCTCGAATTCACAGTCTGAAGACGACTTAGTGTGCATCACACGACCAAAATCAACCATTCGAGACTTCGCCGTAAGAAATGTACACAAACAAGGATTGTATACCCGGAATCAGCAAGACATCCTAATATTATAAAAATTTCTAGCTAAGTGCTCTGTTCTTCTTCGATGAGCAAAAGTCGCTAAGGGTATATATATATGTACTAAGTGCCGCGCCCAGCAGCGCATCAAGGCAGGCGAAAGTGGGAGAGGAGGAGCCGGGTGATCAACAAACAATCATCGACCCCGAGTAAAGGTGCTTCTCCGAAGGCGACGCAGCGTAATCCTTCTATGCTCCTTGGTCACAACGTCGCCACGAACTGGTTCCTATGAGTCCTTGGCAGCGACGAGCTCTCTGATAACATCATACAACTCGTCAGGTTCTGAAAACACGCGCCAGACCGTTGTCGGCACGTCCTTGAAGGCAGCCTGGAACCGCTCGTCCTTGTTCTTCTCCTCGATCCCAATGGCAGCAATGTCCGTCACCTTCCTGATGAAAATTGCCTTGACCCACTCTGGATGCGCGCGGTAAATCTCTCCGTATGCCTCGGGGTCACTCTGGGTGCTGTCGCCGATGCAGAGCATCTTCTTCTTGGGAAGCCAGCCGTGGAGTTTCTTCATGCGATCCACCTTGTAGCCCTCGGTGCCGAGCGTCAGGTTGGAAAGCAGGCCGGGTATGCTCATCCAAGAGGCATCTCGCAGCAGTAATTGGCCCTGGGGGTAGTAGGCATCTCGGAACTCGCGCAAGAACGGATAGAGATTGTATGGTGACGCGGACAAATAGAACCAAGGTGACGCCGAGGTAATCTCGGACTGGATGAACTTGTATAGCTCAGGCATGCCAGCAACAGGCTCTGGCTTGTTCACGAATGTGCTCCGTAAGATGCCGATGGGGTCACTCGTCTGTGTGATCTTGATGGTGTCGTCGACGTCTACGCACACTAAATTAGCGAATGCATGAAGAGCTGGAGTCTCGGAGTGTACACACCTGATATCACGGCCCAGCCGTCTGGGTCGGAGAAGAAGGTCTTGCTCTGCAATAACCCCGTTACACCCTCTGGCACCTGGGCTGTGGTTGGAACGACCATGCCTGCTGGTGCGGCCGGAATGGCTTTGACGTCGGTGCTTATGCCGTTCCTACTCCCCGAGCTGAACTTGAGGTGGGTCTCGCCCCCATGCAGAGCCAAGACCTGCTTCCCAGGCTGTATGTCCATGAGGAACGGGCGCAACCTCTCCTCGATGGTCCTTTTGGCCTCGTCGTCATCGGCTAGGCCAATCTTGTCGGCAATCTGCACGACGACGTCGCTGACGGTGCATGAGGGGTCCTGGGAGAAGACAGCGGCAACGAATTCTGCGTTCCATGTGTGGACCTCTTTCCCGCCCTTCTCTTTCTTTGTCACAGGGAAGGCAGTGTTGTCGAACAACCATAACTCGTCGTCCTTGGAAACAGGCTGGGGCCAAGGGTTGCGCGGGCCTAGATAGGACAAGATATTCGCGACGGGGTCGGAGACCAGCCGCCTTGGTTGCACAGGGCGGAAGGTCTTGAAGTTGGAAGGGGTCGAGGCCTGCAGGCTGGCCTCAACATCTGGGAACTTGCTCTGGCGACGTGTCTTGTGCTGCATTTTGTCGGCGCTAAAGGTCGAGGTGGAATATCGTAGGGTCTCCATAGTGGGCGGAGTGGGAGCCCGCAAAGGCTGTCTGTCTACTGATATATAGAGGTCGAGGCAAGTGGCAAGTATGTGGATGTGTGTGTGTGTGTAGGAGGTGACTGTTCCGGGAGGCAGAGGCTGAGGCTGATGCTTGTTCACGTGTGGATGGCAGGTCAGTAGAGCAGGAGGCGAGTGAAGTCGTAGGTAGGTACCCAGACGGTAGCGAGTAGTCAAGAGTTGATGGTGGCTATCGGATCAGGTGGGTTAATAGAGAATGGGGGGGGGGGGCCTGGCACTTGATATCTGTAGTCTGCCTGCCTCCCAAGCCTTGTGACCATGACGAGCCATGGCATGCAGGAGCCCTGCCATGAGCCAGGAGCGAGCAGGAGGCAGCAGGCAGCAGGCAGCAGGCTGGAGGCTGGAGGCGTGCAGCCCGTGAGCTGCTATTCTGGCTGATGGCCCCCACAAGGTCAAGTCCAGGACGCCAGAGACGGCCCTACACTAGTGGGGGAGCTATTGGTCCTGGGCAATGACGCTTCGCACACCTGGACAAAGTGGCATCTCGCTCGTCGGAGGATGCAAGATCAGCCGTGACAGCCGTGGACCTGCCCAAGTCGGTGCGGGTGGGTGGCAGAGGGTTGGCACTGCGTCAGGTGTGCCTCCACCCTATGCCGTTTTGGTTTCATGGTGTGTCACACAGGACGACAACCAGCCAGGACTTGATCACCTACTGGGGATGGGGGAGATGCAGCTGGGGAGATGCAGCTGAGGCGATCTGGCGACTCATGTGATCAAGAACGCCTGGGCCGATCCGTCTGCGAAGGAGGAACCTGAAGAAGGGCTGACGGGCTGACGAGACGGGGCAGTTCAACCGTCTGCCGTCTGCCGTCATCGCAATCGCAAGGTGCCTTGCAGATGGACGGGCACCCTGCAGCTCGCATCTGCACCTGCCGTAGCGCCAAGACCCCTGCTCACGTCACCGGATCTTATCAGCCCCCGCCCCGCCCCTGTCCCCGTTTCCCGCTCGGCACGGGCCAGTCCCATCACCTCCTTGGGTTCAGGGCCCAGAGCAGTAGCCGATGAGATTGTGGCAGGTGCGGTTTGGGGGCAACAAAACACCATGACGAATAGTCGAGTGGTGCGTGTGGTATTCCTGGTGGAGCTTCAGATGCTGCCTGCATGCAGTATGTAACCAGCAGTATAGGCTATACAGCACAGGACTCTATTAAGCCTACAGTATATACATGCCTAGGTACTCAGGTTCCTAGGTATGTCTGCCGAATGGTCCTGACAAGCGTCTGACGTAACGAGCTCCCCGCACCTCTCGTGATGCGTCTCGTCCTGCCCTCAATTCATGTCAGCCCATTCATTCCACGGCAACACCATATCCCCAACCCGTTCAACACTCACACTTGCATCAACCATCTCCCAGACCACTCTCTTCCTCTCCAAACACCACCTAGGTCGCCATGTCCACCCCCGCCGCCAAGCGCCAAAGGTCCTCCAAGGACGTCCCCTACCACCTCGTCTACTGGCCCGGAATCCCCGGCCGAGGCGAGCACGTGCGCCTCGCCCTCGAGGAAGCTGGAGCCTCATACACAGACACCGCACACATCAAGGACGGCGTCAACGAGGTGCTGGCCCAGATCGATTCCAGCAACACAGGAGACGACACCAGCCCTCCCCCCCTGGCACCACCTATCCTGAAGCATGGTGACCTCACCATCAGCCAGACCCCCAACATCCTGCTCTACCTTGGTCCAAAGCTGGGCCTTGCCCCCAAGCCTGGCGACGATGACGAGGACGGCTTGTTCATCGTCAACGAGCTCGCCCTCACTGCGTTAGATGGCCTCAGCAACGAGCCGCATGACTGCCACCACCCCATCGCCACCGGCCTTTACTACGAAGATCAGAAGGAAGAGTCCCTGAGGAAGACCAAGGATTTCGTCGCTAACCGCCTTCCCAAGTTCATCGGCTACTTCGAGCGTGTACTTAAGGGCAAGGCGAGCGGAGATGGCCCATGGCTGTACGGTGGAAAGCTGACCTATGCCGACCTAGTGCTGTTCCATGTAAGTCTTTTATGAATTTGGTTTGAGGCCGCATTGTTGGGAAGTTTTTCCACCTGACCATTGTTCACTGGCAGTGCCTGGACGGCCTCAAGTTCATGTTTCCCAAGGCCGTCAAGAAACTGGCAGATTCTGGCGACTACAAAGACGTCTTCGCTCTGTACGACGCTGTAAAAGAGCGGCCTAACATCAAGGAATACATGGCAAGTGACAGGCGTCAAAAGTACAGCCAGGGGATCTACAGGTACTACGAGGAGTTGGACGTCACAGAGTGAAGTCGGGTAACTCCAGGCCAGACAGGCCAAACCCTCAACCGCTAAATAAACACCCTGTAAATTCCACCCGACCAAGGCTCTTTGGTGGGGTTTAAAAGGGGCGAAACCAGAGAAAAGTTAGCACATTATTCACGTACTTGTGTTTTGCCCCTTTCGGCATTCCTTGTTGCATGTGGTGGGAAGTTGCTTCTCGTGGCCTTCCAAGGTTGCTCTATCCAGCTCGTCGTACCTTCAGGCTCGGGATAGAAATGCCGTGCTTAACATTCGGGGAGCTCATGGTAAGTCTGCGACAGGAGCAAGCGTGTTTATGTATAGATATACTCAATTAACTTCAAATGTTCTGTCTGCTTCTGCCTCGCTGAGCCATAGGGGTACCCAAGTACCTAGATATGTGTGCGAGATGCCAAAACGTTTGCCCAAATGCTTCAAATGTTGATTAGCAATGCTTCACTAGCACAATTCCGTATCTCAACCTGACTTACTATGCATTGTGACTGATGTAGACAACAGTGTTGTTGGAAATCTCCCGATGTGGCTCCATTCAACCTACCACTGGCAGAGGCAAGGGGTTGGGACAATTGTCTTTTCTCTAAGGCACTGTGACATGAAAATATTTCTGAGCACTTGATTAAGGTTTGTCATGGAGATGTAAAAATATGAATACTTTGGGGCAGTCACACCGTCAGCCGCAATTTGTGTTATATGGATGATGTAGGCGGGCCAGTGACCAGCAGCAAAGTGCGCTTCATGGCCACAGAAAAAATTACAGATATAAATACATGTGAATACAGGCAATATCAAACCCTCCTTTTCCATTTATCCCGCAGCAAGCAAGAAAGAAAGAAAAGCCAAGACCCACCTGAGATAGCACATGCGTCCAACCAAGACGAGCAAACTTGGGATTCCACCCAGGCAAGCATCGGAAAGCCTCAGCTCCAACGGGAGATGAGCCACGGCGAAAGACAGCAGACTCACAACACAACATTTACCACTCCGAGACACCACAAAAGAAGATACCATCAACATGCCCAGTTATCCAACAAAGCTGGGAGGGGGCAAAGGGAGCAAGAGTGCGACCGATCAAAATCCGTACCAGGGCAAGAGCCAGGGAAAGAAGAAGGGAAGCAGCATCTCCCTGCAAAATATGGGAGGTGCCGACCGGAATGCCAGCACCACTGCCATCAAGTCCAACCCAGCAAGCACCAAGAGCGGCTCCTCCAGATCAAGTACAAAGGGAAGTTCAAAGTAAAAATCTGGCTTAGGCCCCAAATCCAATGAAGTTGATCAGAACTAGCTGTGTCAAGAGATCATCCGTTCAGATGTTTCTATCATGACGTGCTAAGTTCAGTTGGCTCTGAGACGCCAGTATGAGTTGTATTAATGAGAGAGACCCAATTTGATTTGGCCAAAAGTCTGGGGATCAGAGAAGGTTCAACGATGAAGACTACTTATTACTCAAGATGGTAATCACCCACAGACCATAGATGGGCAGAAAATGACAAATGCAATGTTCTATAACAGTTACCAGGGCTGGGATGCAATGCACCTTCTGGGTTGCATCTGCCAGGAGTCTGGGCCCAAACAGATTGCAAATATGCCCGAGGAAGAAGATGCACCTACAGAATACAGTGATGAGCACAGAGCAGTTTGTCCAGCCTTTGATGGCGTTCAAGAATGGCAAAGTTTTCACATTACACTTGTGAAATGAGCAACACTATTGTGGGACCTTGGCTCTGATCCTCAGAATTGGCCAACACAAAAGAGGCCAAGTGCAATGGTTTCACCATGCCCATTTGCTGTGGTAGGCGCCCCGTGGACGAGCATCTTCCAATGGACAGCTAATAGGAAGGCAGCAGGGGTGTCGGCGGTGAATCGGAGGGCCAAGACTAACAACTACCTATTGCAAACACCTCAAGTGCTGTCTGCTCCGTAATGAGTATAGATCCGGATGGTGGGCTTCTGACATCAAACAGTGGAAGACCCGGACCTTAATGTTGATGCCGATGACGGACCGACAAAAATCTTCTAGCGGAAGAGTCTGCTCCGCAAATGACAGAGCAGCGTGGGCGGGCCTTCTTCCACGCACAGGGGAGACCCCATAAAATCCACCAAACAGACACGGCCCATTCAAATTCTGCGAGCGACTCGTGCCACCAAGCCGACCGGTCGACCGGTGCCGTAGCATTTTGGAATCGACCGACAGCAACGTCGACTAGGGACCCGGGAGCCGCAAGCAATTGTCATAGAAGAACAGACGCATACCTAGGTATATACACATACATACACCTTCGATTACGAGCCTGTGGCTGTTGTAGCAGCGTGAGTGACGGACGACCTGGACCTGGCCAACTTCAACACCACCTTCCAGCCGACACCAGTCGCCCACCATGGCAGCCTCGCAAGGCGATGATTATATCCTCACCCTGTCCTGTCCGGACAAGCCGGGCATCGTCCACTCAGTCACCGGCGTCTTCGCCGCCAACAATGTCAACATCATAGACCTCCAGCAGTTCTCCGACCCCGTCTCCAACAAGTTCTTCATGCGCGTCCACTTTGGGCCCACGCCGTCGGTAGACACCCTCACTGCGCCCTTCCAAGCCTTGGCCGCCGAGCTTCAGATGGACTACGAGATCCGGCCCGTGGCGCAAAAGACCCGCGTGCTCATCATGGTGTCCAAGATCGGGCACTGCCTCAACGACCTGCTGTTCCGGGCCAAGACGGGCCAGCTGCGGATCGAGGTCCCCGTCATCGTGTCGAACCACCCCGAGTTCGAGTCCCTGGCCAGGAGCTACGGCATCGAGTTCCACCACCTCCCCGTCACCAAGGACACCAAGTCGCAGCAGGAGGGCCAGATACTCGAGCTGGTGCGCAAGCACAACATTGAGCTGGTCGTCCTGGCCCGCTACATGCAGGTCTTGTCACCTATGCTGTGCGCGGCCATGAGCGGGAAGATCATCAACATCCACCACAGCTTCCTGCCATCCTTCAAGGGAGCCAAGCCATACCACCAGGCCTACGAGCGCGGCGTCAAGATCATCGGTGCGACGGCACATTTCGTCACGGCCGACCTGGACGAGGGCCCCATCATCGAGCAGCGTGTGGCCCGCGTCGACCACAGCATGAGCCCGAAGGATCTAGTCGAGGAAGGCTCCAATGTTGAAAGCCAGGTTCTAGCGGCTGCGGTGAAATGGGTCGCTGAGAGGAGGGTGTTCCTCAACATCACGAAGACGGTAGTCTTCAACTAAACGGGCACAGCGGCAACTGTGAGAATCAACCAACGATTGCTATTCCATAGAAGGTTGCGGGTTAGAGTTACAAAAAGCCCGACTCAGTAATATTCATCCCCATCGTGCAGCCTCGAGAATATCCAAGGCTTCTGCCATTATCTATAGACAAGTCCTCCGTCACCAAGAACGACCAAGAAGTACCGGCTGCTAAGAATGGCGCTGTGCCACATGAGGCCCGTGTAGTGAGCCCGGCAACTCGGCGGGAGGGCGGTACGCGGGCATCTCAGGAGGGACATAACCTGATGACAGCTCCGACGCGCTTGGCACGGCCTCCTCCTGGTTGTGCTGTTTTGAGAACATCATCGTGTGGCTCGTCGGCTGCGCATGGTTATGAGCACGTGCCCTGCTGCGCCTTCTGAGGGTGAAGATTGTCATTGCTATAGCGAAGAGGACCACGACTCCAGCGATGACAGCCCCAGCCAAGGCTCCTGCTGAAATAGAGCTGCTGCTTGAAGCTGGAGCCGAACTCCATCTGGAAGCCGTGGGGTTAGGGGGGCTCTGAGCTGCGTCCATCCGATCCTGGCTCCTCCAATTGATTTGGATCATGGGTGCCGCGATGAGAAGGCTGGACAATGTTGCTGTTGACGTATTCTGGGCGTTAGTGCTCGTGTAGGGGATCGGAAACGTTCCATAGTTTGACGAGACGAAGCTGCCTCCAGAGCAACTGGCCGTTAGTACCGGCTCAAAGGCGGTCGAGACGCAAGTCTAGAAACTTCCGAACTTCGCACAACTGAAGCCACTTTATATAGAGAACGGAAATTCACATACCTAAAATCAGAAGGCACATACCTAACTATAACTAAATAGTACCCCAACTAATTAAAAGACTTTATTTTATTTTATTATACTACCTAAAAAGTATTTTTTTATATCCCCTCTATTATACCCTATAATAAATTCTCTTCCTACCTAATTATACTCTCTAACTATTATACTATTATAAGTTAAATTAACTATTTAAATATTAAAAACTATTAATTAAAAATTAAATTTTTATTATATTTATTTAAATATTATTTTTTAAGTATTATAATTAATAATATAAGTATTTAATTACTTTAAACTTAAACTATAATAATAAGTAGATTATTATAATTAAAATTATAATATTATTATTAATAATTACTACCTTTTAATATTTTTAATCTTTTATATTCTTAAAGTTTTTAATAATAAATATAATATTTATAAAAGTTTAAAGTTAAATTAAATAAAATTATAAAGTTAATTAATTAATTAATAATTTTTATAATTTAAAGTTATATTAAAAGTTTTAATTTATAATTATAATATATAATAATTTTTAATTTTAACTACTTATAATAATATTATAATTAAAGTTAACTATATTTAATAAGGATTTATTTATATAATTAAAATTATAATAAATAAATAAAGGTTTATAATTTAAAAGGAAGTATATTTATTATAAACTTTAAGTAATATTTAAAATAAAATAAAGTTAAATTAAATTAATATTAAATTAATATAAATTCCTTTCCTAAACTATATATAACCTTTTATAATAAAGTTAAAAACTTAAATTTATACTTTAATAAAAATATTTTATAATAATATTAAAATCTAATATAATAAAGTTTTAACTAATAAAATAAAGGAAAGAAAGCTAAAATATTTATATATTAATATAAATAATATTAAATTAACTTTAAAAATAAAATTATTAATATTATTAAATTTAAAATAAAAAAATATTATTAATATTTTTAATATAAAAATAATAAATTATATAAATTTAAAAGTAATATTTTTATAGTATTTCTTTTTAATTATATTTATATAATTAATAATAAAAATATTATATTTTTAAAGTATAATTATAATATATATAAAAAAACTTATCTTTATTTTAAAATATTATTAATAATAAAAAAATAAACTTTTAATAGTTTTAAAATAAATTAAATTATTATTAATAAAATATAAAACTATAAATTTAAAGATTATTATTATTAATTATAATACTATTTTAATTAATATTATTAAATATATATTTTTATATTTATTATTAATTTTATATTCTTTATATTAATATAAATATTATTTTAATATTAAAAGAAATAATAAAAATATTAAATTTATAAAGTATAAAAAAGAAAGTTAATAATAAAAGAATTTAAAAATAAAAATAAAAATATAGCCTTATTTAATATTTTAATAAAAATAAAATAATAATCTTATTAAAAATCCTAAATAAAATTCTCTATATTTATTAAACTTTATTTAATTTATTTAAGTTTATAAAGTATTTAACTAATTATTAAGTCGTTAATTTAACTTAATACTACCTATAAAAAGAGTTTTTAAATTAATAAGTAATAATTTAGTATTTAAAAACCTATTATATAAATAAAAAGAAAGGTTATAGTTAAATAAATAACTTATAAAATTTATAAAGTTTTTAACTTTAATTTATATATAATATTTTTAATAGAAAGTATATATTAAAAGCTTAAAATCTATTTAAACTATAAAATAAAAATATTCTCTACTTTATTAAAACTATTTATAAAGCTTTAAAAATATTACTTATAACTTTTAATTAAAAAAGTATATTAAAAATATTTTTCTTTAAAAATTTAATAAATAAAAATAATTAAAAACCTTTTAATATAGATTTTATAAATAACTTTAAATCTTCTCTTAAATACTAAAAATATACCTTATAAATACTTAAAAGTAAAATTTTATAAGGTACCTATTTATAATTAATTTATATTTATTTTATATTTATATAATATAGCTTAATTTATATTAATTAAATTATTAATAAAAAAGTTAAATAACCCTTTAAAAAGTTAATATATATAAATTCTTTTAGTTTAATTATAATTTATTAATTAAAAACCCTTTATTTATAATTTACTTATTAAAATAAATTAGATTAATTAAAGAATACCTTTATAAAATAACTATATTTATAATTAATAAAATAAATATTTTAAAATAAAATAAAAGTTAAATAATAACTGTAATAAATAAAAGATAAAGTTAATAACTACTAACTTAAAAGTAAATTAAATAATAAAATAAAAATAATAATAACCTTTCTTTAATAAATAAATTTAGTTTAAAAATAAAATAACTTAACCCTATAGTCCTTAAACTAAAAATACTTATAGTAATAATACTTAATAAGTAACTATTTAATAAAACTAATAGCTAATAATAAGGCTTATAAAATAAGTAAATTACTAATTAAAATAATAATTTACTCCTTTAAATATATTTTTAAGTACTCTATTAATAGTTAAAAGTAATATATAGAATATAAAGGACTATTAACTAATTACTATAAGTAAACCTAACTATAAATAATATTACTAACAATAATAAAAATATATAACTAAAAATTAAAATATATATATAATTAAATATAAATTATACTTAAAATATTACTAAATTTAACTATAAAGTATATAATTTATATAATTTTCTACCTTACTTTTATAAATTAATAAAAAAATATTACTAAATAATAATTATATATAATAACCTTATTAATTACTATAATAAACCCTAATTAAAATAAATTTATATATATATATAGGCACTACTTAGTTACAGTTGGGTATACACCTTTCGATTTTAGGTACGCGAATTTCCGTTCTCTTTATATGTGGGTTAACATCACGCTCGGCCTTTCGGGCATAGAGCTCGCGGCCAATACGTACGTCGGACAACAGCCAACTGCCGTTTCTCCCTCCCCCAGTGCATACTGCGTTGCCCAGCCTGCAAATTGGCCTTGTGTAGCTTCACAAGCAGTTGTGTGCCCGGCCGGACACGATAACCCAGGCGAGTAGAAGCCCCAGCCATGGAAAGGTGTTATGGGTGATGGTGCAGGAGCGACGGTCTCCGGCCAACAAGTGGATTCATCGGCCAATCCATTGCCATTGCATGTCTGCGCTCTGAAGCCGATGTTGGGAGCTGTGCCGCGGACCGCGGCGAAGGTGCATTCTGGCGGCGCTGTGAAAACGGTCGTGAGCGGGCCAAGAATTGGCCGTGTCATATACACAGTCGTAACTCCAGGCACTGTCGAGGAAGCCATTATGGGGGATTAGCAGTGCGGGGCCGGGACCAGCACTGGCGGTTGCACCCTCTCAGAGGAAATCGAAATTGTTTGAAGAGGTATTGCACATGCTCGTGTGCTGGGACTGGAAGGGCTTTAGGCACGGGGATCGATCACTCAGTTGGCGAGAAGGATCCGACCCCTGATCCGAGATTGGCTATGGTTACGCACACAGGTATTGGCAAATCCTCTCCGCGGCTGGCATGTTGGGCCTTTCGTTTCAGCTCAGGGCCTGCCTGATGCACTCCTGCTACTGTCAGTTAGTTGTTCTTGACTCCGACTGGGTCGGGATGTTATCATGACCAAGAAGGGGGGTTGGGGGCTGTATAGACAACAAGCACCCTTCTTGGGCTACACTGGTACAATGTTTGAAACACCTGCAAATGACTGCAAGGAATGCTGTGCAGCTTTGATTGTGCTTTACATACTCAGGTACTAAGTACTCAGAGCTCGTCCCCACCTCGAACACAAGGAGAATGCACGCCAACCCTTCCATCAACGCTATCAGTTCTTGCAATCGGCCTCGAAGTGCTCCGTACCGCTGCCTGCCGGAGACCCAGGTGTTTCTAAAGTTTGCCCCCTACAGGGCATCACGGCAGTAAGCTTACCTGCAGAAGCAGCAGATAGCCCAAGGCAGTAAAATTAACTCTATGTTTTAGCTGTGCGGGGGTTTTGGCACCCCCTACGCCAGGAGGCGTAGGGGGTAACCGACGGTCTGACCCCCGGGTATTAATCTCCAATCAGGTAGGTGACTCGGATGCCCAGCAGCTGACACGTCCGGTCAGACTTCCTAGCGACTCTCAGTCTCGGCATGCTGTACCTGTTGTCGACACAAAGAGTAAATACCGCGCCGTTGGGCTTTCAAGACAACATTTACCGCACTTTGGCATAATGTGGAATTCAATCTTAAGCTGGGCGCAGCGTCAATTCTGGCAAGAGGGCCATGGCACCGAGTCGATACCTCCTTTGCCATTTCTGCCGCCATCACCTTCATCAGGCGAGAACACGACCACACAAGAGATACTCACAACAGTTGCATCTTCACATAATGGCATCTTCTTCGAGCGTCTACCTTCGGACCTGCGCAGGATTATTCTAATCGAGGCGTTCGGCGAACGAGCCGTTCACATAGACTTAAGGTACGACCGGCCGCTGCGGGCCAGGTCCCGCAGAACGACAATGCACGCTGGCGGAGTTGATATCTTATATAACGAGCATCCGCCCTCGCGCGACTCCAGGCAACCCCGCGCCTGGAGGTATTATAGCTGCGTATGCCACCGAGATCCGGTGGATTTCCTGGAGCGTTCGAAAGATTTGCCTAGTCATCCCGCCACGGACTCGTGTCTCCGCAGGCGACCTCAGTCTTGTGATAGGCCACCTGGTGAGATCTGGGATATATCAAGGTGTTTTCTGGGCGTTATGGGATGGCTCCTGTCTTGTCGAGAGGCGTAGGTACCCTTTCCCCACCCGTGCAGGCTGGCCTCAAGCCCATGCCAGTGGTGTCTGGTCCGCCCCAGGTTCATTCAGGATAGCTGACTCATTCGTCTATGCATACTTATAGGTATACTGAAGGGATTGATATTCTGTATTCTACAAACCGTTTCCATTTCTCCGGCATGACACTCATCCAACATCTCCCTCGCCTCTTGCCCACAGAGGCTCTATCTATCGTCCACTCAGTCGAGATGTGTTGGGACCTGGGTCAGGTGGCACGACCACCAGTCACAGACCAAGACATCTCAGCTGAGCCGCGGTTTGAAGGCTGGCGTAGGTTCTCGTCGCTGCTCGATCAACTACCGAGAGCTCTCCCACATCTCAGATATCTCCACCTGACCCTTCTCGGCGAATGGTTTCCACCTCAGATGGCTGTCAACGACATAGTACGGCATTCTGAACCAGCCATGATGAGCCCCATTGATAACATGATGAGAGAGCTCTACCAGAAGTGTGGGTGGAGCTCCACGAGGTATATAGTGGCCATACCCGCGAATGTCTTCCATACCCGGTTGTCACTCATCTCGCCGGCCCTGGATCACAGATCACAAGTCGTCCTCGAGCCATCGCCGAATCGCAAGCTACTTTGGCGCTCGTTGGAACCCGAGCGCATTGGTCGATCTGACGTGAAAGATGACCAGGGATATTGGTTGGAGGATGCTTTGGACAAAGTGAGAGAGCTGACAAGTGTATTCCGTGTGGAGAGCGTCCCAGTGCCCAATATTTCACTTGCTGGGGACTGGTAGTGCGATATAGAGAATCAGAGTACAGAAAGGCAGGTATCAGACAACCTTCAGGAATAACAACATTGTTTGTTTGGGACTTGTGAGATAACTGAAAAGTGGTGCCTAGTAGTAAAAGGATGGTATGGCTAGTACACTACCAGTGATGTTACCCTTGTCCCTAATGTTGTAGCAATATGACCAGCAAATCAATATGATGAGCCCACTTGTGCATGACGCTTAAAAGAATCCATTGCAATGGGTTATAGAATGGATATAGAGGGTTTTCTTAATGTGTAAAGTCACATTGATCTCACTCTACTAAATCTTAATCTTAAAATTCTAAGATAGTATAAATTATATAAATTAATTTTAAATGACCACTATGCTTATTATAGGTATACTAGGATTTAAAAGTCGTTATTACCGCCGTTATATACTATTTAATACTAGCTTAAAAGCTTTAAATATTTATTAATTTATAAAATAATTATTTATAAAAATAATCTTTATATTATATATATAAAGAGAGAGATTAGAAGTAAATTAATAACTACTATACTAGTTTAATTCTAAAGTAATAATTATCTTTAACACACGGTACTAACACGCTCGGGTCCGCTTTTAGGGCGCGGAGAAGCTTAATAATAAAGCTCCGAACCCCTTAACGTTAAAACACCGAACTATAAGATTTAAATGCTCACATAACGAGTTACTAGCAGTTGAAATTTATTCTTCATTAGGAATGCTACCTAGGTATGGATTTATAGCCTTAGTTTATAGATGGATGTATTAAGTGTATGTGTGTGGATAACTAGGGCCCCTAACTGGCTTCCTACGTCATCTAGTATAGCTTATTTACCCACCCACCCTAGGGTACTTTAGGACCTTAGCCTTCCTTTCGTAATCCCCTCAAACCTTCCCCCTTACATAGAAGGTAGCGCCGACTTGACTGCAATTGATGTATTGAGGATAGTTAGTTGCCTTGTCTCTGTTTTCCCTCTCGTGATAATGGACAGTTCGTCTCGAACCCCATCTTCCTTACCACAAGCCTGCCCTATATGCTCGCGGCAATTCGACCGGGTCGAGCACCTAAAGCGACATGAGGCGACGCATACCAAAGAAAGGAATCGTGTCTGCAATGTCTGTGGCAGGAGATTTAGCCGAAAGTACGCTCTCCCACTACCTGATCGTGTTATGTTTTAACGAGGAAAACCCTTGCTGATGCTAAATGAGTACAGAGACGCTCTCGATCGCGTCAGTAGCATTCCAAGGTTCTTTTCCTTTTACGTTACCACTATAGTTGACTCGTTATAGCATCAAAATGTCCATCGCCACCACGTACCATTACGAAGGTTCCGCGCGTGTACAAGATGTGCCGCCTCTCGCGTCAAATGCAGTGGCTCGCCACCATGCATCAGATGCCGACAGAGGTCGCTGACCTGCACAGTCCCCGAGGGCATTGAACCTCGCGACGGTCTTTCAGAAGGGGAAGCTCCAGCTGCATACGAGCATAATCAATACAACGGCCCGCGTAGTGACGGCATGCAGTCAAATCTGACGACTGAGTCACAGCAGCACAGTTCAGCAATGATCATGTCACTAGCGCAACGCACGCAACCGAACACTTTCATCCAGCCGCATGCTCAACCTGTCGATTTGACACCGCAACTTGAAGAGAGCAACACATATATGATATCTACCTTGAACTGGGTTTCACCATCAATGGAATTTGACCTGGCCGAATTCGATTATAACCAAATGAGTTCACACGAGCCTTACTGGAGCTCACTTACCGACGTCAGCAGCGTGCCTGATCAAACCCTATCTGGAAGCCAAATAATGCAAACTGTCTCCAACCGGACGATTTCAATCACAGGGGGTCTCTCGGATTCTCACGACACTCAAACTCCTGCAACGTTCTATGTGGACAACAAAGGAGCCAGGCAACCGCGAAATGGGCGGTACGCCAACCGGATATTTGGCGAGGGAGACCCCAGGGAGCCCTCAGGCACCACTTCGGAATTTGTGCTGAAGGCACCAGAACCGGATGGCTTCAACCTTTTGCTGACCCGTATACCAGACGATCCGGGAGAGCACTTAAACACCTCGGTGAGGCCGATGAGCCCTGAGCAGTACTGTACGATGCTCCAAGCATTTCAGGATCACTGCTTGACAGCCAATGGTCACGTTAATGACAGGCCGTTCATTTCTACTGAGCTTCCAACTATTTCTGCCTTCACAACGCTTCTCACGCTGTACAGACAGCGCTTTGATCCCAAAGTTCTCCCACTGGTTCATTTTGAGCATGAAAATGGCAACGCCTCATACTGGGTTATCAAGCTGGCTATGGCAGCCATTGGGAGTCAGTATTTAGATGCGGGAGACACAGAACTCGCCATTGCTCTTCATGAATTCCTTTGGCGGGTCTTGCGACAACAAGGGGCAATCTTCACGATGGAACCTTTGACCTTAGAATCACTGGGTTTGGTCCAATCGAAACTCCTCAACTATATTGGCTTGGCGTATTGCGGCTCGAAACGGCTGGACAGACACAGATTGGTATCACTCGAAAGCCTGGTCAACGAGTATAGGTCATTGCATCAGCATCACTCCGCCATATTACAGGAAAAAGTCGGGTTCCAGGATCGAGGGGTCTGGCTACTATCCGAGGGTGTGCGAAGACTCTGCCATGCAGTCTGGATGCTTGAAAGCATGTCTCGGTACCATTTCGATACACAGTCGAGCCTGCTGCTGAAATTCGCGGACATTCTTTTGCCATGCACCGAAGATATCTGGGAGGCTGGAGGAGCTGAAGTGCAGGCTTCCGTTAAGCAGCCGACTCTAGAGAAGGCATTGAAGATACTATATGTGGAAAAGCGACTCCTGAAAAACACCGGAGACTTCGCACGGATCCTTCTGATCAACGGACTGTATTGTCAGACTTGGGACGTCGGCACATTACTCAACCGATCTTTACTTCGCTGGACGCCCTCGTCTCGAAAAGGAGACGCCGAGTCACAAGATCTCACCGGTCCAGTCTGGTTACCACAGATTCCCCTTTACAACCAGTGGAGGAACGCAGCGTGTGATTGCTTGGACGTGCTCCACTGGATCGCAAACAGCGATATCGCCAAAGCTGGGACTGAGACAGCGACCGTCCTCCATCTGCATTTCGCCAGGGTTGTTCTCCTCGCACCTTACGAATCGATACGTAAATTGGCGGACCTGCTAGTGTCAGAGAACATAAGTCATAGCGACTCTGCACAACGAATCCGTGCGGAGTGCCAACAGGTGCGGAAGTGGATCACGGAGGACCAGTTCAAGGCACGCCTCGCGCTCGTGCACTGCGGTGTATTTTTCTGGCACGTCAGACGGTATTCCCTGGATGCATTCTATGAACCGACCAAAGTGTTCCTAGTGACACTCGTTGTGTGGGCGTACGGCAGTCTTTGTCCTCCGCAGCAAGTGTTGCGCGGCTCGAATGGGAACATCGTCTATCCTCAGCGCGAGGATGAGGACTGTGATGTCGACGACATCTCCTCGATCCGACTTGATCGTCCATGCGACGACGAGCTCGTGCAAATTTTCATTAAGCGAGGCAGGTCCATGACGGCTACCATCATGGGAGTGGGTAATATCACCTCCGCTAATGGGCCACTTCGAATGCTGAAGGAAGGGCGCAAGCTGCTGGCCACTCTGGATAGATGGCCCATCAGAGATCAATACCTGAATATTCTCACACGTCTTGTCGACTTTTGCAGTCAGAACTCACAGTGGGTACAAGTGGGGCCGAGCTTGGAGGAAAGGTTGCAACCAGTACCACCTGAAGGCATTCCGATGGCGTAGATATCAGAAGAGACAACAAGCAATCAGTTACATCCGGAAAGACTTGAGTATTTAAACAGTATCCCAATCAGGCCGATCTATCCTAACACCTGTATAGTCCTCACCATTGGCCAAATATACCTAGGTAAAGCAACATCTTACCACCGTATGAAGGCGCCATGTATGTCCTCGGACATATATGGAATAGAAGCGAAACCACACTAATATGTGTCTTGTAAGATGCGAAATTTCCCGAGGGAGCTATTTTCGCTTCTATTCCGTATACATCCAAGGACATACATGGCGCCTTCATACTCACATCTTAGTACTCAAATAAATACATTACAGAGTAGAGAATCCAAGAAATTCCAAAACGGAACGTCCTCTTTGCTGCCCGTGATTGCATGTGCACAGCATAGCACCTCTGTTTTGCGGTGATTCCCATCGCGGCTCAGCTTTGTACCATTCGTCCTCAACGAGTGCTCCTCCAGCCAGCCCGCCGCAACCCCGAACAACATGAGCCCCGGCATCTCCGCGCCCTCTATTTTCCTTTAGCGCCACACTAAAAACAGCCTTGTTAGGTCGATGGTCCAGCGCTGGTTGGCCCGCTTCTGCTGGCACCACCTCCGCCGCCGACGGAGTAGTACCATCCCCACCCCCACCCCCACCCGAGCCCGACGTTGTGTTAGGTCTCACCTGATGCGAGGCGATCCCTGGCTCTTGTAGTACCAGGAAGGAGCGATTGGGGCTAGGCGGGGTGTTTTCAAGGAGGCACATTCTTAGCGACCAGTATGGAGGCTTTCTCCCCCCAGAGACACATCAATACAATCTTTACTCTCGGGCTGGGCCAAACCCGTCCCAATCCTAGCCTTCACTCTCCCCGTTGAAAGCAAAGGGGGCCACGGTTGCATCCCATTGGGTATGGCTTGAGGGACTTACTGTTCAAGTTGTTCTAGCCAAATAGAGGCACTCTCAAATAGCCCTGTTCCGTGAGGCGCTTCGGGATCATTTGTGGGGTGACTGCGTAGTCTACGGTCTTAAGAGACGGCATATTTTCAGGCACGCGAACCGTTCCGTATAACACATTGGCTAGGGCCCCTCGAGCTGTAATCAACGCAGGCTTCCTCTGAGCAACCAGTTGTGTCCAATGTAATGGTACCTCAAATCAATCCATTTGTGTCTACCTAAGCATCTGCCCAACGCATCATATACTATCAACCCTGGAACCTGTGGGAGGCTGTCAATATGGCGAAAGAAAAGGTTGTCGTACCAACCAAAGACGAGATCAGAGTCCTAGGCTTCAACTCGGAGCATACTCATGACCTGATACGCCAAGCCCAAGAGGCCGATTCTGCTGACAGGCAGCTCACCATCAAGGAAGCGATTAAGAAGTATAAGAAAGCATGCTTCTGGGCCATGATATTGTCGACCAGTCTGGTTATGGAAGGCTACGATCTGGTGATTGTTAGTATATCTCAGTGATACTGGGAAGCAAGGACAGTCGGGAAGGAGTTGGTGACTGATATCATCCTCATTTCAGATCAACTCTTTCTACGGACAGACTCAGTTCCAGAATCGTTTCGGTACTTACGACGCAGCGACCGACACTAAAGTCATCACGGCGCAATGGCAATCAGTTCTTTCTAATTCGGCTGTGATTGGACAACTTGTCGGCTTGGCCATCAATACCTACGCACAGGACAAATTTGGGTGTCGTCGGACTATGATGACCTTCATGGTATGGATGCTGGCCGCCATCTGTATGTACCGCTCTCGTCCCTACACGATACCCAAGTATCCCATCTTTGTCATCTGGTGGTATTCTGGAGCCGAGTACTTTCTTCGTCCTATCAATCAGAAGATTAACACGCCCTGTCTGGTAACAGTCATACCGTTTTTTGCCCCGTCCCTATCCGTCCTCGCTTTTGGGGAATTCATCTGCGGAATTCCCTGGGGTGTCTTCCAAACACTTTCGACCTCGTATGCGTCTGAAGTCGTCCCCACCATTCTCCGCCCTTACGTCACCGCCTATGTCTGCATGTGCTGGGGCGGTGGCATCCTGCTTTCCTCAGGTGTGGTTCGGGCCGTCGTCAACGTCGAAGGTGACCTTGGATGGAGGCTACCATTTGCACTGCAGTGGGTCTGGCCGATCCCATTGTTCATTGCTGCGTACCTCGCGCCAGAGTCGCCCTGGAACTGTGTACGCCGTGGCAAGATGGAAGAGGCCCGTCAGGCACTCACGAAGCTGCGCCAGGACACTCCTGGCCGGCATCAGCAGGTCGAGTACAACTTGGCATACATCACATACACGACCGAGCTGGAGAAGGCCGAGACAGAAAATGCAAGCTTTGCCGACTGCTTCAAAGGGACCAACCTGCGACGCACAGAAATCAATTGCGTTGTTTGGGCTGCTCAGATCCTCTGCGGCAACGCCGTTCTGGGCTTTTCGGTAGTTTTTCTCGAAGCAGCTGGGTTCAATGAGGTCCAGGCCTTTGACCTCAATATCTCGCTGTCGGCATGTTACATTGTTGGGGGTGCGATCTGCTGGCTGCTCATGCCTCGCCTAGGAAGGGCCACCTTATACGTAAGCCCCACTTCTCATCCATCTGTCACAACCTCCCGTCTTTCTTGTTCTGAAATGTCCTGGAATGCAAAGGTTCAGGATCCGTACCTAGGTAGCAGGGCTAACGTCACCATTAGATGGGGGGAATGACTTTCATGTTCTTCTGTCTTGTTGCCATAGGTGGACTTGGCTTCTACACCAGCCAACAGTCCCAGCTTGCTATCGGAATTCTGCTCGTAATGTCTACGCTGGCAAACATGACGACTATAGGTCCAGTCTGCTACCCTATCGTCGCCGAGACACCCTCCGGACGCCTGAGATACAAGACCATCACCATCGGCCGTTTTGTTTACAATGTCACCGGCATTTTCAGCAACTCAGTTACTCCACGCATGATTTCTGCGACTGGTGAGTATATTCAACGGTCCAGTCAGAATATTTAGGCAATTCGCTAATATCGAGTTTAAAGCCTGGAACTGGGGCGCTAAAGCCGGTTTGTTCTACGCCGGCACTAACTTGCTCTGCAACATCTGGTGCTGGTTTCGCCTGCCCGAGACAAAAGGACGCACTTTTGGAGAGATTGATTTAATGTTTGACAATCACGTCCCTGCACGCAAGTTCAAGTATACCACAGTGGACCAATTCGCAGTCGATACGTCGGCAAAATCCGTTGCAGGCTCTATCTCGGACAAGCACGCGCATGATGGTGCTCACATCGAACATGTCAGCTGAGAACAACTATTTCACTGTATTTCTTGAGGCTAGAATCTATTTGGATATTAGCTTCCTCTTGTTGGCAAGTCATGCACATGGCAGATGGTTCCGTGTGCCTTGTCTGGGTCGTGTCGAGGCTTATCAGTGCCGGCATCAAGGTCCGCTCCATCTATGAAGAATGCTATGCTTCTATTAGAAAGCCTTGCTATAGTTTTCATGATTTTCAAAAAATAGTTTCTCTTTAGTGGTATGGAAGTCGGCCTTCACAGACTCCGAGATTCACGATAATGAGAGTGATAGTTCTGTGATGGACGAGACATTCATTCATGCCACAATATGGTGGACTAATTTGGGTACCTAGGTATATGAAACTGGAACTGATGAATAAATATCGATGCCGGGCAGTAGCCTTTCATAAAATACCGTTTCTTAATTAATACACACGCGATCTGTGTCTCAGCACCTCTATGTGGTGCCCGTGATGGTATTCAAAGTGCGAACAAGGTTCATAGCAGGCTGCTTGACGGGTTGTAATTTAGCAGTAAGTATGTTCTTTGTTGGTTTAAAGAGAAATGTTGTAACCCGGTACAAGTAAAAGTATGGTTCCGGATAATTTGTTGACCGTGGATTGGTAATTTGCCCCTCTGCCTTGTCTCCCTCTTTGGACGTGAACCGGGAAAACTTTAGGCTACCTGATAATTACCTAGGTATTCTTTCGCAAGGGTCTATCATGTTTCAAAATTTCTTCCGACTAGGCACTAACTAAAGTTATATTGTATTGCGAGGTGGTCTTCTCATTTGAACCGTACCTAGGTATCTATCCGTCCAACGTTCTGATGCCAACGCGCATCTGACCCTTTCCACCCCGATTAGCTCTCGCCCAGTATGGCACAAAGTGAAGGTCGACGCCAGTCATGCCTCGTATCAGGGACCCTAAGCCCTTAGATTCCAAACACGGTAGCAAGTCCTCTTGTGGGATAACGAGCCCGCCTTTCTTGATCGTTACGCCGACGTACGTCTCGCCGAGCGGCAAGTCTCTTTTTTCTTCCTCAACAATGCATTCGCGCAAGTTACCAGCATCTGCAGCCTGAGTGACTCCCGGCGCTAGTGCAAGCGACTTGAAGTGATCATTGACCCATGAGTGGTCGACATCCTCGAGGCAGTAAACCAGTGGACCCCGAGCGAGGGCGACGACTCGCTGTAGTGTGAACGGATGTGGGCGGATAAGGCGGGGAGTAACGGGCACGTTTAGTTTGAACGATGAGTTACTCTTCAGAAAACCCATGTCAAGATGCAAGTAGCCCTTGCTAAGGGATTTCGATGGAGGCTTGGGGGTGATCTGTTATCAACGCGATTAGTGAGGTCTTACCCTGCGGATAGATCGTGTTAATCAGATAATCACCTCCCAAGCGTCACCCGCCCAACTGGGTATCCTGATATTGATGTCTACTTCGAGGCCAGAAACAGTCTCTAGCTCAAAGTCGACGCTGCCCTCCCACGGGTAACTGGTTGTCTGACGTAGTTTGACCTCGCCTTTAGTGCCTTCCACTGTGTAATCGAGCAACGCAGAAGCGTACAGGTGAACATTGATCGTGACTGATCCCTCCGAGTTTGTCTTTGCTGTCCACAAGTATCCTCCGATGTGTCCGAGGACTCTCGCCACGTTCGGGGGACAGCAAGCGCATTCGAACCACTCCTCACGCTTGTTGGATGCATCCTCCTCTGATGTGGCGAGTTGGTTGACGTAGGTAAATGCCTTACCATCGACAGACATGCCAGTCAGCATGGCGTTGTAAAGGGCACGTTCGAGGACGTCAGTGTAGCTGCGATCAAGCTCGATCTGGGAGATGTCAGTATGATCCAAGATGCCCTTTCTGATCGGCATCGTAGTTATACCTGGAGCATCCTCTCTGCCAGCATCATGACGCCAATGGCGGCACAAGTCTCGGCATAGCAACCGCCTTCGTCAGTAGACTGAGGGAGGAAGTAGTCAATTCCGAAACCTTCCCATTTACTGATAGCTCCAATTCCGCCTGTCAGATACATTCTCTTATTCACCATGTTGTCCCAGAGTCTTGTGAGAGCGGGTAGGTAGCTCGGCCCAAACTTCTTGGGATCAAGGACGGCCATGTCAGCAACGGCGGTCAGTAGATACATTGCTCTAACCGAGTGGCCCTCGATGGTCTCTTGTTTGAGAATCGGCGTGTGCGCCTGATTATACCTGCAAAGACTTAACTTATAAACCTATTCCGGGTTCCTGTGATAGATGGACGCACCAGTAGCTTCGCGCAGCCGGATAATACGATGGCGCAGTATGGATACTCTCTCCACGGGCAGAGGCTTCAACGTCGTAGTAGTGCTTTCCGTCTGCTCCAGTTGGGTTGCCTCGCTCTTGTATGAAGTATTCAGCAAGATCAAGAGCTTTCTTGTCACCAGTCCTCTTATAGAACCTGATGAGCGCTAATTCGATTTCTGGATGGCCTGGGTAACCATGGATCTGTCCATCGCTAGGTCCGAATGTCTTGTGCAGTAACTCGATGTATTTCTTCACCGGCCTCATGAAATCGTCCGACTTAAACCGTAACTGATGGGCAAGAGCACCCTCGATGAGATGTCCGGCATTGTACAGCTCATGTAGGTCTCGCAGGTTGGTGAAGCGCTCTTTTGGGGCGACCACGGTGAAGTGTATGTTCACGTAGCCATCCGCCTGCTGAGCCTTGATAATCTTCTGGACAAGATCCTTGGCGGACTCATCCAAAAGGGTCGAATCTCCCGCCTCGAGATCACCGAAGTAAGCAAGACCTTCGATCCACTTGCCGACATCTGAGTCCCAGAAAAGATGCTTGGGCACTGGCCAAGTAGCGGGCTCGTCATCGTATATGGGGTGCCATTGGAGATCGAATGCGTCATACCTCCCAGTGGCCTTAAGCATTTCAAGCTGGAACGGTATTGTATTCTTGAGCACAACGTTGCGCTTCCGCGCCCAAAAGGAGTCGGGCTGGAACGTCGTCCAAACGAACGAGTCTTGCGGGTTCATGACGATGGCTGGAAACAACATGAGGATGTGAGCATCAAATGATGTCGCGTAACTATGGACTCACGACAACATTACATGTGGAAAGCAACAATTTAAGGGATCTGCTTTGCTTCGCTCCATTACCAATCACCGAGCGATGATCCTGACCCGGCAGCTCGGGTTAGTTCTGATCGAAATCTGTGAATGCACACAAGCAGTCCCAAACAACCAGGGGATTGGGGCGCGTTCAAACCCAAAAGCGGGCAAGTGAGGTCGGAGAAGACTGTGGGGTGACACCACAACAAATCCCGAGGTCGCGCCAACGGGTAGTGACGCCCGATATCACAGTTCCATATACCCGTGCTGCACATGTGCCGTGGCGGCATTGAAACAGGTGTGAGCACCAAGTTTTAGTCGATTCAAGGATTCACCAGGTTGCCCATGTTGCAAAATTAACCGCTGCCATTAGAACGCGTCTTACTCTGCCACCGGTTAATAAAATTGACAGACTGTTGTCGCTGCTTCATGTGCTTACTTCCATTGAGGGCTGCTATGTGGACCACTGAGCAGGGAAATTCGACAATAACACTTCCGAAGACAGTTTACGTCAATACCTAGGTTCTTGATATCTGCATACTTCCTAAATAAGAGACTGGAATCCTATGGATGGCTCTGTAGGAACATTTGAATCTAGACGCGAACACAGATTAGATGGTTGTGTTCTTGGCCCGAACACACAGGCTCACATGATTCAGTTTGTCTTTTTGGTTTTTTATCTAGTGACACTCAGGCATTTATGCCTGCAGTGCATCAAAATCACGTGTGTCAAGTTGTGCTCGATGACGGTTAGACATATCAGTGCGCTCGTGACGACAAAGACTTGAGTTGTCCTTTAGTGACAAGTATTTGCACAACGCTTATGCGATGGATCTGATCCCCAGTTCGGCCCTGGCGCCGATCCTCCTGGGCGACAGTCTTCGTCTCCCAGAACACTTCCAGGTATCCTTTGGAGCCAGGAAGAGCAAAACGAGCCCTGTATTCGTCGCCATCGACGTCTGAGGATTTGATCTCGCCCACTCCCTCAGACCTCAGAGACATCCGAGCCACAAACTTCTGCATACCCTCGACACCTTTGTGTCTCGGACAAGGAAACAGGCGGCAACTCATTGACTTCAGAGACGACCAGTATCCGAACGAAAGAACGGCCCCGCCGGATTTGATATCGCGTGGCCCCGCGATGTCGTAGTTCAGGAGCAAGAGGAAAGCTCCGAATTCAGTGTCGATGTGGAGGGAAACCATGCCGTCTTTAGGCGGTGTTGTGAATTTTGAATCCTTGTGAGGTTGCGTTGGAGTCTCGGGCGTGGGTTGTGACAGCTGGACCAGGTGAACCTGCCGACTGCTTGCGCGGGCAACATACGGGAATTCATAGAGCGATACGAGGCAGCCCCCCTGCTTTGTTGGTTGTGGAGGATACAGGCCAATAAGCTTCCATTGCGAGCCCTCTTCGGACTCTCGGGGCGCCTTCAGGGAGATTGGGATGGTCCAAAGGTGGTCGTTGGCCGGCGAGGACCTGACAATGAGCGCCCTCGCCGTCTTCGCCGCATCGAGAAAAGTTGTCGACACGAGCTTGGGCGTGCACCATATAGGTCGGATGAAATTCCCATCAGCGTCCCATTCACGGTGGGACTCAGCCGCACGAGTGGAGACGATTGGGACGGCGACGAGGCTCACGTGTTGATCAGAATCAGAGGTGATGCCGCAGTGGAGTATGAGATATGAGATGTTATCAAACATCGGGTCCTGCACTATCGGGAGATCGACCACCAGACCCTGCTGAGACAGCTGGAACGATGGACGTTTAAAGTCGACGAGGTCCATGATCTCGATGTCCGAGCAATGCTCAAAGTATTCTGGGGCAGGGGCCAAGATGCTAGATGACTCCGATGAATGCCACACTCTCCCAAGTCCCCATGCGAATAGAGACGTGTCGTCCGAGACCTTCATTATCTCCTCCTGCAGCCTCTTGAAGGCATGCAGGCCCTCGCCGTAGAGCATTGGAATATTGATCTGCAGCAGTGGGACTTAGCCATCAAGGAATCCAAAGAAGTAACGCGATGAGAATGTGGCAAGGAGTGGTCGTCGCCTGTCTCAAGACGTGGATCTAGAAGTTGCTTACGTCGAAGATACCCAAAAGACAGTATGCCAGGTCCTCGGGTCTTGTGGTGCGCCTACGCGAAGCCCAAGACATCCTTTCCGCCACGCTGGCCCGGGACAAACACTGATAAACAGACATGCCAGCCGACGCGGGCACTCCGATGATATACTGGGAATTGATGCCCGTCACCTCCTGGATGACTGTAGATAGATCTGACTTGACGCCGATCAAGCCCCATGACCTGTCAAAGAACTCCAGGCTCGACGGGGCGAGGAGCTCTTGCAGCGTCCAGCCGCGCGTGAACCATTTGGACGTCCGGAACTCGGAGCCGGCCTTTTCAACACCATCTGGCGATGAGACATCCGGAAGGTAGGCAAAGCACACACTGGCTTTTTCGTACCACCGAAACATGGAATTGATGGACTCCTGCAGCTCGGCGCTGCTGGACTTGTCGATACAGAATGTGTCGACCCAAGCGTAAGTAAAGCCATCTGATGGTGACATTAGCCCTGCTGCAGAGGTCTCAAACCATGAAAGACATCATGGATGGCAGGGAAAACTCGATGCTTACACTCAAGGGCCTTGTTGCAGGTGCCGTCGATTTTGGCCCAGCCGGGACGTTTGGACTCGGGGAGAAAGTCTCGCGCAGCCTGAATCTCGTCGGATGAGGGCAACGAAGTTGTCGAGGATTGTCCTAGACGATATTGGAACTCCTTGAAGTCCTCAAAGGATATCTCCTCATCTTGGCAGCCCCAGGTATGAGATAAGATGGCGTACCCGCCCGGCACAGCCTGCTCATCGTCATAGCTTTCAAGCTTGTGCGTTTTGGCGTTGAGAAGCCGCATGTTCCCTTCGATTCCAGTCTGGTTGTAATCAGAGTTGGCACCCGGCTGATCTCTTGCAGCACTTGAGATCAGATGTGGTGGGTGCGCCGATCAAGCGCAGCTAGTAAAGGGGGTGCTGGGACCCGCAGGGGATTCCAGCCCTGAAGCAGCTGGATGCTTGGCTGTCAGCACTTGAGCATTCGACCACACGGGGGCTCCACCCGCTGCGGTTCTCGTCGAAGCACGTGACACCAGCACTTTGACTTCGGATCAACAGCACTTGAGGTCTGTCGGATTTTGGCATTCTCTGTACTTGTTCGGCGCCAACACTGGGGTTTCTCAGATCTCCCATGGCGTGGCGCAGCGGTGAGCGGCCAGCCTCGTGCTTCCAAGGTTGGGTTCGCGTGTGAGCTGTGCACGCTGTTCCTCAGCCACGAACAGGCAAGGAGGACCCGTGAGATGATTTCGGCCCATTGGCTATTGGGATCACGCTATTCATGGACGGAGTTGCGGCCTGCTTACTTCGTAATGAGCAGGGCGCGACGGGACCTTGGCAGATGCGACTCAAGTTTAGGGAATGGGTTGAAGAGACATTACGGGACTATCAGGCGGTCTTGATACACAGGCAGACCAATCTTTTCTCTGCTCCAGACGTTGTTATCGGGAACCTCAAAAGACGGGCAATATCCTCATGAGATCTTGTTGGGAACACCCGACGCTTCACACATATGGCATGAACAAGGAAATCAAACTCGTTGATACAAGCAGCTATTGTGTTCCCAACCAAAGGGAGGGGTCCTCCAGGGCTCTCGGTTCAATCACGGGCATTCTGGGTCCGCACACTACAAATTTTGTGGATCATTCCTTTTTTCTTTTTTCTTTTTCTTTTTCTTGACGTTCCCTTTGGAGAGTGGTGGCGCTGGTGCTCACAATATTGAACCCAGACTTGTACTCTCGTTTTGATTTGCTAGCGACACATATCGCACCTCTCTATCAGAACCAAACCCTTTGCAAGACACCTGAACATATGTCATGGACCCTTGCTCAATCGAGAAACATCAAAATCGCCAGACTCGTTCGTGGCCCATTTCTCCCTCAGTACAGGTATTCGGACCAGATACACTCCGGCATGCCGGTTTTGCAGTAGGTGCCGTTGAGATGTATCGAGTGTGGACCGATGTATTTGTCTCCTACAAACGTTGATCCGATCTGACTCTCGGGAACCCAATGTATTCCCTGAGCCCAGCAGGCATCATAGGGGAACAATGGACAGGCGTGCGCACTTCCGGGTGAGTTCGACCTGATGACTAGGAGGTTGCCCTTCTCTCCAAAGCTGTTCTTGACGTCAGGCCGCCACTCGAAGTGGAAGGTGACAGGGATCGAGGCGTTTTTGTAGGGCCTGCGTGAGTAATTGGGTCAGTCACGGCCCGGAACATCAAAGACACCTCAAAACGCCAGGGAGCAGCTGTTGTTGCCTCCACAGTAGAACAGGCAGAGAGGCTTACGTTCCAGTTGGATTCCTGCATCTGGTATTGTGCACTTCAGCAAGTTGGTCCTCTTCGGTGTGAACGGTCTGCTGGCATACCACACTGTAGTTGCTGCAGGGGGGCTTGATAGCGGCCCTGAACGTGTAACTTGTTCTCGTTAGCAATACTTCGCACTGGTCTACCCAATAATGCAGCATGGTGCGACTACTCACTGGGCGGACTCTGCCTTCTTGTTGACTGATGCCCGAATTCCGTAGAGGTGCCAACGGATCGGCTGAACGGTGGAATTGACAGGATCCGTATTGTCGGACGGGATTGGGGTGTAGATGCTCGGCTGAGCAGAGGGGATGGTGGAGGAGGTAATGTTTAGGCTTGCGGAGGAGCTGCCATGTCCACAACCCTTCGAATCAGGCAACGCGGTGGTGGTTGTGTTTGTCCAAGGAGTTGGGACAGGAACGAAGGAGATACTTGCAGTGATGATGTTGGTAGTGATGATGCTGGCAGTGATGGTGCTGGCAGTGGTGCTTGTGTTTGCCCAAGAAACTGGGCCAGGACGACCGAGACCTGCAAAAACAGTGGGGATAAGACCAAGGAGGCCCCCCGCAAAAATCATCAAGGACTTCATGTTGGATCAACGGGACCCTCCGTCTCGAGGCCCTGTGTCAGGTACAGCGTGGCAATCGAAGAGGACAGATGGTGGTTGGTGTCAAGGAGGATGAGAGAGAAAGGATGGTGGTGGTTTTTGGATGGCTCAACTGATTGTTGATACGAGGGTTCCTGATCAAGTGCGTGGTCGAAGGTGAATGTGTGTACCTAGGTAGCAACTTAGAACAGAAAAGCCAAGCCAACCCTGTAAATCATAAGCTCTAGATACCAAGTAACAAAGTACCTAGGTACTTAGGTACTTGCCTAGACACCTACCTGAATTCGGTACCCTTTCATCTTTCTGAAAGCAACTAATGGCTATTAATTACATTCTCAATGCCAATGGCAAAAATGAGCTCAAACTCTCGCCAGTGACAGCTGCCCCACTCAAATCTTCCATGTTATCCTCACCTCACACCAATCCTCCAAGTCCTCTTTCCCATGGTTATCACATTCTCTTGTAGTGTTCTCTTGATGCTTTGAGGTAATAACGCTTTGATACATCTTGCAATGTGCTGCTCTACCTTACTTGAAGCCATCTCTGCACTTGTTGGCCCCACTAGTTGTAATCATCATGCCATTTCTGGGAGACTAACTTCATACCACTTTATTTACTTTGCATATTATCCTTTTCAAAAGAGAACGGATATTCACAGGGCAAAAAACGGATAGTTCAGGGCTAAATTCGGCTAATATAGGGTAACTTTATTATTACTTTTTATTTTATATTATAACTTTAGAAGGGACTTTTTTCTAAACTAATAAAAATATTTTATAATATAATAGAAAAAATAGACTATTTAAAAATATTATTTTTTAAATTTTAACTCTTATATTTATATAATAATAAAATACTATAAAAATAAAAATTATTTTATTAAACTAAAATTAAAAATAAAATAATAATTTCTAATAACCTTATTCCTAATATAGAATATTTATTAAATAATAATAAATAATAAAAGAATTTTTTTAAAAAAACTATTTTATAGATATTACTTATAAAAATTAAAAAAAATTAAAAACTTACCCTGTACCATCCGTTTTTTACCCTGCGAATATCCGTTCTCTTTCAAAATCATTTTCCAACTGTGTTTCTCACTTTTTTCACAAAAAGAACCACTACGAGAGATCATAAGAAAATTTAGCCAAGACTGAGAGTCCTCTCACCATCCCATACTTTGATAGTGGAAACTTAGAACATCCAACTATACCAGGCCCTCTCCATGAGCCTAGCTGACTATGACTCCTCTTTTGGTGGAGGCAAATCGTTATGCCTGCTACTGGTACAACTGATTGCCAACTCATTGCCGGCATCAACAAGTCCACCGTCTCCCCCGTCTCCCATGATTATGATGCTACCTGCACCAACCTTCATCAGCAGCGTCAAAGGTAAATGAATACATTCAACTATATCAATCGATATGCTTTTTAATCACCCCAAGGAGAGTGATTACAAGAGACTTTTATGTGTGATTGAGGTCTTTCGGTACTGAAAATGGAGTTTTACTGCTCAAATGAGGCCTCCCTGCACAGTGCTCAATCCCCGCCTCACTCACTCATGTATTGTTCTCACATTTTTATAGTTACTAATAAAATACATCAACAGAAACAGCCAAGACCTTGGTTTGGCAGCACATAAAGCAAAATCATCCGTCGAATCCGGAATTCAGACGTGGAGGCAACTAGCCAATTCCTTCGGAACTGCCGAAACTCATCGCTGGCGTTGATGGAAGACGGATATAACACACCACTTAAAGTGCACTACCTAGGTAGGCGTACGGATGCCCATACTGACTTGATCCCACCCATGCACAAGTCCTTCCTGCTCACGGCCGGTCCCGCTTCTCGGACTTGACCTGGTGCAACACACAGCTCAGAGCTTGTAATACCAAACCGAGGCAGATGAGGCGGGGAGCTAACAACTCTCAATGGGCTCATGCAGCATGTCGTTTGTTTCTAGAGCCCGATCCATTTCTTTGTTGTCTTCCAGGGTGTTACAAACTACACAACGAACCAACCCCTGGTGTCCCTGAAGGGCAACCGGGAGGAGCCGCAAGGCCTGTCTCGAGCCGAATGGAATGCGCGCCAGGCCGGGTGGGAGGGAGACGAGCTCGCCCGGATCGGAAACTGCCGATCCTGCCATGGTATCCTGACTCTTTCCCGGGCATCAACCTCGGATGGAGCTCAGATTCCATGGTCCAAGGTCACGGCATAATCGATCGTGTGCGACCCTTGCCTTTACAAGCCAGAGCGCTCGGGAATACGGCTTCGAGCTTCGATGCCTTGTCAACATCATTCGACCCCCATACGCACACACAAGAGAGAAAGGCAGAACAGTCGTCTGATCATCTCACAGCACTGGTTCACATTGGAAACTGCCTTGCTCTACATTCTTAACATCCACGATAGACACAGAACTGAATGTATTACAAGAGAATAGAAGAGTATGTTTTTCGAATCGAGCCCCGGAAGCTAGCGAGAATCCCACCTGGGTCGCACCATCGCGAAACACGTCAAGATACATGTCTCTCCCTCCTCGAACCCCAATGTCTCAAAATCGCGGTTTGGGAAATGCCGGCCGCAACATGGGGACAGCTCGCGTGGCCTCCGATGCTATCGTGATGTGTAAAAAGAGAAGTGATTCGATGACGCCGTCCCCACGTGGCATGGTGATCTATGATGAACCATGACGATTTTGTGTTTCCTTCTCCAATGCATTGGGCTGTTGAGCCACGTCTTCTGGTGCCGCACATGTGATGTTTACCGGGCCTCGAGGGCCAGCAATGCAATGCATAGAAACAGGCAGTGCTGCTGAAAACAACAAGACAAATAAAATCAATTCGCCAATTTTGAACGCTCAGTCTGTCACCACAGAGGGGTGCCCAGGACAATTTGCCGCAATTATCAAGGACGGGTATTTGGAGATAGGCGGCGGCGGCCGCGGCGCAAGGCAGATCGTCTTTGCCGAGAACGACTCAGATGGGTGGAACACAAGTCTCTGGTTCCCTCCGAGGTGGCTCGCGACCACAGTATGACCTGAAAATTCGCCCCTGGCCTAGACCTAGTTGTACCACACAATTCGCACCCGGAATGTCATCCACGCTCTCATCAGACGCTGTTGATGGCAGTTGTCGCATCGCTCTTGGTCTCGGTGCCGGCCTTGCTCGCGGGCTGGCGGTCCTCGTAGCCCAGCTCCGTCTTGGTGGTGAGCGCCTCGCGCAGCTTGCTCTCGCCACGGTGCATCCACACGTTCCAGCCGCTCTGGCTCAGCGGCCACAGCACCTTGTTGTCGAGGGTCTCGATCCACTGGCGGGCCTGGGGCTTGGGCTTGGACGCAATCACGTCCAGCTCCGAGGCGATCTGCGCGCAGTACAGCTCCATCGGCAGGTCGTTGACGTCCTGCCCGAACGGGTTCTCGATCTCGCGGCCAATAAATAACAGGCCCAGGATGATGTAGCCGGCCGCCACGGTTGCGGGGATCGTCACCCAGCCTAGACCGCCGACAAGCTGGAACGGGAGGAGGAACACGTATACCCATGTAATTTGCGAGATGGCAATGGCATATGCGATGGGCAGAGGTGTAGTGAGCACACGCTCAGTGCCAGTGAGGACGTCGTTAAGTGCAGCTAGGTTGTTGTCTAGGAATGCTGTCAGTCAGTCGTCGTGAACGAGGCATGGGAGACCGCATCGGCCGATTCAAAAACGGGGGTTCAGCTCACAGGCCAGAGTCTGTTGCATTGGGATGGAAAGCTGGCCGCCCTCAATGACTTCATCAATATAGGAGGCCAGGTAGCTCAGAATTTCCAACGGCAGGTTTCCCAGGGGCCGGACAGCTTTCTTGATGGCCTTCCGGGGGTTGCTGGCCGCGAACGACACACCGAGATACTCGCCAGCCTCCCTTAGCTTGTTGTGCTTGCGTGGCAGAGCGGTCTCGGGAGTCTCCAGGGTCGCCTGTTGAGCGAACGTATCCAGGTGCCCGATAAGGTTCTTCAGATCTTCGTGGTCAGTGTAGGGCTCGAAGCGGAGCTTGTGCTTGAGTGAGACGGCGAATGCGACAAGGAGGTTCATCGCCGTGCTAGACGACCACGAGAGTCAGCAAATGTCAGCGGCGGCAAGGATGGACGGTTGTGCTCACAGCTTGGCAAGGATGTCCTTCTCCTTACTGTCGGGGCGTTCCTTGGTGTGGACCCAGAAGACGCGTCCCAGATTTTGCGACGTCAAGATGAGCTGAGCCCAATACTTTCGGCCCTCCATGTACCGCTCATAGGCACTTGAGTTGCGGAAGCTCAAGCCAAGACTGACGACGAAACCGGTAACCGTGAGCAGGGTCGATTGCACGCTGACTGTATTGGAGCATGTATGTTAGCACTTTGACGAGCATTCCACGAGTTCACCGGAGTTGTCGGCCTAGACATACGTTTGACGTCTGTGAGCCGCGTGACGAGTGTGATGCACGAGGCCCAGCCACCGAGGATTAACAGCGGTATTATCATTTTTGGCAAGATGCTGCCATGCATCTGCATGAACATGGGCCATTTCGAATGCTTCAGAATGTCTCGTGGGCCAGTCTGGAAATTATACAGTTAGCAACGGATCGATACGACCCCGCGGCTCGTATCCATCTAGTTGTTGCGCCGCCAACAGCAGCCATCCCGCTACTGGAACCGCGGTAGCAGCGTAGCTACGAGAAGGGCGGCTTACAAAATAATCGTCGAGGTCTAAGCTCGTATGTTGCCGGCTGAAAGGATTCGGCGTGTTTGCTCTGGATCGCAGTATGGACTCAACCTGCTCTAAAGGAGGTTGTTCATCGGATGGCCGGCGTGTGCGATGCGCGGCGACATCGCCGTCTCCGTTGGCAGTGGTGTTGGGAGCGTGGTATTCTCCGCCTTCCGCCATATTGGGTGTGAAGTTAATCGGAGAACAGCTCGAAAGAGGAGCAGGGCACTGGTGAGCTCTGGAAGCTTCAGGCTCGGGACAGCCTGGCTGGTCGAATTATCTGTGAATTATGAGTAAGTACACTTACGACTGGGAATTCAGGAAGACTAACACCACCAGGGGAGGCGAATGTAAATAGTGACGGGAGCGACCAGAGCTTAAATAGCAAGACCTAGGGAACTTTGTAAGAAGAGACGGTTGCACGGTTTGAGGGAATCGAGATGCTCAAAGTTAAAGGGATCAACGGCGGCGAGCGATGTCATGCAGACAGAGATGGGGATAAGAAAAATGCCAGCCCGGCGCGAGCTTCGAGGAGAGGAAATAATAATTTGGGATGGGCTGCCGTTCGTGTAATGCAGCCTGCCCTGTCCTTGAGCCGTCCCCACACAGACGCAGCTCAGCCATTGAATCATGATCAAGGCTGCCAGAAATGGAAGCACTGGGCCGTGCCAGGGACCAGCCAGGCAGCCCAGGGCCGTGCCAGGGACACTGGCGAGACTGGGCAGATCGGGAGACCCAGTCCTGCCAGTCAGATTGGAGCGAATGTAAGGGTCCACTTTCGCGACCGGCAGTAGGGACGGTGGTGGAAGCATTTGAAACAGCAGTTCAATTCAACTAGGTTGGCCAAGAAAAAGGGGCCGCTCCCTGGGATCTGCTGGCGGCCTGGCGGCCAGCAGCTGGCAGCTTGCTTTGTCTGCTACGTGCCATCTCCTGCCTGCGTGGCTCAGGAGGATCGGCAGCCCGGATACCTGATCGAGGAACTCGCCGAGGGCGGCAAGCCGCGTGGATGGTCTATTGGGTGCTGGAATTTTCACTGCATTGTACATAGTACTGCATGTACACTCCTGGCAGCCTGGCTGACGTTCTGCACTGTAAGGGGGCATATTGTTGTTGGGCCAGGTAAGAAATGGTGCAGGCAAGAAGGATTGGACCAAGTGGATTGTCAGCACGCCCATGGATGCGGCTGAAGCTCCAGGCCAATGGATCCCATGGGAACTCTGGTTGTGTTGAGAAGCAAGAAAAACACTGGTTTGGGGGCCTGCCCATTATTGCGTACCAACGGCTGCAGGCAGCGGGACCTAGTGGGGCCCCTTGGGACGACTGGGCAATGGCGGAGGTGGATCTCATCAATGCCGGTGGGCCTGCCCGCATTGTGGGCGGGATCCAAGATCGTCCCGTGTGTTTGGTATTTTGGGTTCTAGATTGTCAGAGCCAAAAAACTAGACTGCGACGGGAGGTCTGCAGTGGCAGCTGCCAGAAGAGGCACGTTTTCAACGTCGACCCGGCTGATGAGGCAGTGTGGGCTGCCCCGTTCCTGATGAAGCTTCTGGTGCAGCATACCTAGACTACACTAGGTATGATGAACGGCCCGGGCGGTGTGAGGCTCCATGAATGGTTGAAGGAATGCTCAGCTGCGGCACAGCTTGCGGGCCCGGCAGGAAAAGTGCAAGGCAGTGGGGATATCCAGCTGCACCACGTTTGGATATCTGGCGTCAATTGCGGCGCACATGAAAGTCTCGTGCTGATGATCGGAAGTCGGCAAGGGCGAGGGCGAGGGCGAGGGCGTGCTGCAGGACATGCAACGGCGGGTTCTCCCAGGCTCATCATGCTGAGGCGCTATGGCATGTTTCAGACTTCCAAATGGAGATGTTCTCTGCTGGGCCACTTGTCTGGCCACGTTGAGGCGGCCAGAGGATGTGCTGACTTGACGGCGTTTTGGCCGGTTGGTGAGCCGGCCTGTTGCGATGAGCAAGCTGCATCCAGTGCACCGGAGAGTTTTGATCTAGTGTAGTGCCCGTGATCGTCTCTCTACACCTTTGGCCTGCCCATCCGTCTTCTCCAGCAGGGCACAGACTTGGTTGCGGGCTGAGCTCCGACGGGGCTGCTGGGGCCTTGCCTTGGCTTTTGCTCGCCTGCATGCTGCACGCTGCTGGATTGTGGGGCAAAGAAGCCATGGACACACCACACTGGCTGACTGGTGAACAGTCTTGAGTGTTGCAGGACGATGGCTTCTATTATTCCTTGTGCAATAGCAGACGCGTCCTCGGGTTTGAGGTGCGCAAGCGGTACGGGATATGCATGGCCGTGCACCCAGAGACGTGACCCTTGTCTGTCAGAGTCTCAGAGCCACGGTCCGGGCCCTCGGGGAGACGGCGTCTAGACCAGGTAGATTTCGGACGTGAAACACATGCTCGGCTTCAGAGTCGAGGTTGCAGGCGAGGTGCAGCTGAGGTGCAGCTGGCGCTGGAGAGGGCCATGCGAGCAGGGCAGGCAGGTTGGCAGGCAACCAACAGACCTCACAGCCAGCAAAGCACTGCACACTGGCAATGCGGGTGACGATCTGGGCATGTGTGCGTGCTGTGTAGGAGCAATTGGGTTGTGCAGGTTGGCAGGTTGGCTGGTTGACGGTGTTGGCCAAAACTGGCGACATGTGTCGGGCGCACAGGGCTGACAGTGCCTGCCACCTCGGCAGAATATGTCATGTACTCCGTACTCCGTACCTGCATCCCCCAATTACCCCCAATACCCCTGAGTCGGCTTACTCATCACTCCCGGCGGGCAAAAGCAACGGCGCGAAGAGCAACAGCTCCGTCTCAATGTGGCATCGCCGACCTGCCACACCCCTCCCCAACCGCCTGAATCAAGCCGAGTCGAGTCGATTCGAGCCGAGTCGAGTCGAGTCGCGTCGAGACAAGACAAGTTAAGACAAGACAAGACAAGACAAAACAAGCCAGCCAATGTTCCTCGCCGCCTCAGCCTCAGCCTCAGCTCCAGCCCCAGCCCCAGCCCCAGCCAGCGCAGTCCTCCCTCCACCATGCTCTCCGGGATCCTCATCTTCAACCAGAAGGGCGAGAACCTCATATTCCGTGCCTTCCGCAACGACTGCCGCCCCCGGCTCGCCGATGTCTTCCGCATCCAGGTCATCAGCAACGCCCAGGTCCGCTCGCCCATCCTGACCCTGGGCAGCACCACCTTCAGCCATGTCAAGCACGAGAACATCTACCTGGTTGCCATCACCAAGAGCAACGCCAATGCCGCCCTCGTCTTCGAGTTCCTCTACCGCCTGATCCAGCTCGGCCGCGGCTACTTTGGCAAGTTCGACGAGGAGGCTGTCAAGAACAACTTCGTCCTGGTCTACGAGCTGCTCGACGAGATCATCGACTTCGGATACCCGCAGAACACAGAGACCGACACCCTCAAGATGTACATCACCACCGAGGGCGTCAAGTCGGAGAACAAGTTCGAGGACTCGGCAAAGATCACAATGCAGGCCACCGGCGCCCTGTCCTGGCGCAAGGCCGACGTCAAGTACCGCAAGAATGAGGCTTTTGTCGATGTCATCGAGGACGTCAACCTGCTCATGTCCGCTACCGGCGCCGTCCTGCGCGCCGACGTCACAGGCCAGATCATCATGCGCGCCTACCTCTCAGGCACCCCCGAGTGCAAGTTCGGCCTCAACGACAGGCTTCTCCTCGACAACGACGGGCTGCTCAGCCTCCCCAGCGGCAACAGGATGGGCACCAAGGCTACCAAGGCAGCGGCTGGTAGTGTGACCCTCGAGGACTGCCAGTTCCACCAGTGCGTCAAGCTGGGCAAGTTCGACTCCGACCGTATCATCTCCTTTGTCCCCCCCGATGGTGAGTTCGAGCTCATGCGCTACCGTGCCACCGAGAATATCAACCTGCCCTTCAAGGTCCACGCCATCGTCAACGAGGTCGGCAAGACCAAGGTCGAGTACAGCATCGGCGTCAAGGCAAACTTTGGCACCAAGTTGTTCGCCACCAATGTCGTCGTCCGCATCCCCACGCCCCTTAACACCGCCAGAATCACCGAGCGATGTACACAGGGGAAGGCCAAGTACGAGCCAGCAGAAAACCATATAGTGTGGAAGATCGGAAGGTTCACCGGACAGAGCGAGTTCGTGCTCAGCGCCGAGGCCGAGCTGACCTCCATGACCAACCAAAAAACGTGGAGTAGGCCTCCGCTGAGCATGAGCTTCAGCCTCTTGATGTTTACGAGCAGCGGTCTGTTGGTCAGATACCTCAAGGTATTCGAGAAGAGTAACTACAGCAGTGTGAAGTGGGTCAGGTATATGACGCGGGCGGGGAGCTACGAAATCAGGTGAGTCGTTGCGATCCTTGCGCCATCCAAGACAGCCGCTGACAAGTGATCTAGATTTTGAATAATGGGTAGCCACGGATAATTTTCGTTACTTTCAGCATGGCAAGGCGTTTGGGGAAATCACACGGCTGGGCAACTGCTTCGAATGCGCTCCATAATCACCGCCACGGACGTTATCCAACAGTCTCCCGAAAGCAGCCCAGGAACCTGGTGGAAGGTGCTGAACATACACACCTTGCCGACTGGCCTACCTTGTGGCTATCACCCACCTTCCAACGATGCCCTGCCTTGCCTGCTGGCACCGGCCCAGGGCACGATTCTGTTTCACGGCGCGAGTTTCCATGGAATGATCCGTCCCTGGCATCTGAGTGCCAAGCTACCGTGGAGACGCCAAGCTACTTGGGCAAGTCAAATAATGCGGTCAGCTCGCATGACGCGCATCCGAGCCGCCCGGCGGTCAATACTGGGTCCACGGGCCGGGCGGCGCGGAACATTGCACAGACTCGGGCTTTCTCTGACAACCGAGTCCGAGAAGTTGCCTCGATGGCGCGGCGGAAGTTCAATTTGTACATATCGTCTAATTCAAGACATTCTAAGCAACCAGATTGGTGATCACTTACCCGTGGAAAATCCTCTCTTGTCTATACCTGCCAACATGAGGCGGTAACTCTGCAAGCCTTCGCTTCGGGGTGGTTCTATGCGACCCATACAGTGCCATCATTCCGGAACCAAGGTGCAGCTTCTTGCCCACCCGACGGATCAGACACTGGAATCACCATTCTTCTCCTGGCCGCTGTCCTCAGCACCACCGCCCTCGCCCTTCTGCTGCTTCGCCCTCACATCGCGATTCCCAAGACCCAAGGAAGTAAAAAAGCACAAAGCCGACAAGGCCACCGCAAGGTAAAAGGTTCTTTCGAACGAAATCGCGTACGCCCGTATCACAGCCGGCAAGTCCTCTGCGGGGACGACTTTACGGAATGCAGTAGCTCCCACAGCGATAACAGCATCCGGGTTCACGTGCGGGGCGTTCTCACGGATCTGAGAGGCAAGGCTGTCGTCAAAAATAGTATTTGCCACAGATATAAGAACAGCACTGCCTAACCCCTCTACAGAATGCGAAGTCAGCTATCACGCAGCAGGAGGAGTAATTTCGACTGAATAGGCGGGGAAAGGGCCACAGTGCGACGATGGCCTGTCTCAATAATAGCAGCATGACGGACCGTGAAGTGTAGAGTTATCTTCAAGCTGTCAAAACTGTGTCTGGAAGCCACTTACGGATGAAAGTGAGCATCGCCATGGCCACTGCGATCTGCGATGGCTGTAGGACGGTCTGCACCGCGATAAGTGCCTGAGTGGCAGGGCAGGGTCAGCAGGACGGTTCCCAATCCACTTGCCCCAAAGCCAATGGACGCAGAACGAGAAAGGGCAAGACATACCATTTGTATACCAGCACCACGGCCGACGCCAAGAATGATCTGATATCCAATCCACGTCCCTGTATTGGTTCCAACTGTCCAGGTCGAGATGAGCCCTGACCCAACGCTGGACAAAACCGCCGAGAAGATGGCCCATGGGAGGTAGTATCCGAGCCTACTGACCGCAAATCCGCTCAACACGGCTGTGATGAGCTGGGAGATGATGCTTGGAAGCATGTGTAACCCGGCCGTGAAGGGCGATGAGCCTTGCACAGACTGGAAGTAAATGGGCAAGAAGTATGACGTGATAAAGGTGCAGCTGAACAAGCACAGCTGGGTCAGGCAGCCAGCAACCACGACTTTCTCGCGAAACATGCTAAGCGGTACCATCGCGTCCTCGCCACCCATACGCCACTCCCACGCGATGAACACCGCGCCCACCGCCCCAGCCCCGCAGAACAACCCAATGACCGTCGCCGAGGACCAAGGGTACGTGCCGCCGCCGCCGTAGTGCAGTGCCAGCAACAGCATCACCACGGACGGGACGAGCAGCGCCGTCCCCACGAGGTCGAATCTCCTCCATAGGCCTGGGCGGCGGATGAAGCTGCGGAACTCCGGCTTGGAAACCTGCTCAGGGATCCTCACCGCGGACAGGGCGACGGCGGCGACCCCGCCGATGGGGAGGTTGATGTAGAAGCACCATCTCCACGTCGAATACTGGGTCAGGGCCCCGCCGATAAGGGGTCCGCCGATGAGTCCCAGCTGACTCACCCCCATGAGAAGGCCGGTGACGGCGGGTCGCCGCCGTAGCGGGACCAGCGCGGCGATTATAGTCAGCGCGCCGTTGAAGAGGCCAGATGCACCGAGTCCTGCAACCGCGCGTCCCCCAATGAGCATATTGGAGCTGGTGGACAGGCCGCATATCAGCGAGCCCAGCTCAAAGAGCAGCACCGAGGCGATGTAGGTTTGCTTGTTGGGCAGGTAAGTGAAGAGCTTGCCCGTCATAGGCTGGAGGGCCGAGAGAGCGAGTTGGTATGACGAGACATACCAGCCGATGTCCTGGACCGAGTGGAATTCGTTCGTGATGGTTGGTGTGGCGGTGCTGAGTATGCTGTTGTCTAGGAAGACGAGAATGGTGGACAGATTGAGTGCTATGAGGGCGAGTATCAGGGGCAGACCCGTGAGGTGCCCTGTCCCGGTACCTCGGGCGGATTCTTCTGCATTGTTGGCGGCAACTGGGGGCACAGATGCTGCAATGGAGGGCACGAGTGATAGCAGTACAGGCTGGTGTGGATACGTGAGGCTTGGCCTCCGAGAGCTTGTTCTGCTGGGCTGTTGCTGCTCGGCCTTGTCGTCTGCCATGGACGCACCATCTTGCGAAGATGGTGGGCTTGGCTTCTCGAGATCAGCCATCCTTGCTTCTACCATGTCGTGTCTTGCTTGACCTTGAGTTGATACCCTAGGGCGCTTGAGAAGAAGAAGCTTTCTGGGGCTATCTGGACATGAGGCGACACAATCTGAGCTGGCTGGCCCTCGCCAGGAGACTTTCATCCATAATCCATAGAGTATATAAACAGCATCAATACGGCCATGGTGCACTCCACTGGCAACTGAACCATCATCAGATATTTTACATGTGAGGCTGCAAGTCAATGATGTCGGATTACGGGTGTGTGAAATCGAATCCCGCTTCTTCCCGCCTCGCATGCCAGCGCCGGTTTATTAGATGCACTGAGGTGGTGCTTACACTTCCAGTAGGCATTAGAGTGACCTCTTGGATTTGCTGCATTTCTGTTCGGATCGAATGGGGATTTGACCTGTCAGACGGCAGTACCATCTCGAGCGGCCAATTTGTCCCGCCGGGCCGATTCCGCCCTTCGCTTCAAAGTCCGTCCATGATAAGCAGGCCGTCAATAGTAGTACCATGTCGTGTGATCTAGTTGGCGCTATCTTGGGGCTGGGACTCGGTTCTATCATTACCAGAGATTTGGTCTGTACTCTGCATTCACATTACTCGTAGACTAGTCTGTCACGTACAAAAGTGTGGGAGCCACTCTAGGGTACAGTTAGGTTTATGGTGTAGTTGCTGCTTCGTTAAGCCATGGAGGGCTATTGTAAGAATCTAGATAGGTCGTGGCGTGACTTGCTACTTACCTAAGTATCAAGGGAAGCAAGCAATGGGTTGGCCCCTATTTATCTACTATATAAAGCCCCTAATATATAGAGTCTTAATTAGTTATATAGAGTATAATAGATGGATATTAAAAAGATATAAATTAGTTTTTAAAATAAAATAAAGACCTTTTAGAAAATATATTTAAATATATATATTTAACTTATTTATAAATATAAAAATATAAAGCTTTAATTATATTATATTTTTCCTTTATATTATATAATTATTTTTTAATTTAACTATTTATTTCTTTCTTTTAAAGTTTATATATAAAGGTTTTAATAACTTTATATATATCTTTATAATTTTTTTATAAAAGAACTTTAAATTCTTTTTTTCTTTAAATTTTTTTATATTATTAAAAAGTTAATAGTTATTAATAATAAAAGTATAAATTTTAAAAAAAATAAATTTATTATCTTTTTTCTTTATTTTTTTATAAATTACTTTTAAAACTTTTTTTTAAAACTTTTAATACTTTATTATAAAAATCTTAAAAATAGTATATTAAGTTAGCGCACCGGTCTGCGCATAACCCTACTAATGTATACGTATTTCCCACTAAAAACCGTGATTTTTTACCTCTCCTATTTAATTCTATTAAATTCTTATAAGATAAATAAAATATTTATTAAATCTCTCTTTTTTATTTTATATAATAATAAAATTTTAATAATTCTAACCTAATCTTAATATAGTTAAATAACTATAAATAAATATTTTCTACTTTTTATATATTATATTAATATTATAATTTTAAGGTTAATTAATAATAAATTTAATTACTTTACTTTATTAAAAAAAGTAGTTAATATTAATAAGTATTTATAAAAGACTTTCTATTTTAGAATTTTTCTTTATTTAATTATTAAAGATTTAAAATAAGTAGAGTGAATATAATAAAGAAAAAGCTCTATATATTATTAAAACTTAAATAACTAATTAAAGAAAATTCTAAAAATAAAAACTCTTTTATAAATATTTATTAATATTAACTACTTTTTTAATAAAGTAAAGTAATTAAATTTATTATTAATTAACCTTAAAGTTATAATATTAATATAATATATAAAAAGTAAAAATATTTATTTATAATTATTTAATTATATTAAGATTAAGTTAGAATTATTTAAACTTTTATAATAGTATAGGTTTATAACTATTAGGAATTTTAAGTTAGGTAACTTAGAATTATAGTCTTTTAGTTAGAGTGTTTATTAGGTTAGTAGTTAGTAGATCTATCTTAATTCTAAGTTAATTAGGGTTGTGGGTTTAAGCCCCTATAGTTTGAAAATCTTCGGTTAGTTTCTAGTTAATCTAAGATAAGTCTCTGTGGTACTTAGGGTAAGAAGGTAAACCTCCGTTTAATAAACGGCTAAAAAGTAGGTATTTATAAGCTTTAGAAACTAGTGCTATATTGTGGATTTTTAGGCCTTTTATAAGTTAGTGTATTAATTTGGTAATAAATGGTTTAGTTGTCTATAAATTAAAATTCTATTATCTTAAAACTACTTCTTTATTTAGTAGTTCTAATAGGCTCTATAATAAGCTTTAAAGGGGGAATATAATAATATAGGTTTATAACTATTAGGAATTCTAAGTTAAATAACTTAGAATTATAGTTTTTTAACTAGGGCGTTTATTACGCTAGTAGTTAGTAGATCTATCTTAATTTTATTGTTATATAGAATAAAAGAGAGGAATTTAACTAATATTTTTTCTTATATATAATATTTCTTTAAAATTAAATAGGTTAGTGTAAAAATCGACGTTTTTAGTGGGAAATATATGTGTATTAGTGGGGTTATATGTAGATTAGTGTGCTGACTTATAAATTATTTTTTTTATTTTAAGTTTTTTTTAAAATTAATATTTATATATTTAAATAAAAGTTATAATACTTATTTAATAAAGATTTTATTAATATATATATATTTATATTTAAAAGAATAATTTTTAATTAAACTTTTTTTAATATAATTTAATTATATAATAATTATTTTTAAACTTAATTTTATTATATAACTTTTTTATAATAATTAAATTATAAATTATTTTTATTTATAATTAATATTATTATTAAAATAATATTTTTAATTTTATTTATATATTATAAAGTTAAAATTATAAATATTTATTATATTATAATTATTATTAATAATATTATATTTTTTAAATATTAAGTTTTAAGTATTTATTATTATATAAAAGTATTATATATATTTTTAAATATATATAAAATAAAAGTAAAACTATATAAAAATATAAAGATTTATTTTATAATTTATATAAAGAATATAAATTTATTTTTATTTTTAAATTATATTTAACTATAATAACTTATATAAATATATTATATTAAAATATTATACTTTAAATTATATAATTAAAAGATTTATAATTATAATTTTATAATAATCTTTTATTTATTTAATTTATATTATTATAATTTAATTTAATTTTAAATTTAATTTAAACTATTTTTAAATTTATTAAATGTTTTATTCTTTAAAACAATTAAATATTTAAATTCTTTAAGTTTAAATTTAAAACTTTTACGAAGTTTAATTTATTTTAAATTAAGTTTATAATCTTTTAATATTTTTTAAAATATATTAATTATCTTAAATAATTTATTTTTAAAAAAAGTAAAGGTCTATCTTTATATAATTATAAATTTAATCATTAATATTTATTTATTTATAAGCTATTAGAATTATAAACCTAGATAATAGAGGAACTTTATTGTATAAAGACGGACCGGCTAGAAAACCACAGTCCTAAGTTTCCCAGATTTAGAATTCAGCACTTATGAACTCGTTCGGTCACAAGAGTCCTCTGCCTCTGGTGGAACAATAGATGACGGCTTGACATGATCCAGGACGCCAGGGACGATGAAGCGATTGAATATTGTAAAGTGATCATGATCATAGATTTCAGCAGGATCAAGGAAATAGCTCGCACTTATTTAATCATGATAGTGTCTGCGGTATGCGGCCCTGCCAAGTAACTATCAACGCTGGATTAGAAATGCCCGGATGCTAATAATAAGTGGTGGAGGATGGTCAGCTACTTGTGAGTGGTGGCTCGCACCCGGCAGAAGAACATGCTCCGATGTTTCCGGTGTCATGTCAGCTTACGCTCAGATGCCTTATTAGGGGATGAACGAGCCCGGGCGTTTGGGAATGAAAAGATCGGATTACATCACACGCCTACCAAGCCGCACCGCACCCACTAGGACTGGCTCAGCCGGGCAACTCCGGCGGCCTTCGGATGCTATATCTCAGCCCAAATCCGCCTTCCTCACCGGCCGACACGCCCAAACTTCCTCGTTTGAATCCACTGCCCGTGTGCTCTGGAGTGGATTTCGCAACCTTACTCGTGCTTCCTATCACAGCACAATCCCAATCCCGACTGAGTGCCAAACGGAACTCTGGAGTCCACCCGCATACAACTCATACAGTCTCCGACTCCCTGGCGCCACCAGCAAATGCAACCGTCACCGGCCCGTGTGGCAAAGGCCGGCGGGGGCACACCGGCGCCGTACGGGCATGCCTGCACGAACTGTGTCAAGGCCAAGTGCAAATGCATGTACGGCGATCATGTTGGCGCATGCGAGAGGTATGTTGATCCCACCGTAGATACTGTGCCGATTCAGACGTAGAATCTTGACCATCAGTACCGCCTCATGACCAATCTGAGCGCTGCTTGTTGTCATTCCATGCCTTCATCCCCCGACACGCCCGGGCATCTTACCAGATGTTGTGCACGCAATTTACGCAATTTACTTACCAGGATCCAGGTGCTCTCGCTTGCAGAAGGACTGTCAGCCATCAGTACCCAATCGCAAGCGGTCGCAGAAGAAGGTCCCGGGGTCGAGGACAGCTCATCTAGAGGAGAAGCTCGATGACCTCGTTTCCCTAATACGGTCCCAAACAGCCGTGAAAGGGCCTAATGAATCACCGCCAGTCCCGACCCCAGCGTCACTGGGCCAAACAACATCTGATGGAACCGCCCTTCCCTCCTCAGACTCAAGTCCCAACACCGTAGGTGCCTCAGCCGCAACCTGCCACGCACGGAGTGGCAAGATGAACCCTTCCAGCAGCGCTGCGGACTCGGAACTAGACTACTACGTCCCCGAGAACGAGGCCCTGGAGCGCCTCGATCTCTTCCGGCGGGACTATCCACAGTTCGGCCCTATAGTCTACATACCGCCCAAGACGACTGCCAAGGAGCTCCAGCAGACTCGCCCTCTGCTGTGGATGTCCATCATGGCTTGTACATCCCGCTCTACAAAAGAGTCTCATCTGATTGGGGACAAGATCCGCCACATTGTCTCGGACAGGGTCGTCCGGCAGTATGACAGGAGCCTGGACCTGCTGCAAGGCCTTCTGGTCTTCCTCTGCTGGTCAGTCACATCACATTTCCTCCCCAATTAGCAGTTTGTTGTGAAGTCTCGCTTGGCTCGTGGGCATGCGTAAAGCATGTTCCCGTGTCGTTCAATACACGTGCACACTTTGATTTTACATTTGGGCAATACTCCATAACAGCCGAGCAGGCACAACTCTGTTGGTACTGTTCTCGGGCAACGCTCTCTACTCCAACCCCGTCAATCTTGGAAAATTCTGACTCTCGACACACAGGCCACATTCCCACAAAAAGGAAAACCCGTTCATATCGATATGGACTGGTATCGGAGTTGCCATCGCTCAAGATCTTGGGCTCACGGCCATCAAGACTGAAACTGCGTTCACTTTTATGAAAAAGTTTGCCTTTCATGGGATGAAACACCCGCAGACGAAAGAAGGCACAATGGAAGCAAGAAGGACATTACTGGCTTTATACGTTTGGTGTAACACGTAAGTCTGCTTTCTCGAACACAAGCGAAACCGAAGCAGGTAGCCACCTGCGCCAGACGCTTACATGATCAACAGGGCGTCGCAAATGCTGAGAAGAGACAACCAACTTCGCTGGACACCTCACATGGAGGAGAGCCTCCGGCTTTTGATAGAACAGCCTGAGTGGGATGGAGACAGGACACTTTCCGTACAAGTGCGCTGTGCTTTTATTTCGGAGCAAATGAATGACCTCTTTATACAACAGTCTCTCAGCGGAGAGAACCAGATATCACCATACCTGATTAAGGCTTTGGACGGACAACTGCAAGATATATGGAGGACACTGCCAGGAATTACAACCACTTCTCGTAATGGTAAGTCTCTTGAAAGGAGAACTGATCTAGCCAGAAACATCGTACTTGACGTCCCACGGGGAGGTTCCACCTTCCCGTTCCGCTTCCGTCTCTGCATGAAAAGCTCTAACGCACCGATTTTCCCTCTCAGAAACAGTACTTCTCCACATGTACGCCACTGAAGTGCTCATAAATGAGCTTGCACTACATCTACCGCCATCCACGGACCATGCAGACGTCACGTTTCGCGTAGGGCGCTTGCAGAAGTGCCTCAAGGCCATCGAGAACTGGTTCGAGACGTACGAGGCCACGCCGCCGTCTGTGGCGGTCGGCGGAACGTTCCATATCTTCGTTCAGCTTGTCATCTGCCTGGTGACGATCATCAAACTCAGCAGACTTGAGGACTTCCCGGCCTGGGACGCAGCCGAAGTGCGGCGGCGGCTCGACATCTTCGCCATGTTCGACCGCGTCGCGGCACGCATGGACAAGATCCGTGTCGCGGTCGGGATCCAGGAGGACGACGAGCGCGGTAAGCAGCTTCCTCAAACAATCTTTACCCTTCCAAGAACGAACACTGGCATGCCCCATTCTTTTCTATGTCGGTATGAAGTTACTCCTTGAGCTCTTTTGATGGCTGACTATGATGCTATAGAGGAAAGCATATGGGCCAAATCGGTCAAAGTTATGGGTCTCATGAAGGCCGGCGTCCAGGCAGACTGGGCAAGCCATGGGATCATAGGCGGTGAGCCTGATCCGTCCACAGCTGGTTCACAGGCCCTTGACCATCGGCTGGCCATGGCCGCAGGTAGTGAGGCGGTTATGGGGGCCAACTTGCAGATTAATCACGACGCCCTGACAGGGGAGTTTGTGCACAATTTTGGGGACGACCCATGGCTGTCAGCAATGTTTATCCCGTGGGATGCAATGAATTTCTGAGGGCGAGTTGGCAACCGCCGGCGAAAGGAGTACAGCTGAAACTCTCCACTGTGTTGCAACTCGGATTCACTGCTTATATAGCAAAGTAATAGATTAGAGCCCTCCAAGCTTCCTTACATGTAACATTATACAGTCAAAGCAGCAATTAGTATAAATTTGTCTCCAAAAAGGATTAAGCTGGAGGTATTTATTTTCTCAGCTCTAGAGCCGTCAGTTGACGCCTCCAGGCGGTTTCGGTCCTAATCCGTATGCATCAACCCAAACACGTACGATCCCTTGATACAGCACTGAGCAGTGACTGTAACTGGTTTCCTACTTCTATCCCGTATACCTTGTTTCGCTTCATATACGTCCTCAGCCATATCTAGGTACATGGCGCCTTCACAAAGTGGTAAAAGCCCAGCTTTCTTCATCATCATCTTCTTTCTTTCTCTGGAAAAAAGAAGAGAAACACGATGCCGATAACAGTGCAAAAAGACACAATTAGTAGACACGTGGCCTCGGCCACGTGTCGCACACTATATACTGCCTCCTGGACGGCCCATTAGACAGGCAAGGCAAGAGTCCACTGGGAACAGGCAGGCGCCAAAAGGAGCATATGAAAGCCATCGGAACTGGCCTTACAGCTTAGGGTTGTACTTGGATTGTCATGAACTTCAATTTCGTTGTCATTGTCGTCTCTTACACACTGGTGACTGGAAGTCAAGCGGTTGCTAGCTGAGGCAGTCTTGTACATACCTAGGTAGTTACCCAGGTAGATGACCTCATATAGTTATGGAAGGGGGACATTTCAAATACTTAGAACTTCGGCCGTACTATATTTCCTTCTACTTAACTGTTCATATTTTCATCTAAGACTTCACTCATTCCTCATTATCACGCAACAGTGACAACATCAGAGCCGAAGGGACTGGTCCTCTCAATTGCTATTCTCTAGGCTTCGAGCGGGATGTTGAACAACACCTTGTGTTTCACTATCGTTCTCCCTACCGTTAAAATGCTTCATGGTGATAGTATTTATTAATCATTGCATAAACAAGTAAATTAAGCGCATCTCTTTGAACAGGTATTTATCTATAGTGCACAGCCATCTACCTAGGTATTGTTCCCACAACATGAACCGCTCGCTCCCTTAAGGTGCTAGGTGCAGGGCCAGCCTTGGAAATAGCAACTCGTACCGCATTGCGTTTCCGCCATGCGACTTAACCGGCATACTGGACTAGGTTACTTTCTGTCACATTCATGACAGCCTGCCCGAGCAAGATCTTCTTCCCTTCGCTGTCGAAGACAGCATAAGTCGCTTGGAGAAACGGGTTACCGAGACTGGTCAGTCCACCAACCACCCCGTTCTGAAGCCCAATGATTGATGGGATTGCACATTGCCCTGGGACATCGCCAGGGACCATCAGGAGATCAAGTGGAACGTTCATCATGGTCGCGTCATTATCGAACCCGAAGGCCAGTGACATGGAAGCGAGGTTGCACGGGACATTCCCAAGCAACACAGCGTCTTGGTCATTTCTGGTTTCCACCCCCAGAGTTTGAGCTAGTCCTCGGACTGCATCGGCGGGTAGGTCGAGCTCAGGGTTGCCCGTATCGATGAGAGCAGGCTGGGTCTCGCTGAGCAAGTTTCCTGGTGCTCGCCTCTGTGGTCCCACCTGCTGCCCATTGCCACCTGTGACCGTCATGGAGCTTAACCCCACGACGAACTGCGGGAACTCTCCTTGATCATTGGAAATAAGTGGTACTTCTTTCAGCTCGCCACTGAATTTTGCTTTATCCACGCCACCAAATGCAATTGATCCAGGTGTCCCCCCTGAGAATATGTGGTTAGATCCAACATAGAACTTTGAAAATGCTAGCGCCAAAGGCAGGCAAGTTCAACACTTACGGAAGTCGTTCACATAAACCCCAAAGGCACTTGTCTTGGTGACGCCGGCCTGTTTCATCGAGATTGGGACATTCGAGTACGGCCTGTCGGACGCCTCATTGCCGACTGGTCCAACTCCAAACACGGCGAAAGACGGTGTTCCCTCGGGAACAAAACCGTCCTCCTGGAGGGCGAATTCAGCATCTGATATGGTCTGATTGTTGCTTCCGAGGGTAAGAAGGCCCTTGACAAAAGGCCCTTGGTATGTCTCGCCTGTCCCGAAGCTTGTGTTGAGGAGTAGGCCCGTCTTCTCGACACCGCTTGACGCGTCGGGGCTGAAAGAGCCGAGGACAAGGCCGAACGAGTTCTGCGTGCATAGCTGCTGCGGCTTCCCGCACACTGAGCTCCCAGTCTCAGGAGAAATTAGGTCGCTGCTGCCAGTATCGATGATCATTGTCACGATCTGTGGAGGGCTTCCGAGTCCGACCTTGACTAGCGGTAAAGGCCCCGTCTTGTTGCTGTAAAAATGAGTGATCTCTAGATCCACTATACCACTAGAGAGCGTGGAGTTACCGCCAAAGGGTGCAGAAAGCACCTTCGACGCCAGTGTTGACGCAACGAGTAGCAAAGTAGTCTTTGTAGTCATGATGCTGCCTATCGAAAGGAGCAAATGATTAGGTAGTGACAGCCAGAAACTTCAAAGGCTCTGAGGAATCAAATAACGCGGCGTCTAAATAAGCAACGACTTTCGCTTCGATAATTGACTAGGGAGGGTATTGATATTTCAAGTGAGACGCTTTGTCAAGATCGTAGGGACTGGTCCGGTATAATAAGGCTCTGCAGTGCGCTCAATGAGGTGTGTGACAAGATCGCTGAAAAGAATTTGCTCTATATACACTAAGTTTGAAGGAGTTGGTGTCGTCTATATTGATGGGCTTACATGCACTGTAATGGAGGCAAACAAGGGCAATCCTACTTTCACATAAGTCATCCTATCGTGATCCGATTTCCACGATTTAACACCCCTGAAAAGTGCTCACAGTGGTGAGTCCCTAGTTCGAATTCTAATGCCCCTTGCTCTTCTATCGATGCGAAGCCGAGAGAGACTACTAGGTACCTAGGTAGTTAGCTTCTATGAAATCCATGGGTCTGTGGGCATGTCCCGGTGAGCACGCGGGACGCGGAGCCAAATTCTCTGTAGAATCACTCAGGAACAAGAAGCCGGATGCCCTTTATTGTCAGCCGAACAGGTTATCCTCCACTTAAGTTTGATGTATTCCTGGGACGATTACGACCCAGTCATGTTGTATTGCACTGAGGTTCTCGCGCAACCTTGAGATCTACCGAAGATCCGGTGTGCCCGAGGCGGCGTTTCAGCTGTCATGTGCCGCTCAGGCTTGATTGATATCCAGAAGCGGTTCGCGCCGCTTGTCCGGCATATTAGCGACCATTGTTTCACGCATTCACGGTAATTGTAGATCCGATCCGGCAGGTCAATCGATACCCAGAAAATGGAAAAGCTTCTTTGCTAGCCGTCTTCCAGTGGGAGGCTTATTTTCGAACACCAAGGAAGGCGCCGCTCTTGTTACACAAATGCCAAGGCCTCATTCGAGCAGAACGCATGTTTTGTGTCGCTCATAAAACAGGTAGTTGAGCCGAATCAGTAGCCGAGATGCCCAGTTGCCCTTCCGCAGTGCTTTCCCCCTGGACCTTTCCACAAGAGCAAGCAGTGCATTTCCTCGAGTGCCTGATCTCTGACTCAAAGAGCAGGCCCAAGAAGTTTAGAAAAACTGGCTTTCCTACAAGAAGCCTGTAGTATGCCTGCCGATCAATCTTTGGCTTGTGATCTTATCTCTTACCTTTCATCCTGCTTGCCCTCCCGGCACGAATGTGAATGGGATGGCACGCGGGTTCTATCAAAAGGATACTAGTAGCTTTCACTTGAGATGTTTCAGGCGAGCCCCATCTCAAGATGCGACTTTGGCGTTTCCAAGTGGTGCAAATCAGAAATAAACATTTTCACTGTGTACGATCTATCTAGCTCGGGAGAACGACGACCTCCCCCCCCCTTTTTTTTCCTTTTCAAGCTGAGACCCCACCCATGTGGACTTATAAGTTGGTGAGTAGGGCAGTTTATTATTTTGGTGACCGTAGCTGCTTGAGTTTCTAAAGTTTCGGAAGACACCAAACGTCACATGCAGAATCGTATCTATGGTTCTTGTGTCGTAGGATTCATGCCATATGATAGACAGCATGCGCTAGGTATAGATTGAGAACGAAACCACTCAGCACCACATGTGAATGCCCGCCGTCTGTAGTTCTCCACCAAGCTCCTAGAAACAACTCATCATCGTCCCAAATATCACAAGGCGCCATTGGGAGGTTGCCCAATTGCCGTAATTAATGCAGCCCTTTCGATTCACCCAGATTTGCCGGGCCACTCATATACCTCAAGTGCTAGGTAATGTACAACATGCATGAATATAGTGCATGTTACATCAACAAATTCGCGGCATCCTCTTAAAGCACCGAATTGGACAGCCGTGTAAAAGCACTGTTTCTTAACACCATCGGCTCAGACTCATCCTCTAGATCAAATTGAATTCCCCGGTCACACGTTACATGCCTAGGTATTAGTTAGTGGCGTGCTTCACTGGGAACAAGCTTTTTCATTTCTTGAAGCGCATCCAACATCTCTCAAGATGATACTATCGCGTTTGAACAATCCTTTATTCCATTGTCCCTTAAAAGTATCAATATATACACTTATCGTATTATCGACAGTTTTTTCTTCTTCTTCAAATGCTGGGTCTTTGAGCGTTTACCACTCTATGAAGGCGCCATGTATGGCTTCGGGCGTATACGGAATAGAAGCGAATCCAGAGCTGGAAACATAGAAGGAATCTCGGGAGCTCGAAAGGACATGCTTGCCAGCCAGTTCAATGTTGCTTAAATTAAGGACCCGGTCTGCGAGACTGATGGTAGAAACAACTACCAGTTGACGGTGAGCCCAATGACAACCCACACCAAATTGCTGACAGTTCCTGCTTGGATGATGGAGCGGTAGTTCTCGCTCCGGTTATATAAAACAATATGCAACAATGTCTTGGCCAAACCTACTCCAAATTCATCAAAAGCCCTGCGCTCCCATCATTTCTCCCCCCCGCCGGTAGTCATCTTTTCCTATCCAATATCCTTCCATTTCATGCGTATGTCCCCTGGTTATTGGAAGGCACTCGTCATAAACTTTTTGCGACTCCCAATGGTTGTTCTCAAGCTTCTAAAATTCCCAGTGTTTTGTCGGTCCGATGATGAGCATCATATAATCAAGTATGCCCTATACCGTCGGGTACATCACAACGAGATCATGATATGGGGCTACAATCCGTTGCCGCCATGACCACAACCTTCACATGGCTGCTCAAATGGAATGGGTAGCTTCCTTGGTCGGGACATATTACCCTTTGCCCATGAACCTGGTGGCGTCTTGGTGCATACCTTGGGTAGCTCGACTCAAGTGCTTGCAGGTGTCGAGCGCGTCGTCAATTGTGCTTATCAACCAGCCATGCCCCGAGGCCCCTTCACTGCAGCCTTAGAGGTCATGGATATTTCTTTCTGATGTCGACCACGGAAAATATTAATGGCCGGCTGGTGTTGTTGGAAGGGTTTGATGGAGGGCTGCGGCCAGGGTTAGGACAAGGGGGGTGTCCGACTCGGAGTGACGCACGTCGGCCGCAGCACCGACGCGACGGGCAGAGAGCATCAACAGCTCCCGGCAGCACCCCCAGGATGAAACAATTGCCTTGTCGTCCTTTTCAAGATCAACACCTCGATCAACCTGGGTCGCGGGACACTGAACACGCCGGTCATGGACAGCTTCGTCCTCGGCACGGGTGCCTCGATCTACACCCAGCGGCTGCTTCCAGCGATCTTGCTGGCTGAGCACGAGATCATCCTGGTTACTTGCTTCTGGGCATCTTCCAAGACGCTGGTGGCACTCTCCAATGCGCTTGAGCAACTTGCCCGGAAGCGAGAGACGCTGCCCGTTCAACCACTGCGGGTGTACATCTGCTTCTCCTCGCGTTCTCTGCTCCAGAAGCTCTCGCATACGTCGTCGAGGGATGGATATGTCTACCCTCGGTCTTCGTGGAGCAACAAGTTGGGCCTGCCAGCCCCGGACGTCCTAGCTGCGGGAAAGATGGAGATGGAGGTGAAGAGCCTGTTCTTCCTGCCTTTCAGCGTGATGCACCCCAAATTTCTGATTGTGGATCGCCGGCGGGCGTTCGTGCCGAGCTGCAACGTCAGCTGGGAGACTTGGCTCGAGGGATGTCTGGAAATGTCGAGGAAGGCGCCGCGTGATGACCCCATTGATGGCCTCCTGAGCTTCTACCGCACTGTGTGGCAAAACGGTCTGGACCTCGAGGCAACGCTGCCGCCGACTTTGGAACAGGATACCCGACAAACTTGCCTCACTGACAGCAGAATTGACGAGGGTAAAATCAAGTCCCTAGCCGACAGGCTCGCGCCTGTCCAAGTACCAGCCGCAGGAGTCGAATGGCTCCCCAGTTGGCACCACCGCAACCCATCCTTCTGTTTTTGGCCTTGGAAGTCCCCTTCAGTCCCAGACACGCCTCTCAACACTGCGTTTCTAAGACTATTGGACGGAGCAAGCCGGGACATCTACATCCAGACTCCGAACCTCACCTCTCCACCAGTGCTCTCTGCCATCGACAAGGCTCTCGCCCGCGGAGTAGACGTCGCCATTGTAACCAGTCGGCGCATGATGCTGTTGGAACAAATCGTCACAGCCGGCACGACGACCGGTTGGTGCATTCGGGGCCTAGTAAAGCGTTATCGGCGGCTTCGTGCTTCGACTCAAGCCTTAGAACAAGCGCATCCAGGGGCAGACGAGACTGTTGACCTGGAGGCTCAGCCTGTCGCGCCGGGTTCGTTGCGGATTTCCTACTTCAAGCCAAGTGAAGCCTCGACCCTGGACGAGGAGCCTGTGCAATCGCACTTGAAGCTCAGTATCTTTGATGGACAACACACTGTTTTGGGTTCAGGCAACATGGACCGAGCGAGCTGGTTTACGAGTCAAGAGCTCGGCGTGCTCATCGACAGCACCGAATTTGCCACCACAGCCAGGAGGACCGTGGAGGAGGTCCTAGTTGGTAGACTGAACTCTGTTTTCACGACTCCCTGAGACGACGAACCGTGTGAAGAACTAGGCTTCGAGGGCGGACCGATATGCTGAACAGAGCATAACGCGGCCTGTCCGGCACGAGGTCAAGAGAGAACGTGTTCTATTTGCATGGACAGCGATGATGTTCGCAAGAACTATATACATCGAAGGGAAAGACCTTTGAAAATAAGACGAGCTTCCCGATACCCTCTATGGGCGATGATAAGGCACTCTGGTACTTACCCACACCGCCCGCGCGACTACCTGCTGATCCGATTAGAACGCCGGGTTGGCGTTAGTCAGGAGCTGCTCGAAGTACGCCTGGAACCAGGTGCCTGCCTCGGGGGCGGGCTTGAGGGAGTCTGACTGGCCGCAGTGGAAGTCGTACCGGGTGGCACTCTGATCGCTGGTGCCGTCCGATTCGCCGCCAGGCTTAACCCAGACGAAGGCATCCTCCAGCTCGAGGCCGGTGTTGGAGGTGGGACGGAGACCAAATCCAGTTCCCCTAAGGCATTTGTGTTGGTCAACTGTTCTCGTCCAAGTCTTTTCCGGATACATTACTTACAAGGCGTTGCACCAGTCTCCCCACGCGGCCTGGCCTGTAGGCTGCTTGCCGGAACGGCCTTGGTCCGTGATGAAATGTGCGCTGAACCCTTCGGCGGCGAGGAGGGGCGCAATAGCCTTCACGTAGTGCGACTCGTCGTAGTTGGCGTTACCTGGGAGACATGTTAGCGTCCTGACCTCCTGCCAGATTGACGATCATTCGGCATTCGGAGACTCACCTTGGGTATATGATGGTGCGGTGGCGACGCTCCAGGCGTTATAATTGGCTACATTCGTCGCAAGCCCGCGCAAGGCAGCAGGAGAGCCAGCGTCCTTGTACACCTTGGCAAACATATCGGCTGCGGGCTGAAGGTTGGCCTGCCATCCCAGCCAACCGGCGTGCCCAGCATCCATATACATCGCGACGTTGGGCAAGTTGAGCTGCTTCAGGGCGTACTGTGTGGACAGCAGGTAGTTGTCCTTTGCGTTGGCGCACTTGGCCACGTTGAGGTTGGTCACCAGATTGGCGAGCGAGTCGGGCTCAACGACCAGCAGAACTCTAACATCCGAGTAGGTAATGAGTTGCTTGCGGATGGAGTCGATGTACGCCTGGTACTTGGCAGCACCGCCGTTGGCATAGCTCAGCTCACCATTGGAAGCGGCAGCCGCACAGTCTCGGTCCGGGAGGTCATACACCACGAAGAGGCCAGCATATGGTGTAGTAGCCCCCTTGTTGGCAGCTCGAATGTCCGCAAGGGTGCCTGCCATCAAAGTGTCGACCTTGTCGGCGGTGTCGCTTTTCGAAGTCCTCAGTCAGCCACCAACACGCGAACGCGAAAAAGATGGAATACTTACAGCCACTGGAAGCTAGGTACCTTGGCAACCGCGGCGGCCTTGGTGGCCATGGCTGCCGAAAGGCTTGGAATTGCCAGGGAAGAGACCTCGGAAGCGTAGTAGGAGTTGGCCCACATATTCACGCCGTTGAAAGGGTTGCCGCTATACGAGGCAGTGGTACCGGCTCCTCCGGGGATCGTGGTGGACGGCTTGGACGAGGTGGTCGCCGACCCTGCGCTGGTCGTGCTCGCCTTGGACGTCGTGGTTGACGACGGGCCTGCGGTGGTGGTGGTCCTGGAGGTTGTCGCTGCAGTGGAACTGCTCGCAGCCGAGCCAGGTAAGCACTGCGAGTACTACAGAACTCGGAATCAGCCTTCAAGAAATCGGAAGAAGTACCTTCATGCTAATATGGCAAGGAGTGGGCCACAAACATAGTCATTGCCCTTGGTACACACAGACCCAGACGCGCAGCAGGTCGCTCCCGACCAGCCGATCCCTCCGCACTGCGCGCTGACCGCCGTCATTAGTATGTCGAGTCCGAAGGCCGAAGGCCAGGTGAGAGGCCGACTTACTACATGGCTCCACAGTTCTGTCGCTCCTCGACCGGCGCGGCCAGAGCCATGGTAGCCAAGGCGGCGAGAAGAACGCTTTTGACCGCCATCTTTCTTGTATGTCAACTGGTGTCGGTCGGAGTTGGTGTTATTTCCAAGCGGAGTGAGAGGATGGAGCTGAAGACGAGGTTCTATCCGCGGTTTTGAATCACGGCGGTCCTGCCTTTTATGAAGAAGCAAGTCTCGCACATCGACGGATGCGCCCCGCCATTGCGTCGGATAAGCGGGAAGACGGCCTCTGATGGTTAATATCAAGGTGTTCAGGTCTGAACCACCGACCCTCGAGCACGGGCGGCGCCTCATTTCCTCCGGCGCACGTTGCACGCTGCTTTTGGGTGAGGCATACTTGGAAAACACTGCGGAGGAAGAAGACGCTGGCTGGAACCTGGGCTAGGCATTTAGGCAGTGCGTCCCGATTGGAACCGAGGATCAAGGAAGCCAGCACAGGCCTCGCAGGGGAAACAGAAGCTCACCATCTCCGCGTGATCACATCACACTGTTTCTAGGGTAGCAACAGCTGACACGGCACCAAGATCCCTCACTGTCGTCGACTCCCGCTTGTTGTGGGAAGCAACACCAAGTTCGAACTTCGACGCATTTGGACCGCCCCCAAGGGTACCCCAGTCTCGGGAGGCCACTGCAGGCAAACAACCCAAGGCGGAAAGGATCGCTACTTCCGCCAACCAAACGGGCATCCAGCGAAATGGTCCAAGCCTACCCTTGGCAACTGACACCGTCGGGTTGACAGCCCTTGCACGAGAGCTTAATCTCGGAGCCCCACGTTCCTGAATGACCCTGATGGGAAAGCGTCAGATCATTGCCAGCAGTGTGGGGTGTACAGTGGAGCTGCCCACAGTAGCATTGCATTGTCTGGGGGCAGGGGTGTCAATCGGATCTTGTCGACCATGTTCCGTCCGGACTGTCCTACATGTGGATGTCGGTTCTTCTGTTGCGTGTAGGCCATCCAGCAGAGGACTTGTTGTTCATCATCCGACTACGATGATACTAGCTAGCGGCTGGTCGAGGACAGCACAGTTGCTCAACCGCTTCATCGAATCCAGAGAATGCTCGCACAACACCAGACTAAATGCGGGACCAACTCGAGAACCCACACTCGCCGTCTGCTAGGCGGTGCACAGTTAATATCTGGATAAATTGCCCGCCTCGAGCTTCCCTGGAGGAAGCAGCCGGTGACTACAATGTTCACTTTTTCAATCTGCTTGCGTCCTTTCATCTCGCCTCTCGTACCCGCGAGCCGCGCCGCTGATCACTCGGGATACCGCTTTCGGAGAATGGGACCTTCTGGCCGGCTTGCCCATGCGCGCGTACCTCTTCCCCCAGCATGCCCTGCAGACCAAGCAAACGCTTTAAGCATTTGTGGCCCAGATCATTGGAGATCAGCAGGTCAGCGAAAAGCTTGGTTGCTGGGTCTAGAACACAACCTTGCAACGGGCCTGGTTCTGCTCAGAAACGTGGCCGCTGGCCGAGACCGAACTATCATTCGATGACCCCAGAGGACTTGGCTCCACAAACCGTTTCCAAGCTCAACGACCATCTTTGATGTGGATTTCAAAATTGAACAACTTGCATCCAATTCCAATTCACAATTGCGTACAAAGTCGTGTTGCATCAACAACAAGATTTCTTGTATTTCTTCGAAAAAGTTCTTCACATACCTATCAAGTCGAGTAGAAAGGCTTTGTGTTGCACGCCAACTCCGATCACTCAACCCTCCAGTTTACATCTGTCAGCTTTGGCCAAGCATTCAGGAGGTTCGCGAGTAGACCAACATTTGACAACACAAAGCGCACCTCGTAGGATTTTCATAGTTGATTACTCTTGTGTCGGCATCATCGTCCGGAGAAATAGAGACCAGTGCGGCGACTGTCAGCGTTTTCGCCGAGGTCTTTGGATCCAACATGTGGTAGAGGAGCACAAGCGAAACCTGCCATCCGTTGACGTGCGTGGGCGAAAGGATCGCTCGTTGCGTCCTAATTCCAGTCTTATTAGATACGCTCAAGATTTCAAAGTCGGCTTGTTGAATCTCTGTCTCAGGCTCGTGACGATGTGAGGTCAATGGCCCGAAGTATCCTGCAGCTCCAACTTCAAGCATGTGGGAATATATCTACATAGGTAGATGAAGTCTACGTGAAGACTACGAACTTGTAGTGAAGGGGTCATTAGCAAAAAGAACCCACCGGGGTCCATGACTACGCACACCGATAGTGTAACTAAGTATTCTTTTACAAGTCCTTTCTCAACTTCAGCATATTCAATGTTACTTTGATAGAGGCAGGTTGCAGTGGCGCCTTTTCTCAGATCACAAGTGGCATGCCGTGGCTTATTACCAGCAAGCTTCACCACTAGTGGCCAAGTTTCGTCCTTATTTGGATTTTGAAGTACCTAGATAAACTGATGTTTGACTTCATTGCAGTGAGACTGTTTTGACACCTAACGTGACTCAGTCTAAGAGCCATTTAGAGCCATCACTAACAAAAATAGGAAACTCGGCACTGCGTCTGTTGCCTAGGTATTAATTGCGGCGGCCAGGAATACCCATGTCGTGCCTCCCACGTTGACGGGAACTGAGGGATCGGCATGATCGGAACTCTTGGAAAGACACAGGGTGGCAAAGCTTTATGTAGACGACAGTCTTTGAGCGTTGACCACTCAGTATATGAAGGCACCGTGTATAGCTTCGGACGTATACAGAACAGAAATAAAACCAATACCTAACTTTAGTAAGTCTAGATTATGTGCTTTCACATAGTTACAAATGATCAAATAGCATTCAAAAACGGTTATGCGAATATCCCCCTTCTATTTCACAGTTAGTGTCAGACATGGGCGCTGGACCGAGCTCGTCACCCGCCACCAGGGCACCGCGATGTTCTTCTATTCACCCAATTCCTGATCACATACCCATGGTTGATTTGAAGCCGTGTCCTACGACGATTATGAGTTAGCAACCCTTGAGGTCGATATGGAATTGAATTTCCCTACCTGTCCCCAAGGAAGACCGATACGTCGGAGAGAAGAAGTCGCTTACGCCCAGGGCGAGCCAATTTTGCTGGGAGAAGATTGAAAGCCACAATTGAACATAATGATGTATACAATTCGCAATGAACAGTTCAAGATCCAAATTACTCCTCTCGCGTGATACCCTGTCTAATTCTAGGTTTGAATGGCCGAGTATTCTCGCCGTCTAAACCATGTCATGCTGAAGCCGCCAAATTAAACAACGCCAAACAAAAAAATGTGTCCGTTCCGCAGTTACGCAGCGTGGTGGTTCTACCATACAATCACATTACCGCCCCATATCTACGGCTTCCTCAGACCATTGCCGAGTAGCTCTACGCCAATTTCATGAACCAGCGATAGATCCTTGAAGGTGCTCTTCTTCCCCTTCACGGTATCATCCGCAGCCATAACCCTCAGCAAGTCCACCAACTCCCCGTCTAGCGGCGCGAGATAGGCAAGGTACCCCAGAGCAAGCAGCATACCCTGTAGCGCCTCGGTGGAGTCGCCTTCCTGGGCAATGGCCTCAAGTAGCGAGGCCGCAAGCTCTATCTGATCGGCTTCGGGGAGTGCATCGTCTTGGTCCATGCGTCGCTTGCGGTTGTTGACTAGTGCGATATTGAATAGCAGGGAGGCCGCGGCGACGCGGACGTTGCTGTGGTTGTCGTCCAGGAAGCTGGCCGAGACCAGGCTTGTGATTGCGGAGCGCAGGCCTTCGTGGGTAAGGATCTGGTCCGGGTACAGAGGGGTGGTAAAGAGGTTGCAGGCCATTTGCAGGGTGACGAGCCTCAGGGCGTATGGGCAATCTTTCAGGCCGTTCACATAGGATATGAGGGACAAGATCGTGGCGTGTTCCTTTTCTTCGGCAAGGAAACCGCTGAAGCGAGGATCAACGAGACCGCAGCGGAGTAGGTCGATAACTGTGAACATGAGCTCGGGAGGCAAGGTAGTCATCGAGTTCTTGAGGAATGTTGTCAGGGCTGTCATGTTGGGTAGCGGATCGTTTGCTGGGCCCTCTTTGCTTCGAGCATCTATAAAATGTGAGAGGGCTTTTACAGCTTCGTGATCGGCTGCGGTGCCCATTTTGGCAAGAAGCTTTTGTAGTGGGGGGATCTTTGTGAAAAGAACAGGCTTGGCTTCGGGGTTCTGCAAGCTCGGCAGCCTCAGCGACGCATGGGGATGGATAGGGTTAGCCATCTGGACAAGCATGTGAACGTTGCCACGAAGAGCCGCCCGGTCTGCTCCAGACCACCGGTTTTCCTCCTTGCCGTGGAGAAAGGTGACAAATGTGGGAGTGGCTCGGACAGAGTAACGACTGGCGACGTCAAATGCTTGAGATATGTCCACCTTGACCAGGGCGGCCTTGTCGCCTACCTCAGCTGCCAGCTCATCATACAGTGGGTGTAGCAGCTTGCAAGGGCCACAGGTTGCGGAGGTGAAGAAGATAACGGCGCAAGACTTGTGGACACTTGTGAGGAGTGACTCGAGCTCACTGGAGCTGGAAACCGTCCGGACCTTGCCCTGGCGATGCTGGGGCTGGGGATGCACAGGTGCCGACGCTGGCTGGCCGTTCTGGATGCCCCAGATTCCTTGCCTGCTCTGCCTGCCTGCCTCGACCTGCTGGTTTAATGTGGGCATGAGCATCCTCCCCATTGGCGACTGCAGCACCGCATCGGGCATGTGGAGGATGTGATCGGGTATTCCGTTGCCCAGGAGGAACGTTGCAAAGTCATTTGAGAAGTTGTTGCAGTTGTGCTTCCACAAGTCATATGCCTTGAACGGTGTCAGCCAGAGGCCGCCCCCACCGCCGAGACAAGGTCAGCACACAGGGTACTCAACTCACTTGGACAGTGTAGACCTCCCTCAGTGACTCGAGGTACGGCTGGACAACTTCCATGGGTAGTTCCGTCTTTCCCAGGTGAAGGCGCTGCATGGGCCGGCCGAGATGAGAAGAGCCGGGGGTTATGGCTATAACGTTGCCGTCGTAGACATACTCGAGACCATCGAGCTCGATGGACGTGTGATAGATGGCGTCCAGCTGGAAGCCGAGCAGACCCATGGACATCTGACGTGCAAGCCCTTGGGAAAGGTCGTACACGAGGAGATGCACATCCATGGTGGCTGTGAACGAGCGTGAAGAACAAAGAAGACGGACGGCGAGAGAGGTGGGCTGGCGCAGTGCGGACGCAACGGAGACGGTGGCTGAGAGCGAGGGCAGGGAAGCAGAACGTAAATGAGGAAGATAGACCGCTGAAAGACCACTGGACGAGAAGAATACTTGCCTTTTCACCTTGAGGAGAGTGGAACGTCATGTATTTTATTTGATGCAATTGCAGAAGCCGAAGGCAGCAAGGAGACGCGGCGTTTAGGCCGTCAAAGAACGGACGCCATCATCCATCAGCAAGCAGTCATCGAACCTGGGCGAAGTCGACAGATGGGACGGCACGGGACGGCCAAAGTGTGGCTGAACTGTCCGTTGGGCTGTCCGTTGGGCGGTCCGTAAGGAACCGCCACATGGCAACACGCCACAGCTACTCCTTAGGCCTACCTGCCTTGCTCGACAGGGGGCTAGGAGTACTGTTGAAGGAAAGGACTGCCGTGCCGGATTGGGTTGCCCATCCATCGGCCCTGCACGCTGCTTATTATACTGCCCTGGACTGGTACTGGTTGTAGTCTACCTGGCACATGCAAGGAAGTTGACCACGAAATTCTGCATCAGCGATTGAGCAGCCATTTGCCTTTGCCATTCAATCGCCGCCCCTTTTTTTTTTCCCAACTCGTCCATCTAGCCACTCGACTTGACCGATCCTACCCCCTACCACTCTGCCCTCCTCCTTTCCTTTCTCCTTTTCCCCAGCTGATACTCGTGGGATTAGTCTGTCTTGCCTTGGGCCAGCCATTCTGCCGGGAACAGACACTTTGTCCTCCCTTGTTCTCCTCGTTACGCACGCGCCACGCCACGCGGTGATCCCTTCTTGTCTCTCGCTTGCCCTATCTATTCACCTAGGGCTTATCGCGTTTAATGGAGGCCGTGGCTTGTGCTCGCGCCCACGAATTGCCTTGAGCCATCACCCAGCGGTCGCAGTCGCTCGCTTGCTCCCCGTCGACAGCAGTTGCCGTCGACAGTCAGTCGGTCCACCATCTCGACTCGATCCCGCTCGACTCGATCCCGCTCGACTCGACCCGGCTCGCTGACCCTCCAGCAGTCACATCTCACCGTCACGTCACAGGGGACCAACGCCCACATGCGGCGCACCTCTGTCTCTCTGCCCAAACACAAGCAAGGCCTCGCCCACGACCCACACGAAAAGCCGGCTCGCTACCAGCCGCGACAAGTCGGCACCCTGGAGAAACTCAAGAACGATATGATGTCCCAGGCCCAGAAGACCCGCTGGCTCAAAACCGGCGCACTGGTCTTCTTCGTCCTGGTCTGCCTCTATTACTTCGCTCCCTCAGGCGTCGATGTCTATCGCGGCTCTGCTGGGTCCGTATCCTCGGGGGGCGGCGGCGGCGGCGGCCAGACTCCCACCGACTCGAGCTATGGCACGCCGTACTGCGCAAAGTCCTTCTCCAAGGACAAGCCAATCGTGCAATACGTCAACATGATCGATGCCGGCAGCACTGGCTCCCGTATCCACGTCTACAAGTTCAACAACTGCGGCCCGACGCCCTATCTCGAGGACGAGGTCTTCCAGATGACCAAGAAGATCGATGGCAAGAGCAGCGGTCTCAGCGCATATCCTGACGACCCTCAGGCCGCCGCCCAGAGTCTGGACATCCTCATGCAAGAGGCCATGGCAACCGTGCCGGACAAGCTCAAGGCCTGCTCCCCGGTTGCTGTCAAGGCCACCGCCGGTCTGCGACTCCTCGGGCCCGAAAAGTCGCAGAGCATCCTGGACGCAGTGCGCACTCACCTCGAGACCAAGTACCCCTTCCCCGTTGTGGCAGCCGATAAGCAAGGCGTCGCCATCATGGATGGGAAGGACGAGGGCGTCTACGCCTGGATCACGACCAACTACCTGCTCGGCAACATTGGGGGCCCGGACGAGAGCTCCACCGCGGCCGTGTTCGACCTGGGCGGGGGCTCCACGCAGATTGTCTTTGAGCCCGACTTCAACGGCGTGACGGACGGCGGCAAGCCGGCCAAGATGGCCGAGGGCGACCACAAGTTTGACCTGGACTTTGGCGGACGTCACTTCACCTTGTACCAGCACTCGCATCTGGGCTATGGACTGATGAGCGCCCGAGAGGCCATCTACGCGGAGCTCATCAACCAGGTTCACGAGGCCCACAGCGGCGGCGCGGACAACTCCTGGGCGTCAAAGCCCGTCGTGAACCCGTGCCTCGCGTCAGGGACCTCCAAGGTGGTCACCGTCAAGCTGGGCGATGCGCACCCGCTCGGCGCCACGCGCGAGTTCAACTTCACCGGTCCCTCGTCCGGCGGCGCCCCCGCGCAGTGCCGCAGCCTGGCCGAGAAGATCCTGAAGAAGGAAGCAGAGTGCAAGCTGGCCCCCTGCTCCTTCAACGGCGTGCACCAGCCCTCGCTGGCCAAGACGTTCATGAAGCAGGACGTCTTCTTCCTCTCGTACTTTTACGACCGCACCCAGCCGCTCGGCATGCCTGACAGCTTCACCCTGCGTGAGATGCAGGATCTCGCGGCGCGCGTTTGCGGCGGCGCGCGGGACGGCGGCTGGGACGTGTTCGCCAGCGTCGGCGGCGCCCTCGATGAGCTCGCCGACCGTCCGGAGCACTGTCTCGACCTGAGCTTCATGGTCGCGCTTGCGCACGCCGGGTATGAGATGCCCATTGACCGCGAGGTGAGGATCGCCAAGAAGATCAATGATAATGAGCTCGGTTGGTGTCTGGGCGCTAGGTGAGTCCTCCTCATCCCCTCCCTCCCTCCCTCCCTCCTTGACCTACGGCATCGCAATCAGACCAGTCAATGCTGACCCTCATCTCCGCAGTCTGCCACTGCTGTCTCAAAACTCGGGTTGGCAGTGCAAGGTCACTGAGATCCACTAGGGCGGGAAATTAGAATTATAAAGAACGACAATGCATACATGTTAATGACGAGTTTTACCAGTGTTCTTCTCTACTACGTTAGAGACAGTCAAACACCACGAACTCTGCGACATGACGTATCAATAGGTGGCGGCCGGTGCTGTTGGTCCGCAACGCAGTGCATCGGTCTCATGGTATGACCCCTCGGATCTCAGGGTACAAGGCCAGATTCGCGAGACGCACCGGAGGCAGGGAGGACGAGGAATCTGTTGCGTGTCGACGCACACGGTGATATATCGAATAGACAGGGCTCAAATACTCGCTCACGAACTGGAAGTGAGATGAAATGGAATGCAACCTAAAGCAAAATAAGGATTTCCTCCTTCCTCTCTTAATCTGACCGGCGCGAAGAGTGATTCACACATGCCCCGGGCTCGTTCACGCTATAGCAAGATGTGTGGGCTACTAGGAGGAACTGCTCAACGTCCATCAACTTTCTCGCATAAGCAGTGGCACATGTGGGTATCTCTGAACACAACGCAGGCACGCATAAGCAAAACACAAACAGAGGCGGCTACTAGGTCGCCAATAAGCCAGCCGATCCAGCGCTCCATGTACGTCTTGGATCTCAAACAGGAGCCGTGACTACCGCCAGGACCTCCTCAACCACGTCCTCCGGGCCCCATCCCTCGAGTAGTCTCCCAATAGCGCCTAGTTCGCTGCCCCACTGCATGCTCCGCTCCTTGGAAGCCTCGACCATCTTGATGCGGTGCAGATATACCTTGCGGGCGGCTACGCCCACGAGCGCCGGGGTGACAAACTCCAGCCCATGCAGGGGCGCGAGCGTCCGGACCAGCTGGTCAAGGTGGCGTGTCGCCTGCGGGGTTATGCCGCCGGCAACGGCGCGGTGCATGCGCAGGAAGGAGACTATGTTCATTTGGTAGCGGAGCACGTCGATATCAATGGCAGTGCGCAGAGAGAGCTGGCGGAGGTGGGATATGTCGGCGGCCGTGAAGGCAGGCGCCTTGCTGGTCGTGGGCGTGGTGGCATTGGCTGGCATGGCCAGGGGCTTCGGACTGCTGCGGTGCAGGATGTCGTTGGTGCCCCTCCCACGGCTGCGTCGCTTCACCACGCTGGCGGTGCTAACAATACTGGCCTTGTCGTCGGCCAGCCCGTCGTCGGTGTAGGATATGGAGTCAAGGTCGTCCCCGTCTATGTGGGGGAAACCTTCTTCGTCTGGGTCGACCCAGTGCGCCACGGAGAAGAAATCGTTCAGGTGTTGCGTAACCCTTGCCTCACCGCCGCTATCTGCGCCGAGGACGGCCACCAGCATGAAGGTCTTGGGCGCTGTCTGCACAGATGTTCTTGTAAAGATCCGCTTTGTGCGAAGAAGCTCGAGGGCTTGTGTCTGGACTGCCCTAGGGGCCTTGTCTAGGTTTTTGGCGAGGACAATGTTGGCTATCTGGCTATGCGAGGGCCCTGGTGTTTGGGGCGTCAGGGGGGCGATGGCTGACTGGACGAGACGCCCTGGCGAGTGAGCAAAGGAGACATGGCCGGCGGGAAAGTAGCTGTCGTGAGGGTTTCGCGACAGATAGGGCGAGAGCGAGCGGGTGGTGGTCGGGCTGGAGGCGTGTGGCTGCAGCAGCAAGGAGCTGGCAAAGTCGTCGAGGGTGGTGTTCGGGTTGCATTCGACGACGGCAGACTTGAGCCCAAAGGTGCGGTCGGTGATGAGCTGCAGCTCGGTGACAAGGTCATCGAGGCTTCCAGTCGGTGTGCTGACGATGCAGTGCTCGCTGTTGACGAGCGACAGGAGACAGGCCAGCTCGACATCGCTCAAGGCATGCACCTTTGCGAGGACATGGTCGTCGGCCATCTGCCTTCCTCGTCCTCAGTCGCACTGGCAGCCAACGGCCATAATGGACGGATGTGCTGGCTGGAGGTGCTAGCTGCGTGGTGGACGCATTGGTTGGTATTGGCTTCGCCCACTATGACGGTGATGAGGGCAGCCTTGGTGATTGGGTTTTTGGCCTGGGGAAGGTTAGAGGGCCCAGGGGTGATGGGATGAGATCAGCCCTGGGCCCCTGCAGCAATGACGATCCGATGCCACTGTGTATGGCGGGCAGCGCTGCAGCAGGCTGAGCGGTCAGTCATTACTCCGTACCTAGGTACCTACCTGGTAGTTGGTTTACACCGTTCCTGTCCATGCACAGTTCAGAACAAGGACACGGCAGGCAGGCAGGCAGGCGCGTGCTCCCAGCTCCTACCTCCTGTCGTCTGGGTCCTGGCCTTCCAGCCTCCTCGCTCCTTGCTCCTCACTCCTTGCTCCTGCGGCTGGCTGTTATCGCGCGCCTCACTCCCTCGCCTATCGTCTCAAATCGCCTAGGCTATCTGCAGCAGCGGAGACTGGGTACACTGCCAGTCTGTCGCCATCACCCACTTGCTCGCTTGCTTCGCCTGCATTAGACTACCCGATTGCCATCGTTCTTCTCGACACGGTGCTTCTCTTTTTTCAATTGTGTTGTCTGCTCAACCGACAGTCCACTTGTCCCCCTTCCCAACATTCTGGTCCTGTTGACTCAGTCTTTGCCTCCGACCAGTCCCCTTGCTATCTATCTCTCTCCCTCCCCCTCTCTGACTCCAAGTCCCACAGCACAGTCGCCTCGACCGGAGCGCGCCTAAGTGCGTGTCGAGCGTCATCCATCGTTGCCCTTCTCCTCTTCCTCGTTCCTCGTCCCAAACACTACCACAACACAACCGCCCACCATGAGCTCCAGAAAGAAGGTCCTCTTGAAGGTACGGCGCATATCTTTTTCATTTCAACGCAACCTGTTCTTCCAAGACATTACGTTTCTAACAATTCCTCTCTGCAGGTCATCATCCTCGGGGACAGCGGTGTCGGCAAGACCAGTCTTATGAACCAATATGTGCGACCTCTCCATCCGCAGATGTGCACTGCAGCTACACGGCCATGCAGGATCCCAGCTCAGGGTGGCCTGTGTGACACCGACACTGACGAGGTTGTTCCCAATAGGTCAACAAGAAGTTCAGCGCAAGCTACAAGGCAACCATTGGCGCTGATTTCCTTACGCGGGAGGTGCTCGTCGATGACCGACAAGTGACTATGCAGGTGCGGCTCAATCTCCCCGCCCCCATTCCTAACATACGCGCGCATGGACAGAAGTGGGAGATGTTGATTTTGGGCATGTGTACAGCTATGGGACACAGCCGGGCAGGAACGCTTCCAGTCCCTCGGCGTGGCCTTTTACCGCGGTGCCGACTGTTGCGTGCTCGTCTTCGATGTCAACAACTCTAAATCCTTCGATGCCCTCGACTCGTGGCGCGACGAGTTCCTCATCCAGGCCTCCCCGCGCGACCCGGACTCATTCCCCTTCGTTGTGCTGGGAAACAAGATCGACGTCGAGGAGAGCAAGCGCGTCATCTCGACCAAGCGCGCCATGACCTTCTGCCAGTCCAAGGGCGGCATCCCCTACTTCGAGACCTCGGCCAAGGAGGCCATCAATGTGGAGCAGGCTTTTGAGGTCATCGCCCGCAACGCGCTACAGCAGGAGGAGAGTGAGGAATTCAGCGGCGACTTCAGCCAGGACCCCATCAACATCCACCTCGAGAACGACAGGGACGGCTGCTCGTGTTGATTCTGGGGTCAGTCGGTGGCGTGGCTGGCCTGTCGGCCAAGAGGTCGTGGTTTTGCTCGGCTAGGAGGGCGGCAGCCTGCTGCGCTTTTGCGTACCAGAGGGCAAGGCAGCCGTGGGGATAACGGATTCATATTGTGTCGACTGCTGTAGAAGACTGGGCATCGTCCCCAGGCTTGCATTCATCGTGGCGTCTCTCATGTGACCAGCGTGGAGAAGGCATTGAATTACGAGGTTGCGGGCCTTGCTCACGTCTCATCACCCACCGCACAATGACCAGGTGAGGCATGAGACAGGAGGTGCTGCATTTCGTGGCCCGCATGATGGCAACAAAGATAGGGCAGGGTGATGGAATGACGAATGACTTAGGCTAGTATCGAATATTATCGCTATAGGACGCTGGGGAAACGGGCGTGCGCATATGTTAGTTGTTTTGGTATGGAATTGTCCACTAAGAGGTAGATTCACATGCTCTTTACCCAGGCACTTCGGAGAGAAGTGGCTCGCTCTGTATCCCAATGTCAACGCCTGCTTGTGTTGTTTGGCCTCTGTACGAGATGGTTAACTCCGCGTCCCAGCAGCGCATGCGCCGGCCGGTTCAGGGGCTGAGACAAGGGACCCCACACCCTGGGGACAATCGATAAGGCGAAGCGGCCCCTGCCGTTCCTGGGGTCAGGCGCTGGGAACAGACAGACGGCAGACGGTTAGACACATGGTTCGCCCTGGTAGTTGTCCGCCGTGTGCCCGTCACCGACTGACCCGACCCATCTTGACTGTTTCGCCAAACCAAACTCTTTCTCTCTCTTTTGACTCCTTTCCCACTCGACCCCCATTCCCGCCTGTACTTTCTTTCTTGCGAGTGAACGCCCGCCCCCCTCTCCTTTACTTTCTGTGTCTTGGACGAGACACTCGCTCGGGTGGTTCTCCGTCCTCTTTTCAAGGCTTGGGTTGGAATCACCGCGACGGACAATGGGATGAGCGCCTGTCGCTACACAGGCCGAGCACCCGACCTTGAAGTCAACCCTGGCCGCAGCACTCAACACTGCTTCGCATCTGATCTGGCACCAGTCGACAAGACAAGCAGCCATGGCGCCGCTTGAGCCTCTGGCCGCGTCCGCCGAACTGTGCCCCGAGCCAGAAGAAATGCGCCGCCGATCGCTTTCCTCGGGCCCGCTGAGCTCCTCGATAACATCACTGCGCGAATCAGGCAAAGGGGCCACACGGGGAGCAGCAGGAGGAGGGGGGCTCCTGGCGAGCTTGGGTCTGGGGCGCTTCGCTCGTCGCACCCTTGGCATCACTCTGCTTCTCGTTACCGTCTTCCTGTGGACCACGTCCAACTTTTTGGCCAGCTACATCTTCTCGGACCACACCTACGACAAGCCTTTCTTTCTCGTGTACATAAACAGCTCCATTTTCGCCATCAGCCTGATACCGCTGTTTGCGCGGTACTACAGGCGCCATGGCATGCAGGGAGTGAGGGCGGAGCTGGTAGAGCTTTGGGTCAATGAGAAAGGCAGGGAGTACAAGCAGGGCGGCGGGAATAGGAGAGCAAGAGCGAACTCGCTTCTCGGGCAGCCTGCTGTGCTCAAGACCTCCGATGACGAGGAGCACGGCTTGCTCAGCGGCCGGGCAGATGACGACGATGACGGCGACGATGACGGCGGCGGCGAGCGGGACGCGGAAGCGTCCAGCAGCACGGGCGACAGCACCACCAGCGTAATGCAGATCCAGGATGCACCGGGCCTCGAGAAGCCCGCTGTCGACAAGCTTACCCTCCGCGAGACGGCCGTCCTGAGCCTCGAGTTCTCCATGCTCTGGTTCTGCGCCAACTACTTCGCCTCGGCGTGCCTGGAGTACACCTCGGTCGGGTCAGTGACGATCCTGACATCAACGTCCTCGGTATGGACTCTGATTTTCTGTGCCGCTATGCGCGTCGAGTCCTTCAGCGCTCGCAAACTGGCCGGCGTGCTGGCCTCGCTGACTGGCGTCGTACTCATCTCCACCGTCGACCTGTCTGGCAAGAGTGACGAGGACCGCGGTAACTTCCCGCACAAGAGCCAGACCAGCATCGCCATCGGCGACGGAATGGCCTTCTTTAGTGCCATAGTGTACGGGCTGTATGTCACCGTTATGAAGAGGCGTGTCGGCGATGAGGATCGCGTCAACATGCCCCTGTTTTTTGGTCTCGTCGGCCTGCTGAACTTGATCCTTCTTTGGCCTGGCTTCATTCTGCTCCACTGGACTGACATCGAGCCATTCCAGTGGCCTCCCACGGGAAAGGTTTGGGCCATCATCATAGTGAGTTCCTCCCCTTGACAATTGTGACTAAGACGGTGCAGGAAGGTGCTGACCCACTGCCGCAGCTCAACTCTCTCTCTTCCTTCGTCAGCGACATATCCTGGGCCTTTGCCATGCTGCTCACTTCCCCGCTGGTTGTCACTGTCGGTCTGTCGCTCACCATCCCGCTTTCACTCATAGGGGAGATGATTCAATACTCCCAGTATTCGAGCTGGATCTATTGGGTCGGCGCGGGCATTGTGCTTATCTCGTTTCTCTTCATCAACCACGAGACCGCAGAAGAAGGGGAGAAGGACAGACGGGTGGTGGCGTCGTGATCTCTGGTCCTCAACTGCGTGTTGAATTCGCATCCTGTGGAATGCAGTTCTTGTATGGCGTTGATGGGGCTGACACATTTTGTCTCGCATATGTAGTGGTTTTGGTTCTGGGGGCACATACTGCTAATTAGATGGGTTTGAGATGCAAGCTTTCTTCTGTATATAGATGTCCAGATCAGCTGGCATTTCATGGATAAAATCACCATTACCCAAATATCAACACCCTTGGCAGCATCACACAGTTCATCAGCTGAGCATAAGTAACGTCTCCCCCTTCCCCTTTTTTAAAAAAAGACTCTACATCTGAAACTATTTATAGTCTCTATTAAGTTATAATTACTTTAAAAAGCTACTTATAATTTACTTTAAAACTTAAATCTAATATATTTTTTATAATTATAAGTATAATAAATAATAAGAAAATATATTATAAATTATTTATATTTTTTAATTTTATTATTAAATTAAAAATAAATAATTAAAATTTTAAAAAATAAAATATAATATATCTTTTAAAATTAATTTATTTAAATTTATTATATAAAACTTTTTTAATATATTTAATATTTATAATATTTATAATATTTATAATATTTATAATATTTATAATATTTATAATATTTATAATATTTATAATATTTATAATATTTATAATATTTATAATATTTATAATATTTATAATATTTATAATATTTATAATATTTATAATATTTATAATATTTATAATATTTATAATATTTATAATATTTATAATATTTATAATATTTATAATATTTATAATATTTATAATATTTATAATATTTATAATATTTATAATATTTATAATATTTATAATATTTATAATATTTATAATATTTATAATATTTATAATATTTATAATATTTATAATATTTATAATATTTATAATATTTATAATATTTATAATATTTATAATATTTATAATATTTATAATATTTATAATATTATTTATAATTAAAACTTTTATTATAATATATTAAATTATATAAATTTAATTTAATATTATTAATTTATTAAAAGTTTAAATTATTATAAATTATAAATTATTTAATTTAATATTAATAAATATTATATAAAATATTAAATTTATTATATAATTTTAATTTTTAAATTAATTAAAATAAATAAAAGTTATTTTTAATTATAAATTATTTATATTTTTAATTCTATTATTAAATTAAAAGTAAATAATTAAAGTTTTAAAGAAATAAAATATAATATATTTTTAAAGATTAGTTTCATTAAGTTTATTATATAAAACTTTTATAATAACTTTATAATTTATATTTATAATACTATCTATTATTAAAAGATACCTTCTTATATTAATATATTAGGTTATACCTATTAAAGGTTAAAGTTATTATAGACTATAGGCTACTTAATCTTAATGTTATTAAGTATTATATATAATATCACTATATAATTTAGGTATGAATATAAGTTAGTTAAAATAGGTAAAGATAAAAGCTACTATTTCCCTAACTAGGGTTCTAGCTCTACTCTATAAGTAAATATCTATCTATTAGCTCTACTATATTATAAGTAAAACTACTTAAAAGTAATCGCTTAGTTAAATTAAAAGACAATTAGGTAAGATAACTATATTTTATTATTTAGGTTTATAGTTCTAATAGTTCTATAAAAGAAGAAATAACTATTAATAATTAAATTTATAATTATATAAAGATAGATCTTTATTTTAAAAAAGTAATTCTTATTTAAGATAATTAATATATTTTTAAAAAAGTTAAGAAATTATAAGTTTAATTTAAAGTATATTAAAATCTATAAGAATCTTAAACTTAAACTTAAAGGTTTTAAACTAAAGTTTATATTTATAAAAATAAAAGCTTTTATAAAACTTAAAAAGGCTTAAATAAAATTAAACTAAGTTATAATATAATAAAATAATTAAATAAAAATTAGTTAAAAATTATAATTATAAATCTTTTAATTTTATATTTAAAAGGGCTTTTAATTATATATATAAACTTTTATAAAATATATATAAGTTTTAATATTATTTAAATAAATATCTATTTATTAACTTTATAAAATTATTTAAAAGTAATTATTTAATTTATTATATTATTAAATTAAAATATAATTTTTAAGTAAATAATTATATTTTATTATATAAGTTTAAAATATAATAAAAAAATTAAAATTAATTATAAATATTATATTTTATTATTTCTTTACTTTATAATATTATAATTAAGAGTTAATATAGAGAGGTTTAAAATTAAACTTTATATAGGAATATATATTAATGTAAGGGGGGAGGTGGTGAGATGTAGGCCCCCTATTTTAATATAGGAATAAATTGTTGCTGTGTTGGGCTTACCGTGGCTTGGTTGTCTGTACCTGCATCCGTCGAGAGCTACGTACGGGCTCTGCGAAGATTTATCGATCGAAACGCAATATTCATTAATTGACGAGGATCTTCAAGTCCGCTATCTGGCTGGCCCTTGCCGGAAACCGATACGGATGCTCAAGTGCAGTTGGCTCCTACGATCCACGAGGGGCAGGTAATGAATAAACTGGCTCCGCTTCTATTCCGTATATGTCCAAAGATGTGCCTGTGCCTTATGGAATCACGTCCACCGCGGAAATTTACCGCCTTACCAACCATTGCTCACCGATCAACGGCTTCAAAAACAGAAAAAGAGAAAAAAAGGAGGACTAGAACTACATCAAGAAACCATTCATGAGCAATCATTAGTCCAAGCGCCGACAACCCTTGGGAAGAATGCGCTATCTCAATAAGTCTCATCAATTCACTCCCATCCCGATGTCCATTGCATATCGCAACGATCTGAAGACCGTTTAGACAACTCTTAGACCGTTTAGACAACTCTTTATTCGTTCGAGTCCTGCCCTGGGTTTGCCATTTCGTATCGCAATAGCTTGATGGCCCTATACAAGCCAAAAGCGACTAGAGATCCTATTGCCGGGCCGACCCAGTAAATCCAGTGCTCGCTGGGGAAATCGGCGGCAATAACGCAGGGCCCCAGGCTCCGGGCTGGGTTCAGACTCCCCCCAGTGTAATACACGCCACTCATCTCGGCGATGAAGAGGGCGAGGCCGATACCAACAGGAGCGACGAAGGTTGCGCGGTGCTTCTCGGCAGCAAGCATGAAAATGGTGAAGACCAGCTCGAATGTCAAGATAGCTTCGATGAACACACCTTGAGCGAGGGACACACCTTCTGACAGGGTCGTGCTGACGCTGAGCTCGGTTGGGAACATGCACGAGGCCAAGCCTGCAGCAGCAATACCGCCGAGAAGCTGAGCGACGAAGACGAAAATGGCACGGATAGGTGTAATAGCACGGATGAGGACAAGCGCTAGAGTGACCTAGGGTATTCCCCAGCGTTGGGAAGATGTTAGCTACATATGTAATGGCCCAAAACAATGAAGCTCCGGAAGCGGGACTCTATGACAGAAGATCAATTCAATGTTCAGATACTCACAGCTGGGTTGAAGAGACCGCCCGAGATTCTATAAAAGACCCACACGTTGACCATGAGAGAGAAGCCGAAGCACAGGGCAATGTACGTTTGAACCGAGATATTGAAGCCCGAAGAGCCATCCCCAGGTTGGATAACCGCGACAGCAGTGCCGGTGAATGCAAAGAAGAGAAACATCGTCGTTCCAACGAACTCGCCCAAGGCGGCGACAATATCTGTTGTTGAGATCCGAGTCAGTGCAGCTCGAATAATTGTCCAGTGTATCGCGTACGGTTCTTGAAATTTGCATCTGCGATGTACGAGTGTACTCCAGACTTGACAACTTGTCGCTTCTCTTTCTGCGAGAGGGAGCCAAAGTCCACCTCGGCCTCACCAGTCTCTGCAGCTCGGAACTGCTGAGTGAAGGTTCGGTTGAATAGGGTGGGCCGGGCCGGATTGAGTCTTTGGTTTCCACTCTCGAGGTCCTCTGTGAATGGCTTCTCTGAGCCTCCAGACGCGCGGTTGAGAGAGCTGGGATTGTGCTCGGGCCCGAAGTCGTGGTGAGCTGTATCACCAGTGCTCGGCGTGGTGTACGATACCTGCTTCTTGGTAGCAGCGGGGCGTAGCTGGTTGTCTTGGGTTGCCATATTTGCGGCAGTGGTCGTGAAAACGAAATCTCGACGGGTGTCTGTCGGAAATAGAGACTAACCAGATCCACCAGGAAATCTCAATGCTGGTCTTATATATCGAGGATGGCATCACAGTCATCACCTCTTTAGATGCCGAGATGTTATCTCTCATGGCCGTGTGTAACTTATTACGTCGACATCGCAGATCTCTAGATGCTTCTGTGCTCAGTGGAGGCGGCTTCATCGTCGAGCGATGATCTCGGCCATGGATAAGGTCTTCTGCACTTCTGCCCGATCGAAGATCTATCGATGATAGCCCTTGCCTCACTCCTCCCTTCCCTTCCAGTGGTACAGGCAGTTCTAGACCTCGCACACTGAGTGGCCATCCCTCTATCGGACTCAGCCGAACACCTTTCAAATGTTGGGGTCGACATCTCGTGGGCTCCGGTTGAGCAGACGATTCCGTGTGCTGCGGCTAAGAGAACAGACTTGAGTTGATTTGAACTAGTTCGTGGACTACTTCGGCACTCCTTAGAGGCTCATTGGTGATTCCTGGACGCCGTTCAACAATGCTAGATGCCGAAGATGCAGAGTGTCGAGAGCCACGAGGAACGATGAGTGCCTGAGGGCGGCATTTGGTCTGATGGATGCCGTATGACTTAGCCACAACATCTTTAAGCCTGGAGAACACTATAATGTGTCATTCCTGCAGCTTATACACACCAAGAGAGGCTTCGCGCACGTCATTATGGTCCCACGTTGGCAGAGTGTATGCACAGTGGCGTTTGGCGATTGATCCTAGGCTCCGCTATCTGTCGAGAGGAGACGCCGGGTGTGTGAATCCATCGAGGACGGAGGGGGAAGCACAAACTGCCCATGTGACGTCTCCGGGCGCTTCGTGGTCCACGTCGGTCAAAAGCAGCTTGATAGAAGGCTTCGGCTACATCCTGCAGGAAGGCTTGATGCAGTGTGCCCGGTACTGCCTGGGGCACCCTTGAGACAGGAAGACAAGCAGTGCCTTGCCTTCGTTCCCATTAGGTTCGTGGGCTCAAGTGTTCACGAAGAGGATTTCACTTGATTACACGTGGCGCAGACAATGTTTTTTTTCCTTCTTCTTTTCTTTTCTAAAGGCGTTCGCATTCCAGATACAGTCCTGTCTACCAGGATAGCTAGCCTGGTGCCACGACGGAACACTTTGTCCAGATTGCTCTAATTCCACTCCGAGGTGACAACGAATATCGTGCGGAGTTTTCGTCTTACGACTTGGGGGATACGTCCGGAATGTGCATAAACTTCAACTCACACCCACTGATGAGCCAGATGTTGTGTAACCACCATCGTCCAGATCATCGGTCACACCCGGCACAACCCCACGCATAATTCAGGCCTGTGTGCTTCAGTGGGTGACCCACAACAGACCCGAAGTAGATTCATCTCAGGTAATTTGCTCCGCGATCAAGGTCGCTTATCCACACCATCTAAAACGGTGCTGCTCGATCTGTCAATGGCCGCATTCTTCCCTACCAGCCCTCTTATTTCAGGCCGCAACAATCTTAGTCTTAGGAAAAGATCGACGCCACCCCACGGACATTGCATCGCTTAATGCTGGGCCTCTCGAGTCCCGGGCCCGCGCTGCAGGCTGTGCATATCTGAAGATCCCGTCTAGTGAGGCTGCTCCAGCTGGCAGTCTGCAGCGCGGCACCACACCCGCGGAGGCCGCCGCGCTGTGATTGTAAAGCTGAATGACTTTTCTAGCTTGTGGTTCATGCTCCAGTTAGTTCATTAAATACCTAGGTACATATGTAGATTTCCAAGCGCCTGGTCTAGCGGGATTATCAACATGGCCACTGTCTGTCGATGAGCCATATCTACTGTGCCTGAATATCCAACAGTCAGCCAGGCCCAGTCTTTGGACGTGATCCGTGATCGCACTCACGATCGCACACATCCACAGCGGCTGGAGATGAGCTACGGGTTGCCGTTTGTAGTTGATGCTAGATGCCCAAACCAAGCTATCTGCATACATGGATATGTTTCAGCAACAAGCCGTCTGCAAGCTTTTGCTTTTTCCTTCCCCGCGCAGGCATTAGGGTCGAGATCAGCTGATATTACACGAGCGAAACAACCTGGAACCGCCATTCTTCATTCAAGCCACAGTATTCATCGCCCAAAACTACTCCTTGATCGGCGCCTCACCCGCCGCTGGACACGTCCCCCATCATCTTCGGAATCTCCATTCCTGACGCGGAACAGCCTTACGGTATCGCCCGATGGCTGAGCTCCGAACAGTGTTGAGCTGCCACTTGAAGGTCACTTTCAGTCGAATTAGAATTAGCCTTCCTGCCGCTCTCGTTGACAACTCGATAAATGAGGCTGTATTCCGATCCCTTAAGTCGACGGTATAGGGTCCTTTAAAACGTGTTCAGGATGAGTCATGGGTCATCGATTAACGTGATTCTATGTCTTTGGATTGTGACAGACCTTCCGTTCGATTACGCGGCGTATCGCTAACATCTGCTTCCAAGCTCCCATAAGAACAAACAGGTCGGTAGTGCCTTGACAGAGCTGTAACGCTACATTTGAGACACTCTGCTTGGTGTACTCCACACTTCTCGGGGTTGATAGCAACTGAAATGTTTAACCATTTTCAGTCCATTCATGCCGCTTCGACCTTCGTGAGCAAGCCCTTCAGAGAAATTCAAAATTCCATTGATGTTCGGGGACCTAGACTTGGAACCTGAGACACTTTCGAGTAAGTAGATCCCGAGGAGCCCGGCGCTAATCTGCATGTCGAATGAAAAGAGTAATAGAATCCTCACTTGTCGCGTAACTACCTAGGTAAGTCATCGCAGCCCGTGTGTGCAGACGCAAGGTTGCTGGAACGCAATTAGATGGCGCGATGTCCCGACTTGTTTCTACGTTCTTAGGCATGGCTCCTCTACTGGTCAATCTCATATTTGCCTGTGGTTTCCTTGAAATGTAAGATGAATGAATAAATTACGCATTAATTAAGTAGACTAATAAACAGGGGGCACATGTTCTTTATCTTCGACAACGTTGATGGGTAGCCCAGCGATGGTCAACCGACTGGGGAGTCGTATCGAAAATAGATACCTGGGTAAGCAGTTCCATTGAGAATCATAGATCCCATAGCGCAGTGGAGTCAGTGGGAGCCGAGCTTGCTGATTTCCGTGACATCGATGTGGCGGTCTCGGCCCTGAGATTTCCTAGATGGGTGTAGCACATGCAGTCCAAGGCTCTCATCAACTCCTTCCAATCAATTTGTACGCATCGGAAGACAGCCCTCCCATGCTCCTTTACCTGGGCGATGGTATCGTTGCAACACCTTTCCCTTTATACGGGCCACCGCATTCCTCGCACAGTGAGACCTACCTCTTTTTGCCAGTGTGCGGCGTACCTAGGTAGTGAACCTTGGGTCGTTCCTACTCGCTGCAAGAATTCCTTTGATTTATTTCTTACTCTTACTTCAAAATCACATCATTGAAAGATGCTCAAGCCAGCGGATCCGTGTGATGAAGAACATTTCCAAGACCGCGGGTGCAAGGACGTCAAGTGACCTTCCATGTTTGGTCGAGTTTCTCGTCTTCCAAGACTCTTCATGTATCAAAGGAGACCTTCAAGTATGCCCGAAAATCCAAGTGTTTGGAAACTGAAGCTGCAGGAGAAAAGGGCAAGGGGTGAAAGAATGAAAAAGATCCAGCCAGGTGGCTTCGGTTCGAGAGGCTGGCCGGTCTCGGGAGACGGAGGAAAAGCCGCATATGTGATTATGCGGGCATCACCAATCTCGTTTTGTGCCGTCCTACCTGGGTACGTTCGCTGCTGCCCATGTCTCAGATGGTTGAATGACGACAGATTCTTGACCGGATCCTCATTCGCTACAGAATTCCCCATCATGTCCCCACGTACGAGTTGATGACCTGCCCTTGCGGTTCCAGGTGCCAGCTGAACAATGCTAGTTAATGTTGAATCCTTAAGGTGTCCAATGGAACGCATCGAAATACCGTGTAAGCCTTGATTTCGCCTGTAAGTCTTGGCTTCGCGTCGCGATACCGCCACCTGGGCAGCGAGAAAGATATGGCGTGAGCACTAGAGCTTAACGATCATGAAACTACATTATGCTCTAATTGGACCAAATAGTGTCTTGGGCTTCATTGGAGACTCCTTCGGTATACACCTACCTAACACCACCGACTTTGCAGAGTCTAACAATGTCGAATTTACACCAACTGCCAGTGAAATCGATCAGGTTCTGGGAAAATGTCGGCCCAGATCTGCCAAAGGTCGCTACCGTCTTGAAGTAATTCGATATAACACATGGGATCATTTCGTCCCCTCAGCGACTTCAAAGAGCCAGATTATCTCGCAACCGATCAAAACGGCCGGTTATCATCAAGCCCAAGACCACAACACCGACATCGTCGTCAAGACGGTACCCCTTAGCCTTGTCTGTGCGTCACAAGGCTGAGGCCACAAGCACCTATTGTATTATAACTACCTAGGTATTGTTATTGGTATTATATTCTTTCTAAGCGCTAGGTCTTGAGTGCTTACCACCGTATGAAGGCGCCATGTATGTCCTCAGACGTATACGGAATAGAAGCGAAACCATACAACACAGACATCACGCTGAGTCAGGTGCATTTTTTGTACCTCATAATCAAATGCGACCCGGACCACAAGCTGAGCTTCGAGCATGGGACGTCAGAGTGGTTCATGCGCAACAGTAGTTGTTCTTTCAGACAAGCGGGCAGGGCCCATATTACGGCCGTAATCATAACTCTTACCTCTGTAAGGACCCGTGTGTTTCTTTCTTCTTCTTCTTCTTCTTTGGAATGTTCCAGAATGCAGCGCTTCCCTGCCCAAATCAGATGTTCAACATATCAAGATATCAGAAGCAGCATGGTTCAAGGAATTCCAACACGAGAAGCTTCCCAGAGTCTGACAGCGCCAACTGAAGGAGGCCAATCGCGTCACCGCCGTTTTGGAAGGCCATATGAACAGGCAGAACAAGGCGTTGGGCTAGGAGGCCATGCAGTTCTCAGGTGGTCCGTGGCTGGTTGATACCACGTGCTCGTATGAGACCTGGCCTGGGTCTCTCACATGTGGCAATTTATTATTTCCATGTTGATCTCAGAGCAAGATGGCTTGAATTTGAGCAATGATCCGGTCGTGGTGGAATGGGTCGCCCGCGTAAGTACCTAAGCAGCCGAAAGGCTTATAAGTACGGAATGGGGACCAGCGAAAATTCCAATTGAAGAGCTTAAGTGACCGTGCTCCAATTTTTGGACTGTGTGACGTCCGAGGTGTACTTTCATACACACACTTCATATAATCTCTAATTTACAAAATGCCAAGGAATTTAGGCAAAACGGTAAAGGAGAGAGGTATCTAAATTGTTATCTGTGTGAAGCAAAATACCTGGATACTCTAGGTATAGTAGTGTAGGAGACATTATAATTGTATCTCCAGACGCCCACGAGGACAGGTGCTGGCGTTGGGATTTAAATTTTAAACCCTGGAATATACTAGCCGCACCATTTGCGGAGAAGGTCTTGCTCATCTTTGTTGAAGCGATGGCCGCCCTCTCACCAACACACTCGTTCGGTCCAGATCTCGGGATCCAATAGATATGTTGGCCTTGGACGTTACTGTCTTCATCGCAGCATCCGAATGTCAGAACGAATGAGAACCGCAGAAGTTTGGATCCGATGGAATGGGTACGAAACCGAGACTGGTCAAGGGCATGGGACTGACCGAGGATAAACATCCTCGTGGTATACATCACATCGTTGCTTTTGTATGATTCAACACATGCAGCAACTCAACATACTGGACTTCATGGTTCGAACATTGAAAGCACACTGAGCAGCCTGCACAGCGTGGCCATCTCTGGCATCCCAACATATCGGAGATTCTTCAGTTTTACAGCTACATTACACCTAATGTCTGAGATGTAGTCATGGTATCTTGTAATAGACTAATAGTGGTAGCCAGACTCCCGCGATATGTCCTAGATTCTTATTAGATGAATCTTTTAACCGTACAGAAGTGGCTGAGTAGATCGCAATGATGACCTCGGGATCTTTGAAGAGACGAACGTCGGCAAGCACATGGACAACGCTGGTGATTGTTGGGTCGTCCAGAGTCGCCGCAAAGCATTCCGACCAATTTAAACACAAGAGAACTGGTTGTGGCCAAATGGCGTGCTGGCTGTGCTAGTTAGATTATGAGAAATTAAAAGCCAAAAGCAACCCTAGTTGTGAGGAGGTGCTGAACCTCATGCGATTGCCAACATGTTGGCAGGGCTACCCACACCACCATGGACATTGAGGGGCGCAGAACTTAGGAAGAAGGTCCACCGTCGACGCTCGCGGCATGAAGTAGCGACATCCTCGAGCCAGAGCAATTCCGCGATAGGGCAGCCCCAGCCGGCGAGCAAGACCTCGTGGAATGTAAACCCGGCCTTGTCATGTGTCGGGAAAGCCTCCCAGCCCGGCGAGTCACCACCGACAGCCGCGACGCAACTATCCCAGAGCCACTTTAGTAGTCTCAGGTCTTGGTGCACACCGGCAGACGCGGCCGGCCACGCCTCACCGATTTCTCTCTCCTCATCGGCCCCCAATTCGGCATAGCGAACATGATACCCCGAGCGTATCAGTAAGATATCGCCGGTCCTCAGCTGCAGGGACTCTTGGGACTGTTCTTGCTGCCACTGGAAGCAGGCCATGAGGTCGTCATAGGCGATGGCGTGTGGCCTGACCGCGTCGTACTGCTTCCCGTTGGCGGCGGCCCACGACCAATAATCGATCAGAACCCCACGGCCAGCAACCCCTCCTGCCTCGTGCCACCAGTTCATGCCCAGGCGTGAGTTTCGTGCCTCAAGATCAACAATGTCTTCCAGGGTAGCACCATTGTACCAGAGCTGCTCCTTCTGATAGGCAAAATGGCGCAGGCCATCCCACTGAGAGCTCCTCTGCGTGTTGAAGGTGATCTGTGAGAGACTCAGAGGCCGAGTTTGTCGAGACGGACAGGCTCGGGCAGTGTTGCAATACGTACGACGTCATCCGCAACGCATCCCAGGAGCTTGATGGAGTGCTCGTAGGCGTCCTTGTACCTGGCAAAGGCGGGTGTTGTGGGCTTTCCGACCTCCCAACTGGTCGACCAAATACCTGAGTATCAGCGCAAGTGTGCTCGGGCGAAAAGAGTTGGGCAAGAGAATGAGCAGGTGAGTTACTTCAAGCTGAACCGCAGTCCCTCACGAATTTCGGCAGCGGCGTCCCTCACTACTTGTTGAGACAGCCAGTTCTGCGCGTGGCCATCAGCAAGCAGGCTGTACTAAACTTGATGACTGGATACTACCAATGCCCCTATGTTATCACCCTCGCCCCAAAGCCCCCAGGCCGAGTACGGAGGGTCACCCTTCCGGAGAGGGAGACTGTTGAAGGCCGGTACGGCCTTGTCATTGGCATGCTCGGGCATTTCGAGGTTATGTGCCTGAGTGGATGGAACTGGGCTGGACGGGATCCCAGATGACAGACAGCCAGGTCAGAGTTGATAACGCCAATGGCTGCGGGGTCAGGCCGCCTGGGCATGGTGCTCTGAGGGGAAGGGGTGCCGGCACTGGCTGATTGGCAGCTACACGGGGATCGCCAGACCGGCAGACTGGAATATCAGACTGCCGCTGTGGTGACAGCTGGAGGCGACATTTTGAAGGCTATGATCACATACTTACTCGACTAGGTAGGTACCTAGGTACCTAAGTAAGTATGCTTGCATGGCAGCCTCGAGTCCCAGGGACTGCAAGAGATCTGCAGGGTCCTCTGGACCCTCGTTTATTATTAGCTGTCTTCTCCGTCACAAAAGTACATATCTAAAATCAGAGCAATGACGACCCTGGGGCCACCAGCGGGTTCGGGCGGCCCCACATTACCCCCACACACCCCAGCACCGTGCAGGGCAGGTGCCGTCATGACTTCATCGGTGGCACATGCCCACCTGTGGCTTTGACTGTTCGACGGTGGCGCACAATGAGATCACCCCGTTCGGAGCCGAGTCGGCGCAGGCCTGGCTTGCTTGTGTTAGTTCCGTTCAGAGCAGGGATCGGCCTTGAACATGGCGCCGTCTTTTCCCCCCGGTGTGAAAGCGCCGACGGTCTGGACCGCTAAGGGCCACTACCAGACCAGACTACCGGTTTCCATACCTTTTGGTCGTCATGCCTGTGCCCTTCTCCTTCGCTCTTGCCTCGTTCACTATTGTCCCCTTGTCCTGGCCTGGTTATTGTCCAATGCCAAAAGTGGATAGTCCTCCCAGCTCTCAGCCGCCAGGACAAGTTCGGAAGCACTGGCTGGGTTTAGCATGGAACAATCACTCAACCCCCAGACCTTCTCGTCTCCTCCCGACTCCCTCCTCCACATGGAAAATGTAGCCACTCATTTTTCTTTTCTTTTCTCTTCTTCTTCCTTCCTTCTGTTCCCTGTCAGCCTCAGCACCTGTCTCACAACTGCATTACCTAGCGTGTCTTGAGCATCGTCATCTGCCACCACCACACCTGCTCACACGGCAGCACAGCAGCACAGCAGCACGGTGTCTTCATGTGCCCAAAGACTACGGTCCGATGTCATACCTATCTCGACCCAACCCGGCCCCTCCGATCCTGTCCCCGTCTGTGAGCTCAGTCCGGCCCTCTCACTTGCGTGACCTGGGTGGTGCCGTCTCACGACTCACGGCACAAGTTCATGCACATCGAGATTGCCAGTCACGCGCCTGAATCACCTCGAACTTGCCGCCATACCCTATATCCAGGCCGATGTGGTACTGTGGGCCTGTTCCACCTTGCCCTGCCATATCTACCGGGCTTGCGGTGTTTGCCGAGACATAGGTCCCGCTGTCTGGAAGTCTCTGTTGGTCGCCTTCAGATCCGGCATCGCACACAAGCACTCCCTCCTCATGGCAAACAGCACAGAACCGCCCCAAGACGGGGAGACGCAGTCTCTGGCACATTCCATTAACATTGCAATCGCGCCGAGCCACACAAGGATCAACCGTCTGATTCTCGACCGCATGCCACACGCCGTACCCCCCCGGGCAGAGAACCCCTCGAGTTATATCACCGGCTTATTGCACATTGGCGCCGTCTACATTGCATTCGAGTCCCTCTGGCAAAACATCATTGGCATCCACACCGAGATTGCCCCCCTACCTTACACATATCCCTTTGGGGACCACACCGCCGCCAACCGCCCCGGCCTCGGCCATGGCGCAACACCGCCCCCAGTCCCGGAACGCACGCGGCACATCCTCGAGACAGCATACTGGCCTAACATGTTGCGCGCCGCTCGTGTGAAATCTGACATTCGCGCCATGACCGGCTGGCCGGCACATGTGGTAGACGAACAGTTACGGTCCGCTGGCACCACAGGTGCACTGGGCGCTTATCTCGAACACATCAAAGAAGCCGTCGATAGTAGACCACACATCCTGCTCGCTTATGCCTACAGTCTTTACCTCGCTTTGCTGTCTGGAGGCTCGTACATCCGCACTGAGCTCATGTACCTCAGAGCTGAATTCTGGTTGGCTGTCCCGGATCCTGTCAGGCCAGGCATGATACCCTGTACCAGGGAGGCTAGCGGTGAGCCAGGCACGTTGAGGCGACACTCGGCGTCTGAGTCCGGTTCAGAATCGCCTGGACTTGTCGGCGAAGAACCACCAGTCTCCTTGCCGCTCTCGTTCCTCGATTTCGACACCCCACTTGGCCACGAGAACCCACGGCAGCAGGCCAAGGACCTCAAAGCCGAGTTCAAGAGGCGCTTCGTCCGGGCAGAGCAGGCGCTCACTGAGCCCGAGCGGCGCGACATAGTCGGCGAGTCAATGGTCATCTTCGACCACCTTGAGGCGGTTGTGGGGCAGCTGGATAGGATTTGTAGCAGCGGGGCAGAGGCGTCGCCGCAGGGAAGCTCAAGAAGCCCTTCTACGACTGCCGGTTCGCAGCGGGCAGGGATCGGATCCCGTCTGAGAGATAGCATTGCTATCGCCAAGGGGAGGCTTTTGCGGACGGTGAAAAGGTCGAGTGGCGCGGGTAGCTCCGTCACAGCCACCTCGCCGTCGGCTGTAAGGACGGCTGCAACACCCATGATGAACGACGCCACTGCTAGCCCATCCGACACATCTGAGAGCTTCAACGCATCATCCCTTGCCTCCGCCGGGCTCTCTCAGAGTGCGATCGTGCCGGGCGAGGGCTTCCGGACAGTTCGTTATAGTGACCATAACAGGCAGCTGGATACAAGTGCTGAAGTGGCACGTCGCGAAGCCGGAGGTTACGACGGCACTGCGGAGGGCGACCATGGTAGCGCAGGTCGCGATTACCAGGTCTGCCCCATTGGCCACAGAACATCTACCTCAGTCGCCGCCGGCGCCACAGAGCGCGCCCCTGACCGCGCGATCTACGCCCTTTTGTCGAACATTGCTGTGATATTTGGCATCGCCATGGCTCTGGCCGCATATCTGTTTGTGCGCAGGTGCGATGGGATTGCGACGACGGGTGCAGCTACTTTCATGGGCAAGGACTGGTGATTGCGTGTTGTCATGGAACGCAGTGAGGGTGCATTCAGATTGTCATGAGACATTCGTGGATTCATGGGGTTCCAGGGAGAACGGACTCAATGCACATGGCGTTATGGCGGCTTTCAGATCGGCAGAAGAGGGATGGAAAACCTCGCTCATGATAGAGAAATAGATGAATGATACCCTACGTCTCCTCGATCACAGATTGACAACATAGAAAAAAAGAAAGTTCGGCGTGGCCTCCGCTCAGCTTTCCTCGAGAGATATCGGAATCTCATGGTGTGTGCGGGTGGGCTACCTCGTTCGCGAGCAAGACAGATATATAGCAAAGCCGTCGAAATGAATTTAATGCTCACATGGGCTTCATCATTATATCAGGGACAGGAAGGTTTACGGTATGAATGGGTTTTTATTGCCTTCAAGACGTATGGGCCAATGTCATCCAGGCTATCCTAATGGCCTTTTATTCCAGCTGCGGTATCAAAAACTGATCAATCCTGGGTTGCCATCCAATTGCCCTTCACCTGGTCTCCACCCCCCTCCCCCCCAACGGCCGAAAGGATCATGAGATGCAAGGCCAAACCGTGTCCGCAGATACGCCTATCCCAGTGACTGCCCATCCAGAAAATGCCACAATGCTGTAAGAAATGCCTCGCCTATTCCAACAGGTTTTCAGGCCAAACTGCTCCTCCTGAGGACGGCCTGCGTGGGGACTCAACCCCTGATGCCAAACTGGCCAGGTCTGTCCAAAATGCTGCTCAGGCACACGCGTGTGCATCATGCTTTGGTTCTGTGCCAACAGGCGACAGACTGCGCGCGCCCACTGAGCCCGCTCACCACTCACAAACATCGTCGTCTTCATCAGTGTCCCAGTGGTCGTCCACGTCGGCCCATCCGCAACCCCACCTGCGACCCTCGCCCTCGCCCTTGGTTCTCAGCTCCCGGGCGCTGGGTCTCTTCACGGTCTCGACAGCTTGGCCCTCATCTTCCTGCCGGCCCACGTGGTTGTTGCCGTCGTACCAGCATCGCACCATGAAGTCATCTCCGACGGTGACCAGATTGCCCTCCGCGGTCCAGGACAG